TTCGTACATTGTGAGGTTAGAGAATGGAAGATTTGTTAAAAAGAGACATTACGATCTAAAAGGGATTGGTGTCTTAAATTATGGTAAATGAGACTAACCGTCTGGAGGGGGGATGTTATATTCTATTATTTTATTAAACCCTAATTTATGTTAAGCACTAATATTTAATTAAAATTAAATTAATAACTGTTTAAAACCTTCTTTATAACTCTAATAGCACATTTTTTTGAAATTCATATAATAAATGATATTAAAGATGTACTGAGTTAGCTAATCATATCTCAATTATTTTTATAACTTTTAGATTATCAACAATATTATTCTTTTAAATAAAGACTTTTCTATAAATCGGGCAATGTTTATCATGACATCTAACAAATTCAAATTTCTTTTTGTTTTCATAGAAATAGATTCTATGAAACCTTTACACACTACCCACAAATATTTCCATATTTATCTAAATATTTTTTTCTACTTCTTTTGTTTTTATTTTCTGAATTTCATTTTTTGGGGCAAAAAATAAAAAGTTTCAGGACCCACTTTTTAGTCAATCTGGGTCACATTTCCCTTAAAAGTTTTAAATTAAAAAAAAAAACAAAGACTAGAATACTTTTTTTGAAAACAAAGACCTACTTAAGTTTCAGAAGTTTGCCCTATATTTAAAAAATGATTAGATTAATAAAAATAACCAATAAAAATTTTAGTATAAAACAATTTTTTTTCCAAAGGCATGGATAACTGTTTACAAAGATTCAGTAAATTTAAAAAATATTATTTTAACGAATTAATAGAAATAAAAAGTCCTGCAGACTTTTTTAACAAAATAAGATGTTCATTAAAAACAGTACAGCATGCTACAATCTTTACAATGTATACTGGAGATTGCAATCTCACAAAAAAAATTCTTAAGTTAATTTCCGAAAGAGAAAAAACCAATAAAAAGACAAGAATTGTTTTAGATAAAAATCGTGGACAAACAAAAAATTTGGTAAATTTTATAAAAGAAAATAACTTAAATTGTTTTAAATTTGTAAACTTATCTACTTTTATAAACATATTACGTATAAGAGAAATTTTAGCCGTTTTTCATTCTAAATTGTACATTTTTGATGATGAAATTATTCTTACAGGAGCAAACCTAGATGGTTCATATTTTACAAATAGATTAGATAGGTATTTTATTATAAAAAATAAAGTATTAATAAATGATCTTTATAGAAAACAATACAGTAAAAATACCAACAAAGATACAAATAGTGATTATAACGTGTTATTTAAGTATGGTAGAAAAAATGAGAAATATGTAATTTCAGAAATATTACAGCAGAATTTTGATTCAATTTATATATCCTCCGCTTATTTTAATTTGCCAACAGATTATTTAAACTTATTTAAAAGTTATAAAAATATTCATTTTTTCGTAAATGCGCCAGATTCTAACATTTTTACAAATTTTAGTATATTTGGTTTTTTAATAACCTCTATTTACACGTACAGTTCATATTATGCTACTAAGTACTTACCAAAAGCATTGTTGTACGAGTTTAATCTAAAAGGATACACAATGCACAAAAAGGGGTTATGGGCATTTAAAGACAATTTTTGTGTTTCTATAATTGGATCATCAAACTTTAACAGAAGAAGTACTGAAAGAGATGAAGAACTTAATTTTTGTGTAATAACTCAAGATTCTAAGACCGTTAGAATTTTTAAAGAGGAAATATTATTTTTAATGAAACATTCTAAATTGAAAACAGTAAATGAATTTAAGTTTGGTAAATTTAAATTTATAGCAGCAATCCTGTTCTTTATTTTTAATAAATTTTTATAGTATAAAAATTTATTTCTTACATGTAATAATGAGGCCTAGAAATATTAATTCCTATTTCTTCCAAAGCTTTTTCTACATCTACAACTTGTAAAGAAGCCTTTTTATCCCGACTAAATCGTTTATCCTTCTGTGCGTTTTTTTGCCTGAGTTTATGGTATTGGAATGAAGAAGCACATACATCTGAAATAAATTTATGGGACAGTAAAGATACAAGCTTTTTAACATTTGTATCCGACGATGTTACACCAGATTTCTGCATATAATAATCTAAAACAGAATCTGGAATCAATGGAATGTATTCGTCAAGATTTTGTTTAAATTCTTCAAATTCTACATCTTTCATTGGGGCAGAAAAATACATAAGATGATTTTACTAATTTTTATAAAATTTATAATATATTTAAAAATGTACGTAAGCTTTCTCTAAACTAAAAGAAAATGTTTTATTTTGCAATTACTGATTTCTAACATACAAATAATCTACATAATAAAGGGTGTTGAATGAAATTTCTGTTAATTTATTTTTAAAAGTAATAACTTTTTTGAATAGTAAATTTTACATGTATCAAATATATTTATGTTTTTCACTAACGTTAACAACAAAGTTTTATAAAATTCAAATAAATTTTTAAGAAGATCAGTTTTAATTAATTTTTTAAGACAATCTTTGTTAAAAGTAAATTTTCTTAAATGCAAAAAGCAGTTAATTTACTATAAATAAATCAAGCCAATAATTTACATAAATAAAAACAAAATTTTAATGTGTGTGGCAATAATTATTACAGATATTTTATTTGTAATAGTGTCATAAAGAATAACATCCCAAGTTTAAACGTTTAACTTCAACTTTAAAAATACATTATTAAAAAAATTATTCTCTCTAAATTATAATTATCTTCAAAAATCACTTTTTGTAATAAATAACAAAAAAAACTTTATATTTCTTTATATTGTAAGCCAGAAGAAATAAATAATTTTTTACCTGATTACCAAAAATGATATTTATTTTTGATATAATAAAAACTTAATATATGTAAATTTTGTTTTAAATTAATAAAATTATTGTATTAATTAAAACTTTTAATCTAAATTCAGCAATGATATACCAATAAAATAGTGTGTTCTAAAAATAAAAATTACTTTTTTTTTGTGAAGTTACAGTTACTGAAAATATTTGAAGTCAAATTTTTTTTTATAATTTTCTTGTTCTTATGTAACTCCGATAGATTAATAAATAAATATTGATAGCGAAATAAATTTAAACAATTGATATGTTGTTGACAATACCAAATTTTTATTTTGTAATCTACTTATAATTTTTAACAAAAATACTATCTAAAACTTTTATTTTTTAAACAAAACGATTACAAATTTAAGTTGCACAATTAATTTATCATTGTAAATTTTGCTAAATAAAAGATTAGAATTTAAAAAATAAATTAAATCTTTAATTAGTTAATAAGATTTAAATTTTTTTTGCAGCATAGGGGTATGGAAAGTGTTAAAAAACAAAATTCACCGTTAAACAATAATGTTATCAAAACTCGTAATTTATCAAAGAATGAAGAAAAAAACAGTTTACAGAATTCATTTCTAGGGAGATTTTACAGAGCATTTTATGTATTATATTGTATCGTGGGATTTTTAGTTACATTAGGATCTCTTTACTTACTAATATGTTTTTACGCTTACTTCAAGAAATTTTTACAGTCAAATAATCTTAATAAAAATGAATCTCAATTTCTGTTTAATAAAGCCGGAGAATTTAAAAATATTAAGTATTATGGATATAAAAAAACTTTTCAGACTGTAATTTTTAGTATGATGAATATTATTAAATCTTCTAAAAATTTGTCTGATAAAGAATTTTCCGCGCGTTATGATTGTACTGCTAGAAATTATTTATTTTATGGACCTCCTGGTACTGGTAAAACACTCTTTGTTAAAAGACTTGTTTATCTTCTAAATTACAACTTTAATGACAAATTTAAAACTACTAATAAAGATTATGTTAGAATTTGTTTTGTATCTCCAAACCAATTAGAAGATAAATTTATTGGAGAGACAGAAAAAAACATTAAAAATTTATTTAAAGAAGCAAGGGATGATAAGGATTACACTGCAACAATAATTTTTATTGATGAGATCGATTCTTTTTTTGGAGACAGAAAACTTGACACTACAATACATTCGTCAAAATCAAAAACAGAATTTTTAAACTTTTTAAGTGGAGTTAATGAAGATAGGAAAAAAAATGTCTTTTTTATAGGGGCTACTAATCTTATTACACGAATTGATGATGCATTTGTAAGACGTATGGAGAATAGGTATGAATTTGGTCTACCATCTAAATTAGAAATTATAAATATTTTAATGGCTGTGACAAAAGATTGGAATTTAGACAAGATCTACCAAAGTTGCATTGATTATATTTCTGAAATATTTGAATACAGAAAAACTTCTCAAGCAATTATTATGGCTATTATTAAAAAAGTTATGTTGACACAACCCATTAGTAATGAAGAAAAGATGGATAAATTGATAAATACTGTACTAAGCGTTAACTCCAAGCTTAAAAAGAAAGATGACTATGAAAATAATACTTCTCAAGGACATAGTTGGTTTGGTATGAATAATTCGAACAGAAAAGAAGTAATTACTCCATTTTCTCTTTCTGATTTTGAGGTAGATGAAAGCCAAAGCAATATCTTAACTGATGATGGCGAGTAACAAATAAAATGAGTTTTTTAATCTTTAAATCTTTTGGCTGGTTTAATTTTTTATTACTTTTGCAAATTATTTTACTTCAGCAATTAACTTATATTTATGTAAAGAACTACTAGCACTTGTAAATTGTTAAAAGATGTTATAAAATAGAACTATTCATTTTTACTGTTCTTCTGTCTGCAACAAAAATACTTAGATCCATCAGTTTTTTCATTAAATTTCTTTTCATCAACTCAATGTCGATATTTCCTTTTCAAAATTTCCTTCGACATTTAAAAAGATACTCTTCATCGTTTTCTTAACGGCACGAGTTTAAACGTTTTACTTTAAAATTGTATAATTAATTTTGTAAGTTTACTGATTTAAATAGTCTAAAAAGATTTGTAAAAATAGTTAAATAAAATTTTAACCTTTAGAAAATTGATAAAAAAATAGATACAGTTACATATTAAAAAAGGATTAATCCTTTCTTAATATAAATAAGACCTATAATTACTCTTAAACCACTCGCAGATATTAGCATTATGAAGCCCGCTACTAGAAATAAGATCATTGATGTTGTAGTATATATATTATAGGCTTTTGGCCAAACCTTTTTACAACTTGCTTTATAGCAGAAATGAAAGAAACTTTTTCTTTTATCGTAGTATCAATACTATTATGTTGATTACTGTTTTTTTATTAAAATCATTTTTTTGATTTTCATTATAGTTGATGATTTGCTAGTTGAGTTACAAAAACTTTGTAATGTTACATTTTTATCACTAAACTTAATAATGATTTTATTTTTAGCAGTGACAAAACTTCAATTAAAACAACCCGCTGATTCAGTTATAAAATTTAAGGAAAATTTAGTAGTAATGGGCTTATTTTTATTTTTATAAACTACAACAAAAATTAAAAATTTGCCATATTTAGATTATTTTTAATTGCTGTTGTTATTAAAGTATAATTTTATATTTACAAAAGTTATCCTATATTTGTGCGAAAAAAATTTTATAAATTTATTTTATTTTAATTTTTTAGGGCCAAAATTATATTTGATAAGACTATCATTGTTTTTTAAGATTCATGTTTTATTATACATTAAACTTATAATTTAATTTAAGACTTATTGATTATTTAAAAACTTTCAATGATTGTTATTGATTAGAACTTTCCTGTTTGCGTCAAAGAATTTCTTTAACATTTTAACTTTTTTATAAAGTTTATAAATTAAGTTTATTTTTTTTTTATTGACAATATTTGTGAGAACTTTTTTAAGTAAATTAATAGACAAAAAATAGTACAAAATAAGTTTTATTTAAACAGTCGGAATGTTTAGGGCTATAAGAAGCATAAAAATGTAAGAAAAGAAACATTAGTTATAGCATAACATAAATCATGCCTTATGAACGATTTAAATAATTTTGTCTAAATTTTTTAATAAAAAAGAGTAAAATGTTTAACACGTACTCAATTCTTTAGTTAAGAAATCAAATAACATTTATTAACCATTTACTAGTTAGATTTGTCGTTTTAAATTTTAACTGTTAAAATATAAATTGTATCCTTTATAAATACATCATTTTTTTTTGAATATACTTTTATACAGATATTAAAAGTATGACTAATACTATAACAGTACAAATATAAGAACATAATAAATTATCCTTAATTTTTTTTATTATCTAAAAAGCAATTTTAATTGTTACAGTCCGTTGCATAATCTTACCATACCTCTATTTTTATCAAAAACTCTACTAAAGTTGCACTAATGTAATAGTTTATTTAATTTCTTCGTTCAGTTTTTTATTTTAACTAGGGATTATTTACCTACTTTTTTTAGTACTAGATTTAATGTATTGTTTTTATAAAATTAGGATTTTTTTAAAAAAAAGTGTTGCATAATCTTTCAAGAGTTTAATTTTAATGGTATTTAATAATCAATTAGGCCACCATTGTTTGAATCACCAATTTAATTCTGTTTTTCATTGAATCAATAGGCTTTTTACAAAAATACGTGCTATTATTATGCCAATCTTTAAAAATTAAAGCTTTTAATTTATGTACACTATCATAGGTTTTACCTTCATTACACCCGCCTAGAAAGCTCTTTATAAAGATTCTCTATAGGATTAATATCAGGAGAATATGCTGACCAAAACATTGTCTCGATATTTTTGAAAGCTAGATGATTTTTTGTAGATGCTGAAACATGTGGTCTTACGTTTCCATTTGAAAAATTATTTTAAGTAATTTTGTTCATTAATAAATGGAAGTAAATAGTTATTTAATATATTTTGATTTTCTAAACTATGTAAACTTTCTGAACTAAAAGCCAATTTTGGTTTTTTAAAATAATTAAAACAACCCCAAACTATGACTGAAGATCTTCTCATGGTTCTGCGAGAATACAAAACTTCTTTTGTTTTAATATCTGCCCAATAATTATTATACCCATCTGGACCATCAAGATTGAATTTTTTTTATCTAAAAATATTATTTCTTTTCATCTGGTCTCAAAATTTTAATATTTACCTAAAAATAAAATTTATTTTTTTACGTTCAAAATTTAAAGCAGGTTTTCGGCAAATTTTTTTCTTTTTAATCCGCCATCTTTTGCTAAAATTCTTGTTATCGTGAATTTATGTACATTTAAATTTAAATTATGCATCAACTTATTCGCCGTTATATTTTTACCACTAGCAATTTTAATTAATCTTGACCACGCCCTAAGAGAGGCCTTAAAAGCAAGGCCAGAAGGCTTTTTTTACCATATTTTAAAGAATCTTTTATGTACTTAGCAATAACAGCATGTGATCTACCTATCTTTCTGATAATTTCAGAAATTGACATCTTTTGCTTATTCAACAAAACAATAACAGCCTTTTCAGAATCATCAAGGGATGGTTTTATACCCATTAGGGACTAACAAAAAATTCCTTTTAAATTATTTTCCCACCAAAAAACATATGAAAAAAAAGACTGTCGTAAGATTATGCACCACCTTTTTTAAAAATCCCAGTTTTATAAAATCAATGCATTATATCTAGTAATAAAATAAATGACACTAATATTAAGTTTAAATAAAAAATTGACTAAATTACTGTCAATAACTTTATATTAGTGCAATTTTAGTAGAGTTTTTGATAAAAATAAGGGTGTCTTAATATTATGCAACGGACTGTATATTAATGTCAAATTTACATTCTCTTTTCTATCAAAATAGTGACCTTAAAAACGCAATTTTGTTGACTACACAAGATAATTTCTCAAAGAAAAGTCTTTTAATTCTTGTGATGCTATCTTCACATCAATCGCCGCTAATTAGATTGTTTAAACTTTTTATTTTATGGCCTCAATTTATTATTAACAGATATAAAACAAAAAATTTTTAGTATCTTTATAACATTATCTTCATTGTTACATAAAAAAGTTGTCATTTTTTGAAAGCCAAGATTTTTAAAATAATATTATTTATAAAATTAATATTATACATTTAAATACATGTTATATATTAACTAATTTATTAACATTTATTTTTCTAGAAAGATGATAAAAAGAAATGCTTTATTATAAGTACAAATAATTTGTATCATTCTTTTAATTAATATTTGACTTAAATATCAATTTGAAAATTAATATTTAACTTTTGATTTGCGCAAGCAAATTAAAATTTACACATTATGTACGCAAACATATTTAATATATCACAAACATTTCTTTCTATATTTTTAATGTTGTAAATATGTTATTGTAACTATTTTTCTTAAAAAAAACTTTCTTATAAATAAGAATTTATTTAAAACAAAATTAACAATACATTTTGTATTGAATTGATTTTAGTGTTTTAGTTATAATAATTTCCTTTATTCATTGTTGTTACATTCCTTTTTTATTTTCAATGTATTGTAAAATTATTGATGTAAAAATTTATTTACAAAAATAAAAATTAAAAATGAATCTTTTTTTTAAAAGCTATAATATTCTTTTCTTAAGCGATCTTCAATCTAATATTATTAAATCTTCCAACGATTTTTTACCCTTAAAATGATTGATATTAACAATTTACAATCTACAGAAGTGCATGAAAAAATTACTAAACTTGAATTACCAGAAATAGGACCCTACAAAGCAGTTGCATTAATTCATCTTGATAAATATCAGGAAGCCCTTAAATATTGTATTAAAGGATCATACGAATCTGCATATATTTATTATAAACTTAAAAAATTTTGTAAGGCACTTAAAATTGTTAATAAAAATTCAGGAGAAAAATGGGATGTGCTAAAATCTCAGATATTGTACAGAATGGGATTTTTTAACAGCGCATTTAATTGTCTTAGTAAATTGCCAAGAGATGATGATATTTTTGTAAACTTACAAGCTATTAAGTCAATGGGAATATTAACCAATAGTGTTAACAATTATGTATTTCATAAGTTGTATATTAAAAAGAAAGAAGAAATAAATTATGATAATCTTGAAAATTATAAATTTAAAAACCAGAGCAGTTATCAAGAATACTTGTATAATAAAACATTTGAAGTGTTAGATAAAAAAGAACAATTTATTAATGATTTAAAAAAGTTATTAGAACAATTTCCCAATAATTTAGTTATTAAAAACCAGCTTTTAAATGTTGAAGGGAATTTTGATGAAATTATACAAGCAGATTTAAATAAAACACAAAGGAGTATATTAAATTACAATATGCATACATCAGAAGATATTGATAATAATTTGCATTTCTTAGCCAATTTTAGAGAAAAAATGGGAGATAGTCAATACAAGTGGATTAAATATGCCGGAGAAAATAATTTTAAAATAAATTGGAACAAAATACCAAAATCGACAGATGCACTAAATATTCTTAGAATTTTGGTGGGACTTATTAATAAAAATATGAATCTTAAAAATATTAAAAAGCATATGAATATAATTAAAGATTCAAATATTAAGGGACATATTGAGAATTACACTGATTTTATTGAGAATGATAAAAAATAAATAGTTGGTTTTTTTTCTTTTATTTTTACGATGTGTTGTTAAATTTTTAAATTAAAGTGTTTTTTGTTAAAGAGAGGAAGATTGCAAGTTATAAATTTAAACTTTATATTTTGAAAAGCTTTTTTTAAAATTAAAAATATAGCTAAATTATAAATACTGTAAACATATTCACGTAAGAAGTATTTTTTTATTGTTTTTTACTAAGAGCATTACAGGTCACAAATGCTATGTACTTCATAACATTTGTTATTTAATTTAAAATTTTGAAAAAACAGGCATAAATTTTCAGAATAACAATTAAATAACTTTTAATTACATAAATAAGAATAACAAATCAAAGTTATACAATAAAAGCTTAATAGAGCTTTACTTAAGAAATGGTTATGTCCCGCAAGGACTCCTCAACAACAAATACATACAATAATTTTACAAATATCACATGACACAGAAAAACTTTAATTTTTTTGGTTTTAAAAAATGAAAAAAATTTCCAACTGTTGTATATTTTTGTTTTTAAGCACTTTAAGAGATATTTTATAGCACAAAAAATATTAGTTTGTTGTTAAATATAAACAAATAATAATTTTAATTTGTTTTCTTGGACAAATCAAAAAAGAAATTGAATAAAGTTCAATTTCTTAACTTAACAAAAAATTATACAATTTTTTTACATTTTCTAAGCGCAATTTTTACTTATTTGCAGACAAATCATTACTGTAACATGTAAAAAATTAATTTATAACAAAAAATAGTTCAGTTTTGTAAATAATATATTTTAAATATTAGTTTCTACTTTGTGTTTTAGTTTTGTGGTTTTTTTATTTGTTATTTATTTTTAATATGCTTTAAAATAAAAATCCTTTTGTTTACAATGGGTAAAACACAAAATATTGCCACAGCATTAATACTTGTAGGAGGATACGGTACAAGATTACGTCCCTTAACTTACACTGTACCCAAACCCCTAGTTCCTTTTGTAAATAAGCCTATTTTAGAGCATCAAATTTGTGCACTTGCAAAAGCAGGCGTAAATCAAATTATTCTCGCTTTAAATTATTATTCAGATTTAATAATAGAAGAAGTAAAAGTTTACGAGAACAAGTATAACATTAAGATTATTTATTCAAAAGAAGAAATTGTGTTGGGTACAGGAGGACCTTTGGCTCTTGCCAGTAAATATTTAAATGGGAATTTTTACGTTTTAAATAGCGATGTTATATGTGATTATCCTTTTGTAGAAATGATGAATTATCATTTAAACACAAAAAATGAAGTCACAATGCTTACGACGCATGTTGAAGATCCGTCACGATACGGAATAGTCGTGACACATGAAAATTCTAAAAAAGTTAAAAGTTTTATTGAAAAACCATTCAATTCTGAAATAAAAAGGATTAATGCAGGAATATACGTTTTTAATGAGTCTATTTTAAAGCGCATAGAAATAAGAGAAGTGTCTTTAGAAAGGGAAATTTTTCAAGAAGTAGTTAAAGATAATCTTTTAGGTATTTATGAACTTAATGGATTTTGGAATGACATAGGGCAAATTAAAGATTATTTAAATGGACAGCACTCGTACTTAAAAAAGTATAATTTAGAAAATTGTGATGTAACTAAAAACGTGGTAATAGGTAAAAATGTTACTATTGGACAAAATGTACAAATTGAAAATTCAACCGTATTTGACAATGTTACAATTGGAAGTAATGTTATAATAAAAGATAGTATTATTGGATGGAATTCTATTATTCAAGATAATGTACAGATTATAAATGGAAGTGTATTAGGAAATTCGGTAAATGTATCAACAGATTGTATATTAGATTCATATTTAGTGAATCCAAATAAGATTATAAAATTTTAAAAAAATAATAAATACTTTTCTTTATAAAATTGAGAATTTTGAAATACATTTTTTTATGTAGCTTTAATAGAAATTGTACATATACTTTTTTTAAATTTTATTAAGAATTGTATAAAATGTTTCTTTTTAAAAGTTTACACATATTTTCCTTTAAAATTTTTACATTACACACCATTTCTCTGTAAAATTTTTTAATACAACATTTCTTAATAAAAATGTTATAAAAAATCACGTAATTATCCCTTATGTTTTCCGTAGAAATAAATAACAATAAAATGAAAATATTAGAATGTAGAGAAAAAGCTTATTCTGTAATTTCAAAAAATAAAAAATTCTTGTGTAGTGGAATATATGGCATAATCAACATTAGGAATTCACAGTATATTATTTTTATTGTTGATTCTAGAAAAGTAAGCACTTTTTTTTCTTCTGATGTTTTTGAAGTTTCTAAAGTAGAGATAATCCTCTTAAAAGGAAGTCCAGAGACACAATACATTTACGGTCTGAGAAGTGTACTAGAAAATTGTGGAATTTATTTTAGTAAGACTTTTCTATATAAAAATATTTCATTTGATAAGAATAAAAAACGATTAAAAAAAGACTTTTGGTTTAATTACAATCCTTGTAAGGCACTAAAAGTCTATGATAGAGATCTTATTTCATTTTCGGTCAGGTGTATTCAAGGGTATTTTAATTCTATGACTTACGGTAGTACAAAAATAACTCTTATTTCTAGAAGATGTTGGAGAAGATGTGGAGCTAGATTTTTTAGTCGCGGGGTTAATAAACAAGGATATGTATCTAATTTTGTAGAAACTGAACAAATTATACAAATCGATAACAAGGTAATACATGCATTTTTACAAATTAGAGGATCTATTCCATTAGTATGGGGGCATAAAGTAAATTTGAAGTATGCACCTGAAATTATCCTCCCTGAAAAAAATGCACAATTCTTTTTTAAATCACATGATCTTCTTTTATCTAAATATGGCTCAATTTATTATATTAATTTAATTAATGACACTAATTATGAAGGGATATTGTACAAAGCATTTAATAAACTACGTAATACAATACGACTAAATAATTTTAACTATCATAAATTACAGAAAACTCTTGACCTAGAAGAAAATAAAAAACTGTCTAAACAGATAGATAAAATTTTAGATGAATTTAACAGTAAATCTACTATTAAATATCAAAAAGGGGCTATTAGAATTAATTGTATAGATTGCTTAGATAGAACAAATTTGATGCAATACATTATAGCCAAGCATCTAGTCAAAAGATTATTTGGTAAAAATTTTTTGATTTATAATTCTATCCTCAGATTATTGTGGTTTTATAATGGAAATATGTTATCTTTACAGTATGCAGGTACGCCTGCTATAAAGGCAGATTTGTTAAGACATGAAAAATATACAGTTAACGGATACTTAAAAGATTTTTATTATTCTGTACAAAGATATTTTATCAATAGACTTTTTCATGGACAAATACATGATGCTTACAATATTTTAACATATAAAAAATATATTTTTAAGGACAAAGCTACGACCAAGCTAAGCATACAAAGCTTTGTAATGCTTTGTTTAGTTATTTATGTATACAAATATATAATAGATTTTAAAATTCCGCTTTTAAAGTACATTTTGTACTTTTTGATTTTTTTTACTTTTAATTTTTTAAGTTGAACACAACTAACATTTTAAAATAATTAAAATAAAATATCTTGTATTTACATTTATTAAATATTTTTGTGATCTAAAAAAGAATGATGCTTTTTATTTTACGTCTTGTATTTACATTTATAAAATATTTTTGTGATCTAAAAAAGTATAATGCTTTTCATTTTGCTTTGTACTAAGTTTAAATTTATTGAAATATCTAGCTTGTTATTACAAAGGCAAGTTTTTAATTAAAAAGTTTCTTCTCATTTTTATATTTAGAAAATTTATTTAAAAATTATTTATTATGTTACAAAAAGAATTCTGGTGCTAAATATGATACTATAACATGTTTAGTTTATTGTTTGTATGTATTTTATAAATATATTCTTACAAGAGAAAATTTAAACACTTAAATTTTTTTAGGAAAATCTCGTATGCAAAATAATTTACGAATTTCAATATCGAAAATTCGAAACTCAAAAAACGCTTAAATTTTTACCCTTCAAATGCCAGTACTTGCGTACGATTCTAGAAGATTAATTTTAGATGTATTTGATAAAAAAGTTATTATTCAAAATGTAAATATATACGCTATTAGTAATAACATTTTAATATATAATATAGATAATTGCCTTTATAAACTTGATCTTACATTACCAGAATTACACGAACAAGTAACTTATAATATTTGTTTTTACAAATTTACAACAGAAATTCATGAACTAAAATTATCAGAAAATGGTAAAAATGTGGGAGTGTTACTTACGAATGGGGAGTTTTATTTATTTTCAAATTTTACTTTAACTTTTTCTAAAAAGAAAATAAACGGTTTTGGGATTTCAGACAATCTAATGGGCTACGAAACAAAGAACAATTTTTACTTAGAAAATATCAATTCTGCAGGTATGGTGGATAAATCTTTAAATTCTTTCTTTAAATATTTTGTGTTTAATTCTTTTTGTCTGGTGTTCACATTAAAATTAAAAGATGGAGAGAATAATTATTGTCATAAAATGATAAAAATTTCTAAAAAAAACATTACAGTGGTTAAAACATTTGATTCGATAGTTGATGTAAATTGTAAATGTAGTGATGATGGTAATTATGTACTTGTTAATCTTTCTACTTCTTACGTTAAAAATTCGTATTTTGCGTCTACAGCTTTGTACGTGTACGACGTTGCACAAGAAAAATTTGAAAAAATGAATAAACTGTCGAATATATTAGATTTTACATTTATAAAAAATGGATTCTGTGTTGTGTATGGTAATCAGCCTTCATATGTTGCCATTTTTAATATGGATTTATCATTCAGAGAAAAATTTCCATCAGGAATTAGAAATCGTATTTATTTTAATCGTCAAGAATCGTATGTTGTATTGGCGGGATTCGAACAATTGGCTGGTAACGTTGAAGTTTATGATGCAAAATCTAAAGAAAAGCTTTCGATTGCTAACGAATTAGGTGCAAGTAAAGTTTTATGGGACACAACAGGGAGTTATTATTATGTCTCTACGTTAAATTATCTTAAAGAAGATAATAGAATTAACAAGTATGATTATTATGGTAGACTTATTTCATCTGAATGTTTTGATAGTTTATGTGACGTATCTGTTTATGGACTTAATGAGGAATTTATAGAATTAAGTCCTCCTAAAGAAAAGTTTGTAGAGACAATCGAAGAAGCTTATGTTCCAGCTATCCTTAAAAATAAAAACTTACGAAAGGGCGTGTCACAACCGATAAAAGCAAAACAAAATGAGAATGAAGATGAATTGATAAATAAGTTGGAAATTATTGAAGCACTTAAACAGAAGATGGGTAGTAATCAGAAATTGGAAACATACGAGCTTAATTTAATTTTAAATGAAGGAAAAATTAAGAAGAAGCTTGAAGATTTAAAAAAATAAAAAAATAATTTTTTAAATGTTGTTTTTGTAGATGCAATGTATAATTTTTAATAACAATATATTTTTTATTAGATTTTTGTACAATGTAAGTGTACAGATAATACAATAAAGCTTTTAAGACTAAGATAATTTAAAAATCATATATTTAACTTTACAGCTCTTAAGGTTAACACTTTTTTAAAATTCTACATAAAAAATATACGCATATGCGACAAAAAATGCAAAATATAAAATTAACTTAAAAAAATATTCTTATTTTACTGATATATTTCTAATATGTAGCTATGTGTTAAAGTGAAGTAAAAAATAATCATGTATTACTATCTAAAACCTTTTATGAATAATTTATTTAATTTACTTTAAACACCAAGCGAAGATGCTACGATTCTATGTATGCTTTTTTAAAACAAACAAAAATTAGTTTGATGACAAAATAAATTCTAATATTATTTGATATTGAAATGTATGTTTTTCTTTACTTTATTTTTTGTACAAAATCATTTTAAAATTTATATCTTATTTTTTCTTATGGAAGGGAGCAAAATGGAACGAGAAATTTGCATAGACAAAATAATTGAAAAACTTCTTGGTGCAAAGAATAGCAAAGCAGGAATGAATGTAAATTTACTAGAACAAGAAATAATTTACTTATGTAGATCTACACAGGAAATTCTAAAAAACCAACCTACTTTTCTAGAATTAAAAGCTCCTATAAAAATATGTGGAGATACACACGGACAATATTATGATCTTTTGAAATTATTTGAATATGGTGGATTCCCACCTGTTAGTAATTATCTATTTTTAGGCGACTATGTAGATAGAGGTAAACAATCTATAGAAACAGTTTGCTTACTTATGGCTTACAAGATTAAATACCCAGATAATTTTTTTCTTCTAAGAGGCAATCACGAATGCGCCAGCATTAATAAAATTTATGGTTTCTACGACGAATGTAAAAGAAGATACGACGTACGACTATGGAATATTTTTACAGAATGTTTTAATTATCTGCCAATAGCTGCTTTAATAGACTCTAAAATTTTGTGCATGCATGGTGGAATTTCTCCAGATCTGAAAAATCTGAGTCAAATAAAAAATATTGCACGACCAACAGATGTACCAGATTCTGGTTTATTGTGCGATTTGCTTTGGAGTGATCCAGAGCCTGCCATTTCTGGCTGGGGATACAATGATAGAGGAGTCTCTGTGACATTTGGTGCAGATATAGTCGAAAACTTTCTAGAAACACAAAATCTAGATCTTATTTGTAGAGGACATCAAGTCGTAGAAGACGGATACGAATTTTTTGCTTCAAGATCACTTGTTACAATATTTTCTGCTCCAAATTATTGCGGAGAATTTGATAATAGTGGGGCTATTATGAATGTTAGTAAAGATCTTGTCTGTTCATTTCAAATTTTAAAGCCAAGAGGCACAGGCGATGAAGATAAAAAGACGCTTTAGAAAAAAAATAAATTTATTAAGTCATTTTTTTCTGTCTATTACCCTTTTTATGCAACCAAAAAGAATTTTAAATTTTGCAAAAAATATTGACAACTTTGAAACGGTTGATTTAAATGATAAGGAAGTGAAAAAAATTATTAATGATGAAACATTAAATATATATAATATATTTAGTTCTTTATATCACACTACTTTAGATAATCAGGATATTAATGTTGATAATAATTTCTCTAACAGTTTAAAATATAGTGAAGCAAAATTGACAAACACGTGTTTATATTGCGCAAGAGAACATGAAGATAAAAATTGCCCTTTTGTTATTTGTAAAAAGTGTGGAGAAATAGGACATCTTAATAAATTTTGTACTAATTCTTTTACATTGAAAAAATCTACGCTTTGTAAAAAATGTAAATTTTCTACACATTCTGAATTTGACTGTCCCGCAATTTATAGAAGGTATAAATTTGTAAGAGATGTAAAAAAAACGTGCGGCAATTGTGCTGGCGATCATTTTTGTAATGACTGCACTACATCTCTAGATATTAGTAAATTTTCTATATTTAGTGAAAAATATTACAATTTTATAAAAAAATATTCTCGCAAAAGATAACATTTTAATTTTTACAATAAATTTATGCAAAAAGTTTACATTTTTTCCCCTTATGGGAGACATAATTATAATTCCAAATTCACATGTCAAAATAAATAAAAACACTTTATTTGGTTTTTTAAAAATAGTTAATGCAAGTTTAGAACGTAAGGCATTTAAGATAAAAACAACAAAACCTAAAGATTATTTAGTAAAACCCAGTATCGGTATTTTGAGATCAAAAGAAGAAATTATAGTTGAAATAAATTTATTAGAAAATATTAAAATTGATGAACAGCATAAATTTGCAGTTGAAATTTACGAAATTAATTATAGACAAGCCATTGATACTCTTAAGAGATATTTAAAATCTACACAAATATCACCATTTTTAATTAAAAGACTTGGTGTAGAGTTTGAAAGTGTAGAAAATTCTTCTACAAAACAGGATTATTATATTAAGATATTTTGTTTAATTTATTTATTAATTTTGTTTGTATGTATTTTCTTAAAATTATTTAATAAAGTAGATGCATAAATAAAAACACTATATTATTTTACAAAATATTTGGTTTACCTAGCGATATAAAAGATAAACTTCTTCCCAAACAAAAAACACATTCTTTACATGCTCCCGCCATTTTTTTTTCTAAAATAAGGTTCGATGCATCATCGTATGAAATTAGTACTCCAGATAATCTTTCGCCGTTTGAAAAAGCAACAGTAATAAATTTGTTTTTAAATTTACTTAAATTGCTAAACAATGAAGTTTTATTGTTATTTGTAATTAATTTAGCATTTTCTATTTTTTCTTCTACGTTCATGGGTTATTTTTCAAAATCTTTACTTAAAAATTCGTAAGCATTTTTTATTTTACTCTGTAAATACTTAGAACCATTATTCATTCTATAATTTCTATTAAACAAATCCAAATATCTTTTTGTAATTAAATCACTATTAGCTGTAGAAGTAACACCCAATATTTTATAAGCGTCTTCCTTGTTCATATAGTTTGGCCTAAAAACATCCATCAATGTTTTATATAAAGTTATACACAATACTTTTCCGCCCTCTTTAAATAATGTAAGTACCATGCAAAAGGGTAACTTTTAAAATTCAATGCAATCAGAAATGCTTTTGTAATTTGATTCTGCAAATAAAAATTCAAAATCTTCATCAGCTGAATCAAAAATTAAATCATTAAAAACACTTTTTATACTCGGTAGTTCAATTGAGTAAAATCTAATATTTTTTAGTTGTAAAAGAATGCTACTTGTTTTGATATAATAATTTTTTAAAAAATGATTGATTTCGTTAATTTTATTTTCTAAAATTAAGCTGTAAATCTCTTGTTTAATTTTCATAAAAGGTAAAAAATAAATCAGAAAGTTATCTATAGAATCTACTTGTATCTTATTTTTTATATCAATGTAGGTATTAACATTTTGTACAATCTCAAAAGATTTATATAAATTTTGAGAACCTCTAAAAGAAATTAGAAGTGTAAATACTTCATATGCCAAAAATGCGATGTGGTTATTACAATCACCTAAAAATTTTATGTAGTAATCCATATTGTAGAAATATTTAGTATTTAAAATACATAAAAGTTGTTTTCTTGTGTATTTAGCATTTTCATTTACTAAAAATGATTCTATCAAATCTGGATAATTTTTAAGATATTCTAAAAAATACTTATCCTCGTATGTTTCATCATAAAGCATTTTTAAAATCTTTTTTTTATCTAAAAATATTTCCGCTTTTGTAAAAACAGGAAAAAGATATCGTTTTAGTACTTTGTTCTTAAAATGACTTTTTACAAGATTTGTGTTTAGATTTAAATCTATGTTTAGATTAAAGATTAATCTATAGGCAATAGATAAAAGAATCGTACTTTTAGTGCTATTTAATGTATCTATTAGTACTTTAAATATTTCTTTATGTTCATCCTGATGGTTTTCTAGATATTTTTTACAAAATAAATAATATCTTTCATAGTCAGAAATATCTTTATGCTTTTTAGAAATTTTATTAAAATTGTAAATCCACTTTTTGTCCATGGATTAAAAATTTTAAAAATATTAAAAAGAAGTTTAATTCTTGTGTATATTTAATGTTAGTGTATTTTTAACAGATTAATAATTTTACAAATAATGGTGTTCTTATAAAATTAACAATTAAAAACATTTCTTTGTAATTTAGTTAACCATGCTGTACAATCTTAAAATAAGTGAATCAAGTTAAATTTTTTAACTGTTTTTCTTTCTAATTAAAAACTGAATATAAGAGTTTTTTCTGCTAAAAAGCCAAATTATTATTTTAATTTAAAATAATTAGTAAAACTTTTATTTTAAATCTGTACTTTGTTAAAAAATAAATTTTGGTTTCTTCCACAAAAGATACTTTTTTACATGCTTTTATGTTAATTTTAAACAAATTGAACATTTCTGCGCTTAATTTGTAAAAGTTCAAAAATAGATGCATAATTTTTTCTATTTTAATACAAAAATAAATAAAATCAATATAAATTACAAACAAAATCATTAAATTAAAAAATTAATATTTAAAAGTTATATTTTTGGGATAAAGCGTGGGCTTATAAAATAAATATTATTTATAAAACAGACGTGTCAAGGCTATCAACTTCACTTGCTGATTGACATTCCTACACTTCTATTATCCACAGATACATTTGTTATATTGTATTATAAATTATAAAAATAAAAATAAAAATAAAAACAATTTATTAAAAACTATTAAAATATAAACTCTGCACATTATTTTTTGTTTTATTAATTTCTTTACTTGGTTGTACTCCTTGATTGTCCTCTTTAATCATTTGTTTAATTTTATTAAAATTAAGTCGAATTTCTTCAGTCACAGATGATCTGTCTAATTGATTAAGTAAATTTTCGGTTTTTTCTATTAAATTATTCAATTCATATTTTTTTAAATTTTCAACAATATTATAATACTTTTTTATACTTTCGTCCTCCATAACAGGAGTCCTAGATTCAACCAATTTTTTTGCCATATTTTCATTTTCAAAAATTAAAAGCCATTTTGAAATGTTAAGTTTTTTAAGTGAAATTAAAGTCCCAAATAAAGAAGCATAAGATTTAATATCTGTTTCTGTATGTTTAAAAGAATCAACTTTATTAAAAATAACTTCATTGGATTTAGATACATCGGGTTTACTTCTTGTTACCATATCATCAAGTTTTCGCTTTTTATTTACTCCTTTTAATTCTTTATCGTGGGTATAAATACAATTTTCATTAATACATTTATCATTATATTTACAGGGTCTACGTTTATAAATATACAATTTACCAACAATATGTTTGGCTTTGTCTTGAATTAATGGATTTAAAGCTTCAACAATTAAATCAAATTTATTTTCACTTATTGAAGATTTTATAGTATGTTCTATAATGTTAATAACATCTTCAGCAACATTTGAATCCTCAATTGCAGAATAAATAATATGCTTTTGACCTTCAGAAAGTGGAGTTTTAAGAATATCTTTTTTTTCTTCTATCCTTGGCATATTTTTTTCAGCTTCCATAAACATGGGGAATTTTTTAAAAAATAAATAAACAAACCAACAAATAATAAATAAATTTTATTTAAGGATGACATCTCCTTGTATTCCTAGGATATAATGTTGCAAATTCAATATTAGTATATCTCATAAGTGCCATTAAAAGCCTTTCAAAACCAAGTCCATACCCTCCGTGACTACAAGGCCCAAACCTTGCCATGTCTAAATACCAATCATAATCTTCAGGATTAAGACCTTCCCTTTTAAATCCATCAATTAGTTTATTGTAATTATCTAATCTCATACTGCCTCCTACAATTTCTCCAATACCAGGATAAAGTAAATCAAAGCTTTCAGTGCATGTTTCATTAGAACTATCTAATTTCATATAAAAAGGTTTATGCTCTACTAAAAAATGGGTCATTAAAACAGGCTCTCCCTTGCCAAATCTTTCGCAAATAATTTTTTCGCGTGAATCCGGAATATCGTCCCCAACTACAAAATCCGTATCGTCGTCTTTTTTTACACCTTCATCATTCAAAAATTTGATAGCATCTACGTATCTTATTCTTTTAAATGGGCGTTTAGGGACATTTTGCAATTTTATTTCTGGATAAAGATCTTTTATTTCATCTCCAAGTAAGTCATAAAATCTTTTAATAGATTCAGTAACCAAATGTTCAATGTTATTAATTAAATCTTCAAATTCAATATTTGCTAATTCTGCTTCTACATGAGTATATTCACTTAAATGTCTTGTAGTATTACTTTTTTCTGCACGGTACGACGAAGCAATACAATATGCTCTGTAAGCTACAGGTGCAACTGTCTCCAAATAAAGTTGCGAAGATTGTGTCAAATAAGCATCCTTATCATAGTATTTCAATTTAAAGAGAGTTGATCCTCCCTCTACTTGTGTCTGAACGATAGTAGGTGGAGTAATTTCAATAAAATTACCTTCATAAAATATGTCTCTTATAATTTTTAGTAAAGAAGATCTTGCTTTTAAAAAAAATCCTCGCTGTTTATTACGTAACGCCAAATGGCCGTATTTCATCATTGTGTCAAAACTTGATTCTTTATTTAGTGGAAAAGATGGTGCAATAGCATCATTAAAAATTTCAAGTTTTTCAACTAATACTTCAAATTCTGCGTTTTCTTTTTTCGATTTGTTCTCCTGAATAGTTCCGTAAATAGTCAATGAAGTACATTTTGTCAAATCGATCTTTTTTTCATAAACACATTTTATTGATTTAAATTGACATGTCAGGTCAAAAAATGTAATGGATTTTCCTGTTCTGCAGCAATCTACCCAGCCAAATGTTTTAATTCTTTTATGCATATCACTCTTAGAAATTTCACTTAATTCAATTGATTTATAATCATTTTTTATTTTTAAGTTTTTTAAACTGACTTCTTCGTAAACCATAATAGGGGCTTAAAAAATTGTTTTTAGGAAATATTAACACATAGATTAACAATAATTAGCAAAAAATATAGCATCTAAACACAGCTCGTCTTGCTTCTAGAAAATATATTATTAAAAGAAAACCAATTTACATATATGTTTCTACTACATCATACAAGAATTTCTGTAAATGGCATGCTACTAACAAAAATATTTAATATATGAGAAATTTTAAAGTATATTTTATTTGCTAATAATAACTAATACGATGTAAAAATTAAATTGTATTTTAGTTTATATTCACTTGTTTAAAAAACAACTTATGGTTATTTATATAATTGAAAATGTGTTACAGCTGGCATTGTTATTTTGTAAACCCATTAAACTGTGATTATACTTTTGCTTATAAAGCACAAGTTTGATGGTATTTATTGCCAAAAATAAATGGCAGATCGTTGTTTTTAAGGCAGTACTCAATTAAGCTACCGAATTTAGAAATACTTTTGGTAAATTTACTTCTTAATTGCATTTTTTACTTTCTTGTGGCGCTATTTATATTTTAAGTTTTGATTAAATCAAAACATTCTTTGTTTCCATCAATCATTACAACTATCAGATACATTTGTTGATACGTAGAAATGTGACTGTTTTAGATTACACCAATAAATTTAGAATTGAAATGTTATGATTATCCATAACATTAATATTTTAATGTATACAATAGAAAAAATTTTTAGTAACACTAAATTATTTAAGTTTTTATTTTTAAATTTCGCTCGCCATAAGCCCGGCCACGCCATAAACTCAAACATGCCATAAGTTCGAACCTTATGTTAAAAATTTAAACATAAGAATATCTGGTCTTTAATTTTTTTAATTTTGCTATTGTAAGATGCCTAATTTTATTTGTATATAAATTACTATACGCATTATACATTTTTTTCAAATGGTTTTGATTTATCATTTAAAAATAAAATCGATTAAGTTAATTAATTTTAATAAATATAAAAAAAATATAAGAAAACTTTAAAAATGACACTTAAAGAATAAACACTATTAAAAAGCACATGTTTTAATTTAAAATGAAAAATTACTTGGGGTGTTAATATCTTGTTTTAATAAAAAAAAAGTTAAAACTTTAATTAAAAAGCGCAATAAAATAGAAAAAAAATTAGTCTAAACAAATAAAAATAATTTTAATTACTTCTTTGCATTTTTTAAAAAAAATTTGATATAAAAGAAACAATCTTAGCACATTTAAAAATGATTTTTTAAAAAAAGTTATAAAAAGTATCTGAATGTTAAAAAAAGCTGCAATAATTTTCTTTTTTTATCCTACAAAAACAAGAAATTTTGCAAACAAGAAGTAGTAAAATTAATCAAACATATTATTTTTTTATTAAACTCATCTATACTACCTCTAAAGAACCATTAAATTAAAATTTTACAGAATTTTTTTACAATATTTCAACAATTTTTACAGGTTGTAAGTAAAAAAACTCTTGTGCATTTTTTTGGTTTTGCAATATTATTAAATTCTTTTTTTATAAAAACATAATTACTAATATTAAAATTATAAACAGAATTGTGGACGCATTTTTTGTCCGTATGCGCTAAATATTTTTTGTTAATAGTAATTTTACCTGGTTTTATTTCCTTTTCATCATTAATAATTTCAAATTTAATTAGACCTTCAACCTAATTACTCGAGCTTTCATCTAAAGGACGTACTACACTATTGAACCCTGTTTGGCTCATAAAAAGATTGAATAATGACTTATTGGTTGCAGATTGTATTGCTACATTGTATTCATAAACCATTTTATTCATAATCGTCAGCCAATACACCATCACACAGATGCTTTTGCGAATAACGTGTGAGCATTTGATTAAATATTTCAATTTAACTTTTGCTTTGTAGGCGTCTCTATCTTCCATGAATTAAAACAATGTTTTTTTCATCACAAAAATCAATCAAACAAGAATTTCTAAACTCTTTTCCGTTATCAAATTAAATTATTTGAAGATCATTAAGTTTATAAAAAGCCATTTTAAGACATGAAAGAATCTCGGCTGCAGTCCTTAGATTTGAGGACATAAGTAATCGTATATGTAGAATATACATCTATACCTATAAGTAACCAACCAAAACATCATTTTGTTTTGCGTAAGTCCGCATATCAAAAAGATCAATGATTAACTTCTCAAAGGGCTTCTTAGAAAGAATATGCTTAAACCTTTCCTTTGTCTTAAGGGTTTGAGGTTGTAAACAAACATTACACTCATTACAAATTATCCTAATGACAAATCTGGGAATTGAAAAGTAAAATTGGTTGCACAACTAGTAAAGACGATTCTGACCATAATGGTTTAGATGCTGGAGTTTTTGTACTTCTATTTTCATAAAAAGCACTGTTCCTTCCACAAACACCCGTTTATGGCAATTTTCTGTATCCCTTAGATAAAGTAAATTATCTATTAAGATAAGCAGCTCGGCCTTTTTTTCAAACGATACTTAGTATGCTTGCTGCCATCTACTGTCGTATCCTCGCCTTTAAGAATCTTTGCGATGTTATCGTATTCTTCTTGCGATTTAATAGTAGGCCTCATAATGGCTATTGTAAATTTCCTTCTACTGAATTTTGTATGGCTAAAAGTGAAAGTATTAGTAGCAATGGTACAGTTGTTTTATAAACGCTTAATTTGCTTAAGACGTTCAATCCTTAAAAAACGTTCCTATACATACGGTTCTTGTGATGCAACTGTCTTTAGACATATATTTGTGTTATATGTATGTATGCGATATATGCAACTACATAAATATGTATCTATTAAATTGTTAGCACAACATTGGAAATTGTGATTTGTAAATCAAAATTCAAATTATGTTGTAAAATATTCTACAATTAAAATTTACTTACAAAGAGGCCCATTAATAGAAGGTTTCTAAATTCAAAAAAAAAGGTCGTGTTTCAGCGCTGTCGCTCTTCAGGCGTGCGACAATAGATGTTATTATGAAATACATGACGCCAGTCAAAAAAAATTTTAAGATAAAAAAAGATTTGAAAAGCGCTTAATACCTCTTTAGCATCAATATCTAAATCTCCAGGGCCAAAATATGATAATTTTTGGCTATAAGAGGGGCTATGAATGAAAAAAAAATTTTAAAAATTGCAAACTACTAAAAATGGAGATTATGCTAAATGTGCAGATTATTTCATAAAAACAAAAACCTTTTTAAAACATTTATTTTTTCTTAAATAATAATCCAAGAGTTTTAAAAGAGATTTCACAGATTTTTTCCTATCGTAACCTTCAATGTTATTTCTTCTCCACCAGTATTCCTAAACATAACCAGGAATTGCAAATCCTGGAACATCTTTTCTTGTTTATATTAGATTTAAATAAAAATCATTCGCCTTATATCGGGATTGTATGGGATCCTTCTTTATTTGTAAATCTCAATTCATGGTTAGCACCAATATGGTTTCTTTCAATACTTGCCACAGCGTATGGACAATGAAACATAGCCATCTGTCTTTACAGCAAAACAAAAATAAATTATACTTTTTAAATTTTAAAAACGTTTATTTTTTCTATTCTGAGCTATCTCTAAACTAGCTTTCGTAAAACTTTTTCAACGGTTTTAATTAATAACGTTTCTTCTTTTTATTTTATCATACCTTTCAGGGAGACTTGTGAAGCCTGCCTTTAACAATTATGCTATCTTTGACTTAAATAGAATAGTCGCCTCTCAGTTTTATCTAATTCCTCTTTTAACAACATTAATTAAATGCCTTTAAATTCTCTTAACAGAATTAAGAGGTACATATGGATCTATATTTTTTATATTCACAACTATTTCAAGCCAAGAATAAATTATAAACAAATATTCATTAAACTGTACTTTTAAGCCCCTCTTTTACTCTTTTAACAATGAAGTTGATTGTTTACAACTTAAATTGGCATACCTTAACCGATAAAAATTTATAAAAACTCCATTGTATTCTATTCGCATTTTCGACATATTGTTATCACATATCTTATTATATAAAAATATAAAATCACACCATTCTATTCCGTCTTTCAAATTTGTGAAAATTAGAAATCTAATAAATTTTAGTTCTTCTTAAACATTCATAAATTTAAGGGCTAAAAAGAATCCTCAAGTTTGCGTCTATTCCAGGGTAATGAGTTTAAAAAAAGTCGAATTACCCAGAAATAGGCTATAGCGCCAAATCTTAGAAAGTATCTACTTAATACTAACTTAGGTTCCTCTATCGTGTTTGTGTGTATAATTGTTTTATTTTCTACAAATTTACAGAATGATTAACGCTTCCGTTAATATAATCGAAATTGTCGAAAGTAATATTGTTTTTCTCCTATCAGTATAAATAATACTATCTTTAGAATATTGCTCTATAAAGGTTACTAATGTATCATTTTTCTATTTTCTAGTTTATGAAAAAATTTCCTATTTTCTGGCATTCTTTACACCATTACCAAGCCCCTTATACCTTCTACACAATGATTATGATCGTATTTACTCTGGTATTTATTTACATGTAAAGAAAATTTTATTTTTTAATTTTTAAAGAAATATGAATTTTCTAGAAAAATTACATTATTTAAATAAATTTATATTTTTACTTCATGAGAAATGAAAAGATCGGATAGACATTTAATTAATAAGATTCATTATATTAAATATAAGAGCAAATTAAAAATACAGGACACAGAGAGGCATAAATAAAGAATAATTAGAATCTTGTGTTACCAAAAGGCTGGCCAAGGCGAGAATGTTATTTTATAAGACGAGAAGAACTATTTTTATTGGGCATATATTATTTATTAAGCTTTTTAAACAGCTTTCTTTATTGTTCTGAAACATAAGGTTGCAGATTATTTTCTAACGTTTCAGTTCAGAAGCTTGAGTCCTATGGTTGGCGGAAAGAAACCTCCGGTAAAATTTTGTTTTTAACATAGATATTTACCATATAAATGTGCCATTTACATTCCCCAGATTTAAAATTATTTATTTTAGCAATGAAATTTGAGTTATAAATTTAAAAATTTTCTACAATTTTACTATTATCTGTTTTAAAATTTGTGATATAATCTCACATATTGGTTGAAGACTGCGAATTACTTTTTTTCTTATTAATTTATTTACATGATAAGTCATAACTACGCACAGATCTTAAGTATTATGAAAGATTATTGGTGCTCATTACTTTTGGAGTAAAATCTTAAAAGAAAAATCATGTAATGAAAATTTGTATAGTAAAAAGTCTTTAACAATTTTAACTACAGAGCTTAGAAGCGATCTTTAGCCTATAAAGACCAGAATATTAACAACACACCCATGACTAGTGTGGGTAAAGAGTATTTGAAAACAAATACAACTTCTTGGAAACGCGTTAAAAAATCACCATGTTGGTATGTTCTTTCTTTCTTTTTAAGTTTTTTTATAGAATATTTTTCAAGTTAAATTTTCTAGCTTCATAGTATATTTTATCTCATATGTATGCCTTGATTTAAAACTGGTTTGTGTTTCATTATTGCTTAAGATTGTTTTTAGTCATTAAACTTCCTAGCCTCTTGAGAGGCGGTTAAAATAAAAGTATTGTTCTAGAATTAAACAGATAAAGGTTTTTTATGCTTTTTTTATTAATAAATTAATCTCTTTTTTTTGTAAATTCTTTATTTAGCTTCTATTTCCTGTGATAATATTCTGAATATAACATTACTCTCTCCTTTTAATATTACCTATGAAAGAAAAAATTTAAGAAAATTAAATTTAAAAAATAAAGTAAAAATAAAAAATTATTAAGTGAATTCGACAAAAAAATTATAAGTAATAACATGCAGCATTTTAATATTATTTTTAAAAACGCCAAAGAAATAAGCAAATTATTGTGTATTTTTTATCTCATTTATTTTTTGATGTCAATTGCTGAAATTATTGCGGTAAAAGTGTCAGTAGATGAACTATTGCCGACCATTAGAATCCCTTAATCCGAGTAATCTTTTAAACTTTCAAGAATATGAAAATCGATTTAATACTCTAAGCAAACAAGAAGAATTTAAAACAATCATAATGCTACCAAAATTTACTTGAAATATTATTGTGTTTATTTGATAGCCCACAAGAATAAATTATAAAAAAAATTATCCCCAAAAAGGATGTTATAAGATTAGAGAAGCAGAATTCATTTCTTTTAACACCTTAGTCTCCTTTAGATCAATTTAGGGACATGATCATAAATAGCATTGCCAATTTCTTATAATAGGGTTGTTTAGTTTTACCACAATAGTTGTTGATTCTTGCGTTAAATTTTAGAATGTTTTTTGTTTAAACTATATTTGTGATAAGATCAATATCTAAAATATTGCATATATTTAAAGATGTTGTGCAAGATTTTTTAATATAAAAAATTTAGTTAATTATTAATGGACTGACTAAATAATTATTATAGCTAATTAATATTTAGTAAATATAACAAAAATATGTAATATGAGGCTGTCTTTAAGTTTTGCTTAATACTTTGCTCCAAATTTATTCTTGCATTTCTACAAGTAACAAGCTTTAGATTAAAAACATTTAATTATGTATAGGTCAACCCCTAACATAGCTAGTTAAGTCTATTTTATTATTGCTAAAAAAGTTTTTTAATAACCTTATACCTAATTTTTGTCACACATTTCTTGCAGCGTTTCTTTGTATTTCTATTTTTTTAAACTATATGCTATGTTTTTTAACATTTTAAGTTTAAAAAATATTTTTCTATACATACGGTTATAAATAATATTTTGTTATACATATGATAATCAATAGCATGTTGAAAATTCTCAAATTTATTTTAATTATTAATACCACTTGATAGAAAAAATTTAAAATAGAGAATTCAGTTGTATAAAGGCAAGTTTCTTTTTTACATTATTTTTTCACTTTTGTATCGATTAAGCCTATTTCATATGTTGATTTTTGTTCTTTTCAGCTCCAGCTAATATTAAATAACAATTCTTTTTTACTACAGCGGAATTCTCTCAAATGTTTTCTTAAGATCATTAATAAAATACACGCATTAATTTGACCCATTTTTTTCAGCTCCTTTCTTATATTTTGCCAAAAATTAAAAATTAGTTATCATTTATTTATAAAATTTTCAGAACAATGTCACAATTTCCCCTAAAAAAAATTTATGCCATCATTTCGCCTTAAAAAAATTAATGTCATCATTGTTTCCAGAAAAAAATTAAATGGCTTTTGTATTATAAAACCCTAAAAAATTGTTGTTAAGTGTTGTTACCTAAATAGGTGGTTATCAGAAAACATGGGTTTATTTATTATGTAAATATATACTTGAATATGTCAAATATCTTAAGCCAAACAACACATTGATAATTGGCATATGTCTTGCTCTTCCAACATTAAGAAAGCAATAATTTATAAATTCATTGATTACCTTTTTGACGAATGTATGCAACTGATCCAAATTATAATTATATAAATAAAATTTAATAAAAATTTAAATCAATGTAAAATTAGTTAATTACATTAGTTCTAGTCTAGCTAAGTTATTAAAATAATAAGAATCACGTAAAAATCTATATAATGGTAATACTTTTGCAGTATACGTCTTACTTATACTTTCTAACATTCCCCGGCTACTAATTCGTTTTCTTGTAAATATTATCTAACATTATGATCCCTTTGGATGTTAATTTTTTGAATATAAACGTAATTTAAAAACTTTAAGTTTTAAATGAACACAATTTGGTAATATGTAATGTTCTATTTAAAAATTGTGGCTTTTTGACATTTCTTCATTAACATATCTCGTAAAAATAATTACACTAAAGTATGGAAATTTTTTAAAAAACTTTTTTTTAAATTAAAGAATTATTTAAGATTTCTTCACTTTGCATTAATTCGCCCATTGCGCAAATAATACAACTCTAATCTAAAATTTTATAAAAAAAATCAATGTTATTATTTCTTGAAGAAGTGACATTGATCAAAATTTTCTTAGAATTTCTTAAAGTATAAATTTTTTAAAAAAAATTTAATTTTACTACAAGAGCGTATAAGCTCAATCTAAAATAAGATTTGTCAATTTCTTTTTTGTTTATTAGAGTTTCTGCTCCTTCCTTCATGAAAAATTTTAATATTTTTACTTATCAATGAGTTTCAACCCCGTGTTACACAACTTTACGTAAATTGCAAGACATCTACGGCAAGTCATTTACCCAAGTACTATTTTTAATTTAGAGTAATACAAAGAAATGCTTTTTTTAAAAACCATTAATTACATTTAATAATAATAAAAACAAATTATTTTTTTTAAAAATTGTTTTTTACAAAAAGTTGTTTTTTTCATAAAAAATTATTTTTTTTGCGACCCATGGATTGCATTTTTATTTACATCATTATGTTTTTTAAGCTGATAAGGTTGTCGTTATTAGGCACAAATAAAAATGCTGATGACCTTAGTGATTCGACACCTCAGTTAACAGGAAAAAGGAAAAAATTAGATCCTACCGAAGATCTTAAAAACTGTTTTAAAAGAAGCTGTAATAATTTTTCATCACTTGAAAATAATTCAGACAACACTCTAAAAAAAATTGCTACTACAAGTTGTCATTCAAAAAATAATTACGATTCTGTAAAAACTCCCAATTGTCATGGCATTAAGACTGAGGAAAGTTCAAGTTTCAATCCTTCTGATTTGCCTTTAAAATTAAGTCTAAAAAGTAGAGATTCTCTGAGTAACTGTGCTTCAAATACTGATTTTTTAAAGGAAAATAAATTATGCGCTAAAAAGAACTCAAATATGTATAACACTTCAGAAGCTATACCGTCTGTTAAGTGTACAAATTGCACTTTAGAACGATGTACTTGTAAAGTTATAGTTAAACACACAGATTCTGCATCAAATCCCATTGTTAGGGATACGTTAATCAAAAGTTATGAGGCTAAAATCTGTCTTTTAGTAAAAAAACTTGAGAGATTATTTTTTGTTTCGGATCGTTATTATTTAAATTTTCCGCAAATGAAAAATATAACATTTTTTAAGAATTTTTATTTACTAAGTTTTACAAATATTTCTGACAAAGACAAAGAAAAATTTAAAAAAATCAAAAAGATGTGCTCAGACAAATTAATTCCTGTAAAATACGCCGAATTAACTATTATTTCTATGTTTCAAAACATTCTTGGGCTTCGAAATACTGATAGCTGTGAGTTTCAAATTATAATAACTTGTTTGAGACATATGTTAGTTGTTTTTAACGAAATTAGTAATTCTTTTGATGAAATTAATATAAAATTGCGTGGATTAATCTTTTTTGATGATAGAATTAGTTACCTTAATTATAAAATTGCAAAACTTATGACAAATCTACCGTTAGAAAATATGATTACTGAGATAAGCAATTTACTGAAAGTAATCGCGATTTTAGATCATACTAAAGCAAGTTTGTTAAAAAATCTTAAGATTCTTAAGGAAAAATTTTTAATTGGTCGAAAAAATTTAGTAAACATTGAAGCGTGTTTGTGGGATCTTAAAAGTTTATTTTTAAGTTATGACATTCTTAATATTTTACTAATAAATAAAAATTTATTTGGTATAGTTTGATTTGATTTGTAATTTTTTACATTTTATATTGAATTTTGAAAGTATAGTTTAAGGGTATTTGACTTCTTCTTATTGATTTTTTTTTCTGTGAATTAATACTGGTTTTGGACTCGTATGATTTGACACATTAAAGATCTTCTGTGTTATTTTAATTTGTATTATTATAGGTCGCTGTAACTATCTAATTTTTATATTTATACTTAAATACAGCTTAAATTTAAATTAAAAAATCTTAATTTTATTCTACGCCATTCTAAGTAAAAATTTTCAACTTAAATTCGCTGCGTGACATTGCAATTTAATAAGGTATTGGAAAGTGTTTTTTTGTTTTAATAGCATGTAAGCAATAGTAATTATTTTTCAGTTTTTTCTTAGTTTTTAATAACACATTCATCTATCACATTTGATTAAACACATAAAGCATTTTGATGTCGCCTTAAAATTCTGCAAAACCGTTATTTATATTTTTTTAGTTTAATGATTTGCTATTTTTTTATCTGTCAAACCACAAATTTGACATATTCATACACAAATACATTAAAGTGACACATAGTGCTTTTTATTTGTTGATAAAAATTATGTAAGTAAAAAATTTAATAACAATTTTTTGCGTAATTTTTTTATCTAAGTATCGATTGCTAATCCAAAAACATAAGCCTGTCAAATAATTTAACTCAATTTAGATGTAAAAATACCTATTGTAGCAAATTTAATAGTATAAGATGTTAGTTTAACTTTGATTAAGCAGTGTTGTGGTTTTGTCAAAATTAAAACAATTTTTTTATTAAAATATAAGTAATTTTGATTTAAAAATTAACCTGCGCTAATGTAACAGTTAGTCTTATAATAGGAATTGCGTAAAACTTCTCGATTACACAAAGATACATAAACAAATGCAAGTGAAAGCTGTACAATGATCAAAAGGATAAAATTTTTAACATTTTGGTAGTATTCAAATACTTGACAATACAGATATACTTTAACATTTACCAATTTTTTCGGTAGAATATTTTTTTTTTCTAAATTTTTTTAAAATGAAAATGATTAGATGCTTGTGAAAAATAATAATTAATTTTTTTTATTTAGAGACAAAATATTAATTTTTAAAGATGTCTTACAGGCAAATATTGCATTGTAAATAGAATTTAAATAATAACAAAAAGTAATAAAAAAAAGGCATACCAAAACAAAACCATTAGATGCAGATTCGAAAAAATAAGCACTAATCGCAAACAAAACGTACAAAATGTAAGAAAAATTGTAAAAATGAGCTCGACCACCAATTATATTACAGTAGACTTCTTCGATGTATTTCAGTGAAAAATTTTGTGCAAAAATTATTAAATTAATAATTTGCAAATCTGGACGCAGTAAAAATCTAGAATGTAAGGTATATAAAGGTGGAATTAATAACCCAATACTAAAATAACTAAAAAACACTTCTCTGCGCTTTTTAATTTTAGTCAATTTAAGTGATTTAAAATACGAGGAAATATAGTTGTAAATAAAGACAGACAACGATAAAAGAAACAATGGAGATACAGGTACAAATGTAATAACACGAGTTAAAGATGAATGATGTGTAAAACAATCTACTGTATAACTTAATGATGTATCACGAAATGCTGACATAAGATGTAGAATAATAATAAACATTATACCTTCTGTAGGCCCACTAATAAAACCAAATTCAAATAAACCAGTAAATTTTTCCTCCAATCCAGAAAAATAAAACCCATACATAACTGTTAGAATAACCAAAAGCGATGTCAAGGACAAACCTAGTCGTAATGAAGAGATTAATGTAATCATACAAAAAAACACGACGCAAGAATCTACACCATGATCAAATAATTGTCCTAAAGGAGACATTTCTTTAAGTTTACGAGCTTGTGCTCCATCTAAATTATCCATTGTAAAATAAAAAAATAAACACATCGCACTAAAAAGAGAAATCCAACTTTCTTTACAACACAATTCTACATCATAAAGAATAACTGTTATAAAGTTAAATAACATAATAATATATCCGAAAAGGGTAAGCATATTAGGAGAAATGGTCTCTGGCGTATTATTAAGAACGAAAGATGTATACCTTTTAAAAATATAAGCAGATAAAATAGATCTATCAATACATCTATATTTATGATTTCTGAGGCAATATTCCTCTTTTTGAGTGAGCTTAGTTTTAAATAATGAAAACATTAAATAGGGGCGAAAAATAAATTAGAATTTTTTTTAAATTAGATACGAGATATAATAACAGCTTATACTTTAAATGGAAATGTATTACTTTGTATTTTTGTAAAAAAAACTTTTTTTTTAGTTAATGTTGTTTTTTATATTTAAAAGTTTATATTCCAGTAATAAAAACAAAAAATTGAAGTAATAATTTATTGATAAAACAAAATGAAAACCTTGTAGCAATGCTTTATTGACGGAAATTTGATAATTAGAATGATTAATTTATACAATTTTAAAAGTAATATAATAAAACTTTATTTTATATCTTTCAAATAATCAACGATCTTAATAACTTCATTTGATTGTAACTTGTAAAAAAAATATCAGTGTTATATATTCTTAAAATATAGATTTTATCAAAAATTTGTATTTTTTTAGATGCTTTAAAAAGTTAAACATTTGAATTTAAATTAAACTTATATTTATGTTTTCAATTAAATAATTATCATTTTTAACTATTTAAATTTATAAAACAATAATTAAGTTTTTTCTTGTATTTCTAAATAAGTAAAGATTTAATAAATGCATTATCTTTAAAAACAAAATTCCCGCCGCAATTAATAATTTAAACTAAATGCACGCCCGTGATATTTTAGGACTTCTTGTCTTAAATAAAGTATAATATTAAATAAAAAACTGACAAAAAATATAAGTTTAATATTGGATGTCAAAGAATTAAAGTAAAAAGTATGGGATTCGCTTTGCGTTTGTATTTTAAAAATTCCAAGTTATTTTTTAAAAACTTGTATTCATTTACTTTGTTAGTACTAATAACATTAATTCTTTATGACTAAAATAGCAAAAACAAGGATAACAAAGTAATTGTAGTTTTATAAAGGTTAAAATTAGACAGCTTGTACCTATTTAAAAGTATTAAAATCTTTGGTCTTTCCATTGAATTTATTAAATGAGAAACCAAAAGACTTTAAATAATATTAGATTTACTAACTAGGCATATCTATAAGAATAAAATATTTAATATTCTATCTACGCTTATTTTTTAGGAAGTTTAAATCTACTAAAAATACTTCTTTAAAATTTATTAACCCCTTAAATGAACTTCTCGTATTCTAAAAAGAATATGATAAATTGCTATGAAGGCTGTGCAATTGGGAATTTTTTTGACAAAAAAAGAGGTTTAGTATTTTTTAACAAAAATATTCTTAGATGCTACACTTTAAACGAGGAAAATAAACCGGTGTTTTTATCTGAACATTTTCTTCTAGAAAACATTTTACAATTAGAGACATACACAATTGATTCAGTAACAGATGGATTAATTATTTTATTTGAGTCTGCTAAAATGTGCTCAGTTTTTTTTGTCTATAATGCTCCTGTAATAAATAGCCTTAAATTTTTTGATCAAGACTCTTACGATATTTTAAATCAAGATGAAAAATTTTTAAGAGTTGGCAAAGAAATTGGTTTTGTAAAAATCAGCAAAAGATTTTTTTCAATTTTTTCTCTAAGTGATAATAATTTTCTAGCAAAGGTTTTTAAATTTACAGATATTAATGAAAAAATTTTTAATGTAGTCGATCTGGTATTTTTATCAAATTACGTTGTACCAACGTTTTGTGTTATATTTAATGCGACACCTAGAAGTTATATTAATTTAAATGTTATGCAAGCATTAATATGTTCTTATGACATAAAATTAAATAGTTTTTATGTATTAGATGATTTTGAAATACCAAGATATACAAAAAAAGTTGTTTATTCCGATGATACACTTTTATTTCTGTCTAGTAATGAAATTTTTATTAAGAATAAGCATAATGATTTAATATTGGCTCTAAACAAAATGTCCACATATCCTCATAGAGAGCATTTAGAAAACATTATTATTATTGATCCTAAAGTTTTTTTTGAAAATGATAGACTTCTTATTTTTAACGGCGATGGTACAATCTTTAATTTTTATATAATAAAAGATAGTGGAAGAATTATTGATATTATTCTTGAAGATAGAGAAAAACTTACAATACCAAAATTTTTATATTTTAAAGACAATTTATTATTTTTAGGATCAAATGAAGACTCTTTTTTATTTCTGTTATGTCATTCTACTATAAGACTTGATAAAGCCGATGAAGAAGGCAATTTTTCTAAACTTACTAGTATAATAAGTAAAGAATACAAGTATTTGTACGGTGAAACAATTGATTTTTGTGAGCAAAAAAAGTTCTGTCTAGAAATGTTATATAAACTTTCAGGCATTGGATATATAAATGATTTTTGTGTTAAATCTAATAATCAATATATTGCATGTTCAGAAGGCGTGTCTAATTGTATTTTAGAGTTTTCAAACTTTTTAAATTACGATGTGAGAAAAGTAGTCGATTGTGTAAATTTTGAAAAAATTTTGTGCATAGATGGTAATTTTTACATAAAAGATAATAATAAAAATATTATTATTATAAAAAGTAAAGCAAAAAGATTGATACTTAATGAAAGTAATGATTTAAAAGACGATAAAGATTTTGAAATTACGAATCTTTCTGATGATTCTGATGGATTTTTAAACGAGCTTTCATTTGCATTACTTTGTTTTGAAAATAATAATTCAATTTTTTTAGTGCAAAAGAATAAGATTTTAACATTTGAAAACAATATTTGTACGAAAACAGAAAATTTTATAAGTGATATTGTTAAAGTTAAGATTTACACTTACAATGGATTTGTGCTTTTAGGTTTTTTAGATAAAGAAAACAATTTTTTTTTAAGAAATCTTCATTCAACGTTTGAACAGATATTTGAAAATGCTTCATCATTTTGCTTTTACGAAAATTTATGCGTCCTAAGTGTTGAAAATAATTTAATTTTTTATAATTTTGAAACGCAACAAAATCAATGGATAATCAATGATATCACAAATTTAAATTTACAGTATCATATGGACACATTAGATTATACAAAAAAAAGGTCAATCTTTTACAAAATTATAGAAATTGAAATATTTAAATTACAAAATGTATATTGGTTGTTTTTAATTAATGAGCTGGGCCATTTTGCGATTTATAAAATAAACAAAAATATTTTAATTAAGATGCTAGTAGATGAAAACATCATTTTTGATTGTCAAACCAATATAAAGTTTTTCATCAAAATTCGAAATTATATTTATTTAAACTCCAGATCACCTTATTTTACATTTATAAATGATAGACTTGAAATTTATTTTTATCGTTCTTTGCACAACATTAGAGATTGTTCTTTTGTTGATGATAGTTGTTATATTTTAACTGATAATATTTTTGGTAAAATTTCAATTCCTGAAATAAAGAAAAATATTTGTAAAGTGAACACAAATCTGTTGAAAAATTTAACCTTATCTGATGATGTGATTTATGATAAGTATATTTTTAAAAGAATGAATATTTATAAATCACCTAAAAGTATAGAAATTTCAGGAAAGTACATTTTAGTTGTTTCTAGTATTAAAACAAAATTTAAAGATAATTCTGAAGATGAAAATCAGTTAGAGGTTTTTACGCAAAAATATTCAATCGATTTGTATACGAGTGCTTATAAATTTATTTCTACTTTTGATCTTGAATCCGATGAATATGTTTTGGATATAAAAGAGCTATCATTGAATGACAGCATTGGAATTAATGGCAAAAATAATTTTATTGTTATTTGTGTAACTAAAGTCGAAGGAGAGGATAAACATTCGAGAGGAAGAATAATAGTTTTCGAACTTATAGACATAATTGTAGATAAAGCTAATGTTCATAAAGATAAAAAATTAAAGGTTTTGGCTTCAGAAAATATTAAAGGATGCATTACAAAATGTGATGAAATCAAAGGCAATCTTATAGTTGCACTTGGAATTAAAACAATGATTTATAAAATTGATAGAAGTGAAGGACTGATTCCTATTGGAATACATGATTTATATACACTTACCACTTCTATGATTACAATCAAAAATTTTGTTCTTTTTTCTGATATTTATAGAGGGTTATCATTTTTTTACTATCAAAATAAACCTGTACGTTTTAATTTGGTTTGTACTAGTGAATCTATAAAAAATGCAGTTCATGTAGATTTTATAGTAAAAGAACCGGCACTTGGAATTATTTGTACCGATTTTGCTGGTAATATTCATACATATACATATTCACCAGTAAATATTCTTAGTTGTAACGGTACTAAATTTGTTAAAAGATGTGAAACAAATTTTAATTTAGGAAAATTGGTGATAAAACGGGCACATTCTAAATTATTAAACCCCGTTTTTATTTCAGATAGTAACTACATAATTGAACTGGATTCTTTAAGCTTAGATAATTACAATAATTTTTTAAAAGTTCAAAATGCTTATCTTTCATTGATTGAAGATACATTTGGGTTATGTCCAGAAAATTTTAATAATTGTGAATATCACTTAAAACCACCGTCTGTCAAAAAACCCATTCTAAAAGAATTGTTATTTAGATTTTTGCATCTGCCTGTCGATAAAAAAGCCAACTTTTTGAAAGAAGAAGATTTAATTTTTAAAAGCATTACATCTTGAATTAGTTTACTTTTAATTAATTAAATGTTATTTTTTAAAATTATGATAATATTTCTTAATCTTTTATTTATTCTATTTAATTGCTCCTTACTTTGTTTCTGCTACATTCTTTATTTTTTTTTAAATTTTCAATTTTTTTATAAAACCCAGAAAATGCCAATTGATGTTGACAATAGAAATTATGAAAAAAAAGAATATTTAGAAAAAACTTTTAAAAGATATAAATTAGATGATAAAATTAAATTTAACTTTTTAATAGGAAGAGATCTTTCTTATGAAGAAACTTCCCTTTTATTGCCTAATTCTTTTACCTTCGAAAAAAATGAACTTGATATTGTTGCATTAACAGAGCTGCAAAAATTTGGAAATTTTAACGAGAAGGAAACGCTTTTTTTTATTAAAATGTTTCAAACTTCCAATTCTGATGAAAAAGAAATTTTTAAAAACCTTATGCATATTTTTACAGCAAATAATAAAAAAAGAAAAAAGGCTGTGCATAAACTTTGTACAGCAAAAAATTACAATCTTGTAGTTGAAAAAATTATTTTTTGTTTAATTTCACAAGATCTTAAATTAATAGTAAAAGAAGATTTATTATTAGTTATTGAAACTTTAATAGTAAAACATATTTCTAGCTTTTTGTATTGGCCTGAAATAATTTGCCTTTTGGTTAAATTTATTAATGAAGATAATCTTATTAACAAATCTATTGATATATTGTTATTTTATATTGAAAATGAAAGTGAAAATATTATTAATTTTATAAATCAAGAAATTGAGACTGATAATTCTATTTTACAAGATATTTTAAGTAAATTAATAGCCTTGCTTGTTATAAATAATGGATACAATACGACATTAATGAGATTTATAAACATTGAAATAGAGCTTAAAGTCAATAATCAATTATTAATTTTTTTACGATCTCATTATTTTATGTTTACATTAATGGGTGGTGAAATTACAGATTTTAAAAAAGAAATGTATACCTTTTTGCATAAACTTTCTAAATTTAAAAATAAAAGAGTTCTAAAAGAGCTTGCAAATATTATTTCACATTTACACATTCAAAAGTTAATAGATGATGCAGACCTATGGTTTGATAAATTTTATACAACGGTATTGGATTTTTGTACTACAAATAACAGAGATTTTAGTACTCTCATGATACCTAGTGCATTACAAGAAAAAAGATTTTTGATCCATTTAATTCGCACCTGTGCAATTTTATCAACAAGCAATCAAAATAATTCTGTTAAAGTTTTTAAAATTATCAAAAACTGGCCTGATTTTGACATAAACAATATTAAAATATTCTACAGAATTCAAAATAATTTAGATTATAAAAGTAATATAGATTATATTTTATCTAATTTGATAAATATGTTAGATGTTAAATATAAAGAATATGAGCATATTGTATCACAAATTTTCATTAATATGTTACCAAATAAAACTATAGAAGAACATCTAATTACACATATGTGTGATAAAGAAAGTATTTTAAAAATATTTAGTCAAACACAACTACTTGCACCAGAAAATTATATACAATTTAGAGAAAGTGTCTTTATTTTGCTGAAATCAAATTCTACATCATGTTTGAAAAATATTTTGCATTTTTGTGAGATTGGAAAGTTTAACAAAGAAGATTTTAATAGACTTTTTGAACTAGGAAAGCAGAAAATTGATGGTGTAGAAGATAAAATAAAGATTTATGGTTATAAGATTTTAAACGCAACAATTCATTGTATAGAAGATACAGACGTAAAAAATTTGGGAAAAGTACTTTACGAAAAATTAGATAAAACAAACCTTCCGTTGTTAAGTAAACAACTTGAAACTTTAGCTAAAATTTACGAAAAAGCCCCTTTTTCAAATTGTTCTGATTTAGTACTCGAACTTGCTCCACTTTTGAAATATAAAAATGAAAAAGTTAAAGAAAAAATTGTTTTTTTCTTACTTACAATATTAAATTGTACAAAAGTCAATAATATTAAAAAAATAGAGTTTATGCGTATAACTTATGACGTAATGGATTACCTTTCATTTTGGTATATTAAAAGGAAACAAATAGGTGTGGATTTATTAATAAAACTTTCTGATATTATACCTCCTCAGGAAATTGTAAATATTTTTTTAGAATTTCTAGAATGCAATGATAAAAATGTCAAAACAGGCCTTATTTCAGGAATATCACAACTTTCTAATCATTGCGGAATTTATAATATACTGCCTGTTTTACTTGTTGATTATTCTTATTTAGAAGATAAATCTAAATTAATTATTGTACAAATACTTAGTAAATGTAAAATAGATACTAAATATATTTCTTATCTTAGTTATTTGATAGAAGATTGTATTATTAATAATGATGCAAATTTTAGATTAGCAGGTATTAATTTATGCACACAATTATTAATTAAAAATGAAAAGCATAATTTAGATGTAGAAATTTTTACGCATTTTTTAAATTTAATATGGTTTAATATTCTAGAAAAAAATATTGAAATAAAAAAAGTATTTGAGAAATTTATACAAGAATTTACAAAAACAATAGGCGGACAATTTTTTATAAAATATCTGATACAGGGTCTTTACCATCCCTCAAAAAAAGTACAAAAGAGATACATGGAAATTTTTAATATTGTAAAAAACAATGATGATTTTGTAAATGAATATCTTTTGGTTATAGATAAAGAACTACAATGACATAAATATAATATTTTATAAATTTTGATAGATTTTAAGAAATTTAAATCGTTTTATTTTTATGAATGCAAGTAATAAATTATTAAAAATTAAATTAAATTTATTAAAAAGATTCGGGTTCATATCTAAAAGGTTCGATATCTTTACCCGGCTTAGTTTGTACAATTTTATTTAAGATCTTTTTGTACATCCTATTAGTATTACATTCTTTAGATACAGATGTATTTAACTTTAAAATGTAATCTTCCTTAGAATATCCAAAAAGAATAGAAGTTTTATATTTATCATCAATTTCAGTAATTCCTTCATTAACAATTACATGACTAGAGCCAAAATCTTTTCTTTGTTTATAATCTATTCCTTCTTTATTTTCTGTAAATGTATTATATTTTGTTTTTATAATTTCTAATCCTGGTCCTGCCCAATCACCCCATCCAGGTAAAATCCTTTCAACAATTTTAGGCGTATTTTCGTTAACAATTTCTTCCTTCTCTTTAATAAAATCTTCTTCATTTTCTTCCATATCGTTTTTAAAAGCCAATTTAACAATTTCATGCTGTTCTTTATTTTTTATAGAATCTGTAAAATTAAAAATAGGAGCATTATCTACAATATCATCATTGTAAACTTCCTCTTCTTCTTCTTCAATTTCAGGATTTTCAGTGATATTAATTTCTTGTTCTTCGCAATCTACATCTTTTCTAGCCAATCTTTTTACCTTTCTGTATGATTTACTTTTAATACGCTTAATTTTTCTCATTTTTGCATCGTAGTTGTGTTGAAAAGTTAGTCTTTTATTTTTTTCATCAACAGATTCAGACCTTTTGTTTAAAATTGCAGATAATGTTGATTCCAGTTTTGTCTTCGGAACAATATTATAAAAATTTGGTTTGGTTTGTCTAAAGCCTGTTATAGACTCTTTGTTAGCTATAAACTTATTGATTTCTTGTCTGTTATTAATAATAAGTGGTTTTTTAGTATCTATTGTTTCTATATGCTCATCTACAATTAAATCGTCAATAGTTAATTTGTTCGACATTTAAGGGGTAAAATAAGTTGAGAAAGACAAAACTACTGTAAAATATAATTTTTCATTTTAATATTGTTTTTAACGAGGAATGACTGTTATTTAAAATAATTTTATTTTACCCCTCATGCAAGGAAAACAAAATTCTAATAAAACAGTTATCGATAGTTTTAGTTTATAAAAAATTGTATAATTTTTATGTATAAAATTTAAACTTAATCGCATCACAGGGAGAAACTTCTATAATAAATTTTTACAATGGTAATTTTTGTAATCAAATACATCAAAAATGATATTATTTTTGTATCTATTTGTAATAAAATTATTATCTAAATGTTTCTATGGATTTACAATTGATTTTTTAAATTAGAGCATTTAAAATAAACAAATGCAATTTTTAATTTCATCAAATATGCAATTGCAGAACCCTTATGAATTTATTGCCTTTAGAAGACATTGTTAATGCAGAAACAAAAATTAAGGTAGTATTTAATCATAAAATAAACAACTTCGGATTTTTAATCAATGATACTACACAAGATATAGAAGTAGGCGTCAAAGTAGATGTTCCTTTATATATTGCGCAATTTTTGTTGGAAAACAAACACTGTACACTTGTCAATGAAATACTTTCTGAAGAAATAAAAAACGATTTAAGAGCCAACTCATCAATTATTAATCTTAATTTATTGTACACATACTTCTACTATTTTATTTCTAATTTTGAAGATAACGACTACGTTTTAAATATTATGTTTTCTAGATACAATTGCCTATTTAAGTTAATTTTAAAAGAACGCCTAGACGAGGATGATCTATATATTCTTGATGTTAGTGAAAAGAAAGTTATTACAACTGCTAGAAAGTATTTTTTATTGTATAGAACTTTTTTTATTAAATCGTAGTTATTTTTTACTTATTGTTTTTACCCCCATGACAGTGTACGAATGCCGATTTCATAGGAAAAAATACCCTGCAGAAGGAGAAATTATTATCGGAAAAGTGGCTACTGTTGACAGCGAAGGTGTTAGTATAGATCTCTTGGAATATGGTGATGCCTGTGGTTTTGTGCTTTTAAGTGAGCTATCAAAAAAACGAGTAAAAAATATTTGTCAAATTACCAAAGTAGGAAATTTAGAAGTGTGTATTGTACTCAGAGTAGATGATGAAAAAGGGTACATTGATTTGAGTCTTACACGAGTAAATGAAGGCGAAAAGGAAGAGTGTAAAAAAACCTATGCGAAAAATAAAATAGCTTATAATATAATGTTTAAAGCAGCTAAGAAACTTAATAAAAGTGTCACAGAACTTTATGAAAATTTTGGTTTTGATAAATCGGAGGAGTTTGGATCATTATACTATTTCTTCGCTCGTGTTAAAGAAAATGAAAGCATTCTTGAAGATAGCGAGCTAGGTCTTGTTATTAAAAAACTAATACAAGATGAATTTCAAGCAAGTTCATATAAAGTCAGAGCAGATATTGAAGTCACTTGTCCATCTAAAGGAGGAATAGAAGCTATTAAGGAAGCACTTCTAAAGGCTGCTGGAAAGGACAGTAAAGTTAATATTTCACTGCTTAAAACGCCTACATATTCGATCGTTAGGACTTCTTCTGATAAAAAAAAAGCATTTGACATTGTACAGCAGGTATGTGAGAATATTGAAACTGCTATTACTGAACAAGGTGGTGCGATATCCATTGTGAGTAAACCAAAGTTGTACGGTGAAAATAGTAAATATTCTCTATTAAATTTAGCTGAAGATTTACACGACACTAGTTCATCAAATTAATAAATTAAATTATTTTACGTATAAAACTATTTATTATTGACGTGTAAGATATTTGATTAAGGAATAAGGTACATGTTTATTGGTTTATTTTTTATTAACAAGTATTTATGGGTTATCTCTTTACCCTACGATGGGAGATAATAAGAAATTTTACATGAGTGGGATACAAGAATATATTGATGAAACACAAGATGACACTGATTTATATTTTAAGTATGGTGTTTACCTCGCATCTACAGGTGCAAAATTTGATATATCACTGTTTAATGATAAAGTGGCACTATTAAATTTTTTGAAAAAAGAAAAGTTTACGATAAAACGTAAGAAAAAAAACATAGATTGGTAAAATATAATATTTTACCCCAATGATGAGAATTGCAACGCCTTTGGCATCTAAAGATCAGTTAGAAATGATAAATAAGATTATTGAAAATACTACTAGTCTTGTTACTGGTATTAAAGCATGTACAAAAGAGATCAATAAAGAAAATAAAGGCATTATTATTTTGACTGCTGATACAACACCAATGGATTTAATCACACACATACCTGCGCTTTGTGAAGAAAAGAATGTAAAATATCTTTTTGTTGAAAGAAAAAATTTACTTAAAGGTGCTTTTACCTGTCTTTTTATAAAAAGAGAAGATTGTCAGTCTTTTTATTCTACACTAAAATAAATGATTTTTATTATCTTTTTTTATAATCTAATTTTCAAATACCCTGAATTGTTTTATGGATTCTAATTTTATGACAACAAAAGAGAAAGACTACGTAAGTTACATTTTTACAAAAAATACAAGACAATTAAAAGGCGATATTGATTATAAAAAGGTATTTTCTGGTATAAAACAGGACTATACTTCTTTTAAAAACGATATTAAAACATCTTTTGTTTTTGGTAAAGATACATGTAGAGACAATAAGAAAAATCGATATTTTACCGCATCGAAAAATATTCCACAAAATTTACAATTGGAATGTGAAGTGGATAACATTTATACAAAATTAATTTGCACAAGATATTTTACTAACGAAATAAGTATATCTTATGATCCTATGAAATATATTAAAACTAACAAATTGTGGGATTTACTCCAACTGACATTTGAAAGTTTTGATGACAAAAAAAATGTTATTGTAAAAATTAGTAAGCATTTTGAAGATATCGAGGCAATAGATAAATTTACAGATTTTATTAATGACTGGTACGATAAAATACCACAAGTAACTGCTTTTGATCTTGATAAAGATTTTTCAGTAAATTTTATGACTAAAAGTTCGGGTCTTGTACTAGCTACATGCTTTTTAATAGGAAATAATGATCTTTACGAGATATTTTATAACAATACTATAAATAATATGGAAGTAGCACTAATACACAATGAAATATGGAATTTTCTTGTTGTTTTAATGAATTTTTGCAATAAAGAACAGAAGTTCGAGCTGATTAAATCTACAAAAGAAAGGTTACATGAAATTAAATGTGATAATGAAAAATTTGATAAAGCAAAAACTTTTTTGAAATGTTTGGGACTTGAACCAGAAGACATTAGTTTATAAATTTATTTAATAATAAGTTACTTATTTAAATAATTGGCTTACTAATTATTTAATACAATTATATCCAGTTTCATATCTAAGTGATATGTTTTGTATAAAATTTTCGTCATAATCAATAAAAACCTTATCTTGTAATATTTCCTCTATTGTCGGTCTTTTTTCCGGACCAATTGCAAGAATTTTATCCATTAAATTTACTAATTCTTCATCGTTAAAACAAAACTTTTTTTTTAAATTTCTTTTTGATTGCGGGATTTGCATACCAAAGTCTTTCATTCCTGGCAATGTTTTAGAATTAATTGATCCGCATAAAACAACAATGTATTCAAGAACTGCAATTTCTGTATTTCCTGGAAACAATGGCCATCCTTGCATTAATTCACCCAAAATACATCCTAATCCCCAAATATCACATGAAAAGTTATATTTCATATTTAACAAAATTTCAGGTGGCCTGTACCACAAGGTAACTACACCTGGTGAATAACAAGAGTTCTTATTTGTCACTGTTGCCATGCCAAAATCTGCTATTTTAATATTTAAATTAAAATCTAAAAGTATATTTTTACTTTTTAAGTCTCTGTGTATAATATTCTGTTTTTTTAAATATTTTAAACCTTCTGAGATTTGTTTTATTATGTGAATTATTTCTTTTTTATTTGGAATATTTCTCTTCAAATAAATATAAAGATCAAATTGATAAAATGGAAACACAAGGTACAAGTCACAACCATCTGTGTTAATTTCAAGTAAATTTATGATATTTTTATGATTTAATTTTCTCAAAAATTTTATTTCTCTTATAGTTGTAATATGAATACCATCTTCATTCTTATTAATTTTTTTGATTGCAAAAGAATTTCCTTGTTTTACAGTTTTGTAAACTTTACCAAATGTTCCTTCTCCAATAACCTCAGATAATTTATAATTTAACGTAAACTTTGTAAATTTTTTAGAATGTTCAGAACTTCTTATATCATCGTTAGTTATAAAATCTAAATTATATTTATAATCATTATCACTAATTGTTTGTTGTATATTTTTAATATTATCAGTCTCACATTTATATTCTTTTTTATCAATTATTTGTTTATTTTTTTCATCTTGTTTTATTTGTTTATTTCTTTCATTCATGCCCTCAAAATATTTTTTTACAACTGTTTAATTTTTTTATACACTTCAAATAAACTATTTTTATCATTAAACCAAATACCATATGTTTCTTTCTTATCTGTTAGTATAGTAAGTATATCATCATGTATTTTTGCCTTAGTCAAATTATTTATTTTTATTGTAAAATCATTTAAACGAATTCTATTAAAAATTGTTAATTGTAAATCTTCTTCTTTTCTGGTGTATAATACAAATGTCCCATAAATATCTAAAGAAGCCCATTCTTCATTTTTGTATTCATAAAGTGATGTATATTTTGTAAATAAAACAAGATTTAAAAAATCTTCATCTATACTTTTTAAATATCTTTCTATTATTTTTTTAATCACACAATCAGACATAAAGGGTTAAATTAAAATAAAACTATAAACTTTTAGATTAAAATATTATTATAGCATAAATGCATGAATAAAAGTTTTATAGAATTTTCTGATAAGACATTGAATTATTCAAGTGATGACTCTCTAACCATTGATTCATCATTTCTTAAATATGATTTACTATTAAATAGTGTGCCGTACAGTGGTATAATTTCAAAAGAGCCAAAATCTTACGCATTTCCTAAGTTTATACCGCGTTTGTTGCTGGGCAAAAACCCAATTATTTGTGATGAAGAAGTTTATTTTCGCTTATACGGTCATAAAACTACATTTAACCAAAAAATAAAAAAGAAAGAATATTTTACAAATGAAAAAGAAAACAGCAGTAACACAACTAATAATAATCCCTCTGACAGTCTATTTTTACGAACAGTGCCTGTTCTTATTAACCCTGCCACAGAATTGAAATATAAAATAAACATTCATGACATGGATTCTCGCACGACATGCATGATTAAAAATATTCCTAACAAATATACACAAAAAATGTTAATAAATCTTCTCAATGAGCATCATTTCGGATGCTACGACTTTGTATATCTTAGAATGGATTTTAAAAATAAGTGCAATGTTGGTTACGCCTTTGTAAATTTTACTTGTACAGAACACATTAAAACATTTTACAAAAAAATTAATAATAAAGGATGGAAATTGTTTAGTAGCAATAAAATTGCAGAATTAACTTATGCATCAATCCAAGGATTCGACAGCTTAGTAAATAAATTTAAAAACTCAAATGTAATGAAAGAACAGGAATCTTATAGGCCAAAAATTTTTCATAAAGAAGGAAATTTAAAAGGATATGAAAAATCAATGTTTTAAAATAAACTATTTAAAAATATTATAAATTTTATATACAAAACTATTTAAAAATATTATAAATTTTATATACAAAACTATTTAAAAATGCTATAAATTTTATATACAAAACTATTTAAAAATGCTATAAACTTTATATACAAAACAATTAAAAAATGCTATAAACTTTATATACAAAACAATTAAAAAATGCTATAAATTTATTATAAAAAACTATTAAAAAATATTATAAATTTTATATAAAAAACTATTTAAAAATGCTATAAACTTTATATACAAAACAATTAAAAAATGCTATAAACTTTATATACAAAACTATTAAAAAATGCTATAAATTTTATATACAAATCTTTTTTAACCCTTATGACAATTTACTACACGCTTGTAAGAGAAAACAAAACCAAAAAAATAATTGGGGGTGAGTTTAGTCCACAATCAGAAACTATAACTATAGGTAAGGATATATTAAAAGAAATACGAGATATTTCTAATAATGGAAATATTGCTAAAATTGAATCTGCTTTGGATCAAAAGTTTATTTTTATTGTATATTTGTATAAAGATGTTTTGTATTCTGTTATTATCGATCAGTACGAAAAAGATAATAATGTAATAAACTACATTCATTCTCTTAGCCAAAAATTGTCAGAAAAAGAATACAAATCTTACGAATTTGATAATGTAATTAAAGAAAAGAGTAATGAATTTAATAAGGATAAAACACTTAAAGAGATTGATGATACAAAAAATATACTAGCAGATTCATTAAATTTGATAATTCAACGAAGAGAAAATATAAATAATATTAGTAAGTTGGCAGATAGATTAACTTTTGAAACCAAAGAAATGCACAGTTCTATAAAGAACATGCAATTTAATAATCTTGTTAAAGAATATGGAGTGTATGCAGTTATAGGATTTATAATATTTTTATTTCTGTATTTTATTTTACATTAAATGATTAAACCTTAAAATTATTTAATAATATTATTTTACTCAAAAATTTAATTAAACAATAGCTTAACATTTTTGTCAGTTTTAAAACTAAACTGCAATATTCCATTTTTCATTAAAAAAAATCCATCTTTAAATTTATCACGAATTTCTTCAGAATTTGTTTGTTTTACGTATCCATGAACAAAATCTTCACATTTACCCCACAAAAGAAAATCTTCATCTTCCTTAAACAATTTGATAAAATTGCCTATGTTTTTTAAGATATCCTTTTTTGTTTCGTAATCTAATGTTTGATATTCATATAATATTTTTTGCTCATATTTTACAGGTGTATCCCGTGTCACAGCAATAATCATTTTTAAATTCTTTAAATTTTTTGTAAAATTTTCTTTCTTCGCTTTAGTAATAACTTCAATATTCTCCTTAACTTTAGCTTCAAGCCGAAGTCTCTCAAAAAGTGGTAAACTTTTATCCAAATGTACTACCTCCCCATTATCTACTTTTAATTTAATTTCTTCTATTTTTTTCTCAGCTTTTCTTACTTCATTACCAGTGATACCAATTACTCGCCTAACATTACTAGAAATACTACTTTCACTAATAATTTTTAATTTATAAAGATCACCAGTATTTTTTACGTGACATCCACCACAAAGCTCTCTTATTTCAGGATTTTCCAATTTACCAATACAGATCATCCTAACAATCGATGGATATTCTTCATTTTTCATATAAATTAAATTTTCTTCTTTTAATAAATCTTCTTTAGGCATAAATTTAATTGTAACAGGTAAATTTTGTTGAATACACAAGTTAATGTTATCTTCAACTTTTTGTAAATCTATTTTATGCCCTTCAAAATCAAATCTAAATTTATTTTTTGCTACTAAACTTCCTCGTTGCATTGTATTAATCTCTTTTCTCAAAAAATAATTAAAAAGATGTGTTCCAGTATGATTTCTTTCAATATCTGATCTATCATCATATTCTAAATTGGCATATAGTGTTACTTTGCCTTGTAATTTTCCGTAATGTAAAACATAACCATTAACTTTTTTACAATCATCTACTATAAACCTACCAACTTCAACATTATCTTCATAAAAAGTTATTAATCCCGTATCACCTATTTGTCCGCCGCTTTCACTATAAAAACATGTTCTATCAAAAACCATACCAATTCTTGTATTTTCAGGAGGCAGATTAAAAAATTTGGGATTATTCTCTGAAATATTACAAATCGATTCAAGACTTGATGAAATATCATCATTTATAACATTAAATTTTATAATTTTTTTTTCTAAAGTAAAAAATTGTAATCTACCACTTATCCCATTTTCTGTATATTTAAATTGATCATCCGTTACAGAAACATCAGATAAAATAATTTCTGTTATTTCATTATTAATTTTTTTACTTAATTCTCTTGCTTTTTCTTTGCATTCTTCAAATTTTGAAAAATCCAATTTAACATTATGTTCCTCTGCTAACATTTGCACTAAATCTGTAGGAAATCCGTATGTATCGTAAAGTCTAAAAATTTCTTCACTAGAAATAATTTGTGAATTCATGCTCATTTTTTTAAATCTTTCTAAACCTTTTTGTAGTGTTTCTAAAAATTTATCCTCTTCACGATTGACATCTAATATACCTTTTTTTATTTTAGTGTCATATAAATTATGATCAATTTCTCCATCATCATTTTCTAATATTTCAAGCAACATTTCTTTTAGAATTTCTTTTACCAAATTTCCGATGTCCCCTCTTTGCATTTTTAAAATATCATGTGCATAACGAACCGCACGTCTTAAAATTCTGCGCAAGACATAGCCTTGTCCTTCATTAGAAAATTCTACGTTATCGATTAAACAGACCGCAATAGTTCTACAGTGATCTGATACAGCTCTAAAAGCTGTATCTTCAATCGTTAACTTGTCTTCATATTTTTTATCTGTCATATTTTCTATATTTTTTATAATTGGTATAAAGCAATTAGTAAGGTAATTTGATTTAACATTATTTAAAATACTTAGTAGTCTTTCAAATCCTATACCTGTGTCAATACATTTCCTTTCAAGTGGCTCAAGCCCAGTAGGAGTTCTATTGTATTCTATAAAAACAATATTCCATATTTCTATAACATCGGGATCATCTTGATTTACAAGTCGAGATGCATCTCTTCCTCCGATACGGTCATAGTGAATTTCTGTGCAGGGACCACATGGGCCAGTATCCCCCATTTCCCAAAAATTATCATTTTTATCGGCTTCTATAATACGCTCACTTGGTAGAAATTCTTTCCAAATGTTATATGATTCACTATCCATATCTTTATAATAAGTAACATATAGTCTATCCTGTTCTAATTTAAGAATATTTACTAAAAAATCCCATGCATATTCAATAGCCTCTTTCTTAAAATAATCACCAAATGACCAATTACCCATCATTTCAAAAAATGTATGGTGATAAGTGTCTTTTCCTACATCATCCAAATCATTGTGTTTACCACCGGCTCTAATACATCTTTGTATAGAACAAGCTCTTTTTAGATTTGTTTCTTGTCCCATCAAAATATTCTTAAATTGTACCATACCACTATTTGTAAATAGAAGTGAAGGATCATTACTAGGAATAACAGAACTCGATTTAATAATCTCATGACCTTTAGATTTAAAATATGAAAAAAATGCCCGTTTTAATTTTTTAACAGTGTATTCAACCATTAGGGCTAAAAAAATTTAACAATAAAAATGAATGATAGTAACTTCGGCCTTTAAATGAATATTTACAAATTGAATACTAAATAGTGCAATTTACAGTGATAAGATTTGATTAATTTTTAGACAATAACTTTACATATAAAAATTCTAAAATTTAGTTATTTGTATAAAGATATGCATTTTTAGAAAAGACATGACAGCTATTCAATGCAAAAAATTATTATTTTTTAAAATCAAAATTTATTTTAAAAATGTAATGCTATACTGCTTTATCGATGATAATTTCTATGAAGTAGCATTCTTCTCTTTTCATTAAATTCTTTATTACAAATATCACATCTGTAAATACATATATTTTTTACATATTTTTCATCTGTACACCACATTTCTATTTCTAAAGGATGTCCATTAATTGTTTCAACTTGTATTTTTTGTTTATAAAATCTTGACATTTTAAAGGGTCAAACTTTCGTTACTAATCTATTCAATAAATTCGTGCACAATCTATTCAATGAATTCGTACATAATCTATTCAATGAATTCTTGCACAATCTATTCAATGAATTCGTGCACAATCTATTTAATGAATTTGTGCACAATCTATTCAATAAATTTGTGCACAATCTATTTAATAAATTCATGCACATTTATTTTTTCCATAAAAAAATATACAAAATAAGTGTTAATGTTATAAAAGTAAAACTAATACACAATAAATTATCATACAAGAAACATGAAACAATGCTTGATTTACACGCAGTCAATTTTACATTAAAGATATTTAAATTATTTATATCTTCATTAAAAGACATGTAAACTAATTTATGATCAGAATTACTAAATTGATTAATTATATTGTAATTTGTCACATTACTTAATTTTATATTTTTATATAAAATTCTATCACAATATGATGGCATCCTAGTATTATTTAATACATTTTCATTGTATTTATAAGTAAATTTAAAGCAAATTTCATTTTCTAAATAACCATATTGTCGTTTTATTGCATCTAATTCATCAAAATCTTTACAATATTTAAAAATTTGCTTTGTAAATCTGTAGTTAAAATCACCTGCTAAAATAACAGGACCACCAATTTTTAATATCAAGTGTGTTATATAATTAATCTGTTTATTTCTTAGTGCTAAATTATTTTCACCATCTTTTAAATGTAGGCTTATAAAGATTAATGAACTGTTTATATTTGATATTATACATCCTTTGTTACCCAAGTAGCACTCGCCGAAACAATAAACATAAAATTTTACATCAAGCTGCATTTTTGATAAAATAAGAGCATGAATGCCATACATTCTATTATAATACACATAAGGGTAGTTTTTAGGTAAATTAATTGTATAAAAGTATTCCTGTATTGAAATTAAGACTATATCAAAAGTTAGAGTATTAATATAATCTAAAAGATCTTCATAAGCCATTTTATTATTATTTAGATTATATGTAATCACTTGAATTTTTTGCATAAACTTAAAAAGAATTATTTTAAAATAATTAATGCACCAATAAAAACATTCTGTTCTTTATTTCAATTCGATAAAAATAAATTTAAATTTTTTAAATAACTATTTATTTTATGTAAATTACATCATCTATATGTTTATATAATGATACAAAAATATTTATGTTGTTGTCAAAAGAGTTGTTTCTAAAACAAGACAGTTACACTTCGGAGAAGACTTCGCCCTCTCTTACCCCAGATTAAAATTTTATAAACTTTTTCTTTTAAAATTAAATACAAGAGAATGTGAAAAAAAAGTTTTTTATATTTTGTTTATATTTTAGGCAGAAAAATTGGTTTTTTAAAGGTTGTTTATTCTAAAAAAAATTAGAGATTGTGTATTTTGTAAAAAATAATAAAAAAATATTTAGTTAAGCTTTTCAACTAACTTACTATTTTTTTTAATCTTATTATATCAATTTTTTCAAAATTATCGAACTGTTATCTTCTGCAGCTAACTTTACCATATTAAACTGCAATATTTCCACAACAATATAGACTATAGTATTTAAATGCTCATGAAGTGGCACTCTTCTTGTTTGGATATTATTGCCAATGTTTGGCCTAATTAAAATCCTACCATTTAAATATTAGAAACCATTTCGCCATCAACTCTTTTCAATCATACGATCTGCAGCTATTTTTGTAGATAATCTTGTATTTTCACGCATAACCAAACTTTTCATAGAATTATCAACAGTTATTTGTCCAGATCTTGCTCTTTTATAAATTCTATAATTAAATTATCAAAATTTGAAAGTATAACATATCTAATAAACATTTTATCTTCTATACGTTCAATTTTTAAATCACAGTTAGAATCGTTGCTTGTTAAAATTATAGAGTCTATTTGATCGTTAGCCATCAACATCCTTATACTTAACCCAATTATATAGTTTTATAAATATCCTTAAAAACATTTAATTTCCTAGTTATTCTTACAACTTCTTTTCTTTTGCTCTTCAAAAGCAGGAGGTAAATTTTTAAAAAATCTTAACCCACTTTTTGTACCATGAATAGCACTTTAGCTGATAAAAATTTGTAAAGTACAAGGTGTTATTGAAGCATCAAAAAATAAACTCAATTAATTTAATTAACATTTAACAATCTGTTTTTTTATGTAAACAGTAAAAACAAGGCAATCAGCAGTATTAATTTAATGGCGTTGGCATGTCTGTTTTATAAATAATAATAATTACATAAACCCATATTTTATTTCAGCATTTTAATTTTCAACAAAAGGTAATTTCTTTCAAATTTAGTAAACTTGTAAAATTTTTCTGTTTCTGAAATATGTTGTCTAACTAAAATTTTAAATGTTTCTAATAATGGTTTCATACAAAAATTGTAACTTTTAGAAACCTCATATAATTCTCTAAATATCGAATATTCATTAATTATCTTATTTAATTTTGCGAGTTCTGCTTCAGATAAAGAAATTAATGTTTTGAAACTATTATTTAAAGCTTTTTTTAGATTTATTTCTGTATACAAAAGAAATTTATAATATTTAACATGGGTTTCTTTTAACTTAATTTGATACTTATTAAAATCTTCAATAATTGATGTTGAATCATCTTCTAAAATATTATAAATAGTTGCACACAATTCTTTGAAATCTTTTGACATAAAATTTATTTCGCTTTCCAATATCTTAATATTTTCAAATTTTTTTCTTTTATTTTCGATCAGAGCACTGCTAATAATACAAAATGCGTTATACATAGATTTAAAACAGCTTTTATAAAAGGCATAGTCTTCTGGAGTGATTTCTTTTGCAGCTTCAACTCTAAAACATCCTAAGGAAAGAAAGAATCCAATCAATTTAGGCCTATTATTAACTTTATTGTATTCTTTATATATTAATTCCATTTCACCATTTAATATTTTTTCATTCTTTCTCAGTAACCCAATCGACTTTTTATAAAATTCATAAATCTCACGTGCTTTACTTCTTTCTTCAGAATTTTTAAACATAACACTTTTTCCTTTTTTTTTAAAAAATATTGGCGGATTATCTACGTCTAAAGTTTCTGTACGTCCAATATTGAGTATTTCATTAAACTTATTTTTCATGTAGTTACTATTTTTATTCTCACCTGTGGATTCCTCAATAAGTGTTTCGTATTGATTCATGCAGTAGTAAAATATCAAAAATAGATAGAACATGGGTTGTCTAAAAATTTTATAATTTAAGCATTTTTTACTATTTAATTAAAAAGTATAATTGGCTGTATTTCGGTTAAAAAATAAAAACAGTATATTTTTTTAAATTATTATGGTTTTATCAGTTTTTGTTTTTAAAACTTCGTATAATTAAAAAAATTAAAGTTTAATAAATATCTTAAATACAATTGTTGCTAAAATTTATTTTTTGTTGTATATTTTTTAATTATTATTTAATTAAAAACTTTACATCATAATTTTGTATAATTAAATGAGGTTTTTAAAAATATTATTGTTTAATTGTAGATTTAAAATATTCTACAGTCCGATACCACCACACGCAGATAACCTAAATATTTTAAGTTGAAAATTGATTCTAAATTTGTAAAAAATAAACAACTTTTTTACAAAAAAATAAAATTTGTGTGCTAAACAATTTAGGAGAATATAATCAAATTATTAAAATCGTAAAATAAGTTAAACTAAAATAAATTTTATATTTTAATTGTTTCAAAAATTTAATTTGTGTTGCACATTTTTTAATTTACCCTCTTTTTAAATTTTTATTTTTTCACATAAGACAGGAGTTAAAATAAATTAAATTTTCAAAAAGTAAATTATATTTTTAAAAGGCTTTATATAAAAATGAATAGTTGTTTTATTTACTAATAATTACAACTATTGAAAAAAATTGTATGTTGTTAAAAGTAAAGTTACTGCAAATTGTATGACGGATAAAATAATCTATTTAATGTTTTTAGATTAATAATTATCGTAAACCTTGAGAAGAAAGCCGAAATTATGATAATTTTCTGCAATACTAGATAAAGCATAAGATTTTTATTATAGTTTAGTTTCTCTATTATTTTTATCTTGTTTTATTTGTTTAAAAAGTTATAGTTCTTCATTTTCTTTTTGTTTTTAAATAACATAAATTATTTCGTTTATAGTCAAATTTTAAATAAAAAATGTCTATTAATTGATTTTAAAACTGTTAGAATAAATACCTACATGTAATTTGGATACCACAATGCTATTTCAAAATGTAAAAGGATTTTAAATATTTTAATACTTAAAATTGAAAAAGGATCTTAGCTGTCTAAATACTTAAAAATTTTCTCTTTTTTCTGACTACATAAAACACAAGAATAAATTAATTTTATAAAATTTTTATTTATTAAATAGGTCGATAAATAAATTTAAAATAATCAAAAATTCTTGTAAAAAACGTTTGTAAAAAGTAAAACATGTCGTTTTGTAAAAATTGCATTTCTCTTCTATGTCTATATATTTAAATTTGAGTTAAAAAAATTTAAAGAGTTTTATTCAAAATGATCAGCACAAGTCACATAATTTTTACTATTTATTCACAAAAAAACAATACAATTAATTTTAAAACGCAAGGAATAGTGGAACGAAAGAGCTACATGTGGTCATTTTTGCCCCAAATAAAAAATTTTGATTAATCTACTTAAAGTAAAAAACGAAATAAAAAAAATTGAAATCTATTTTTCTGTGAAAATGTATTTCTTAAAAAGACCTTTTTTACTACAATGCTAGCAAAAACACTCGTAATAATTCTTTTTATTGTACTTATTATTAAATCCACTTCACCCATGCACTTGTTTGGTGAATTTTCTATTACTGCTTCAATATTGGAATATTTTTTTCTTCCTGGCATGGCATTTTTAAGAGCATTTTAAAAAAATTAATTTATAGTATTTGTGAGCAAAAGTGGCTAAAATTTATTTATTTTAAATCATTAGAATGATAAACAGAAATTTTGAAACTTATAGATACATGTTTAAGGGGTTTCCCGCTTTAAGAATTGGTTTTAAATGAATTTTTAAAAGTCTTTAGTTCAAATATTTTAACATTACTTTAGATTATTTTCTAATTTGCTCTAAAGTTAATAAAATTTTATAAAATACAAAAATTTAATACAGCACTTTAGTCTCTTTAAATCATCTTCAAGATTTTGTTATTTTCTTATCCCCAGTAAAAGGTAATTTCTTTCAAATTCAGTAAATTTGTAAAATTTTTCTGTTTCTGAAATATGTTGGCTAACTAAAACTTTAAATGTTTCTAATAATGGTTTCATACAAAAATTATACTCTTTAAAAGCCTCATATAATTCTCTAAATATCGAATATTCATTAATTATCATTTCAAAATCAATCTTTTCTGCTTCAGATAAAGAAATAAATATATTTAAATCATTAACCAAAACTTTTTTTAACTTTATTTCTGTATATAAAAGAAATTTATAATATTTAACATGGGTTTCTTTTAACTTAGTTTGATACTTATTAAAATCTTCAATAATTAATCCTGAATCAACTTCAAAAAAATCACAAATAGCTGCGCACAGTTCTTTGAAATCTTTTGACATAAAATTTATTTCGCTTTCCAATATCTTAATATTTTCAAATTTTTTTCTTTTATTTTCGATCAGAGCACTGCTAATAATACAAAATGCGTTATATATAGATTTAAAACAGCATTTATAAAAGGCATAGTCTTCTGGAGTGATCTCTTTTGCAGCTTCAACTCTAAAACATCCTAAAAAAAGAAAAAATCCAGTCAATTTAGGCCTATTATTAATTTTATCATATTCTTTACGTATTAGTTTCATTTCATCAGCTGATATTTTTTCATTCTTTCTCAGTAACCCAATCGACTTCTTATAAAATTCATAAATCTCACGTGCTTTACTTCTTTCTTCAGAATTTTTAAATAAAACATTTTTCCCTTTTTCCTTAAAAAATATTGATGGCTTATCTACGTCTAAATTTTCTGTACGTCCAATATTGAGTATTTCATTAAACTTATTTTTCATGTAGTTAATATTTTTATTCTCATCTGTGGATTCCTCAATAAGTGTTTCGTATTGATTTATGCAGTAGTAAAATATCAAAAATAGATAGAACATGGGTTGTCTAAAAATTTTTTTAATATTTATTAAATAATTTTAGTTTTTAGAATTATTGATAAATTCAACTTTTGTAAAAATTTGTTAAATACATGTTATTGTAGTCTAAATTAAAAAATTGTAAACATGAATAAATTTAATTTTTTATAATTATTTTTGCTTTTAAAATGTTTATATGATTTAATTATTTTATGAGTTTTAATTAAACATTCAAAAACTTTAAACAATTTATTTAAATTCTAAAACAAGTAAATTCTTATAAACTATTCAAAAAAATGTATAATTTCTGCACATTTTGATGTTTAATTACAAGAGAGGTTAAACCAATACTCTTTTTTTTGCAACAATAATTATTGTAAATGTAACATTTTTGCAAGTAAAAATATTTAATTAAGAAATTTCGATTTGACTTTTGCTAACACAAGAACCTTTTGTTATTTATTTAATTACTATATTATGCTATTTAAGGTTTTAAATTTTTATTTTAAATTATTTTTAAATGATTTTTAAAGATTTATAGTTTAAATGTCGATTTAAAGTATTTTTGGATGAAATCTAAAATTTTAAATTTTTACTTCGTTTTTGAGGTTTCTTAACATTAATACGAAATAAATACAAATTATTCAAAATAAATTCACTATGTATTTGTGTTAAGCTTTAAATTAAATATGCTAAACAATTTTAGTATAAATTAAATAAACATTTTAAACTAAATTTTTTTTTATTTCTATTTTAAAGAAATCTTACTGAAAAGTATCAAATAGTTTTATATTTCAATATCTTAGGGACTGAAGTTTTACAGCATTCCAGTTTCTTTCAATAATATTTGTATGAATCCCTGTCTATAAATTTAAAAATAAATAAAATGACTTATTGATTATTGTAAAAAAAATGTTGGAAGAGACTAGAATAACTTTTTCAGTTGTTAGTATCTATTACAGAAGAACTGTCAATATATTTATAAAGAAGGTGTTATTGCTTCTTTATTTCTCTTATATACAGGTTGTAATACAATACACTCTGTCTTTTTTACTCAGTGCATTAATAACCAACACGTTGCCTACCAAATATCCTCCGTTAAACTTTCTTTTTCCAAAGGTACTTTCGTCCGCCTTAACAATATAATAAAAATCTTAAATTTTTTAAAGAGATATATTTAAAAATTTATTATCAGGAGCCCAGCTGGTTACACGATAAACATATTGTAAAAATTAAGTTGAACCTAGCTGGTTTGCGATATATAATATTGTAAGAATAGGCCGGGATTGACTGCGTACATAAAGATAACGCCTTAATAAGCCATAGGTTGGTATTTATTGATACAAATTTGTCAAAGAGTTTTTTATGTATATTTGCATTTTGTTACTTAACAGGAAGAATTAGCAAATTTATGAGATTTTGTCAGAGTCTAATTCATTTTTTACTAATCAAGCACTATACGCACGCAATTTTAGTTTATTTTATAAATGCCGGGCTTTTTATTTAAATTTACAAATGACATGAGATTAAGAAATTAGACTAAAACGAATAATTAAAATTCTAATGCTTTATTTAAAGAGCTAGAATAGGATTAAAACAAGAAAAATTTAAATATATCAATAAGGCTAGATATTTTTGATGGTATTTTAGTATAAAAGTTAAGCAGATATTACAAAGGTTAGGTTAATGATCTTTTTAAAAATAGCTATATTTTGGAAAGTCTGCAGATAACTTATATTAAAAAAACAATTCAGGTAAAACATAATTTATTTTTGGATACTATTGTTTTACTAAAATTATATTAAACGATAAGAGGCTGTTATTATGTTATTTTAACCCTACATTTAAAAAAATTTTAATTACTGTACGAAGTTTAGAATAAAATGAATTAAGCTTAAATTTCTTTTTCCTAAATTATTAACAAATTTTTTTTTTATTATAATAGTATCATTAAAACTATTATGAACAAATTTTTTGTTCATTTTGACTAAATACTTTGCATTAATCAAATTTACATTTTCAACCTTACAGCTAACATAATTTTTTCGTTTTTCCTCTATACATTTATCATAATTTTCGTGTATACTTTTTTAAAGCCAATTTTATTCAAAAATTAACTAAATGATGAGTTATTGGTTGCAGAGTGAACAGCCACATTATACACATAGCTCAATTTTCGTATAATAACCGACTATTTTTGTCATTTGCATTATTTTAGTCATACAAATGCTTTTGTAAATATCTTGCGAGTGTTTAATTATTTCTTTTGGCCTTAAATTTACGGGCCTATCGTACACTAAAAGTATTTTTATTTGGTTGTAAAAATAATTAAAACTAAACTTGTAAACTCTTTACAATCGTCACAATGTAAAATCTGAAGATCACAGAACTAGAAAAAAAACAATTTCTTAACTTGCTAAAATTTCAACAACAATTTGCTTTATCAGTAAAGTTATTGCATAATTTAAATATCTATCTACACCAGTTAATATCAAAGCGTATTCATTATTTTGACAAGCATACTTTCTCATTTCAACAAGATCTATTATTAACTTTTGAAACAACCTGCTTGCCAAAATGTGTTAAAATTTTTCTTTTGTTTTAAGAACTGTGCTTGGGTACAAATATTACACTCTGAATGAGCCTCCCTAACAAGCGATTTTGATATAGAAAAATACAAATGCTTGAACAGTTCATATAAACGATAACGCCCATAAATATTTCGTCTGTGCAAATATGTACTTCAAGATTTTTAAAACTGTGTGTCCTCAACAAAACACGCTTGTGGTTTTCATCTACATTTTTAAAATGATGTAAATATTCTACTAGCATAAAATTTTTACACCATTTTTTTATTGATATTTTACTTGTCTATTCACTTCGATTGCTGTTTATTTACTTTTCAAATATTGTACAATGTTTTGATACTCTTCATTTGATTAAGTCGGTGTAATTATAGGGTATAATTTTTTTAAAAAAGTACATCTTAAATTTACATTGCTATTAATTTTATATAATTTTTTCTATTAGCGTATTGTCGAGCGTGCAGCATGTAAAAATCGTAGTTTATGTTAAGAGATTTAACCCACATCAACAAAAATATTATCACACTAAATTGTTGTAATCAAAAGTGCATTATACGTGCAACGATTTGCAATAAAAAACACTAACAGTTTTAAAGAAAAACAAGTGACTTTAAATTAACTTGATGTTAGCATTATTTATATAAATACACAATACAATCTCAAGAAAGCATTAAAATAAAAAAAACGTAATTAGCCGAGGATGCGACATTTATAAGCGCATCAAATTTGTTAAAATTTTGAAAATTCGATTAAAGTTAATTTATATACACTTAATAATCTAAAAACTAAATTTATAAAATAATATTAAGACATAAATAAAGTATTTTTATTGTTGTATCAACACCAACATGTTGTTTTTTAAAAAAAGACTCTTTAAAATAATAAAATCTTTCAAAACGGTCGAAAAAGTAAAAATAAGTCTATTTTTTTGCTAAGTGATTTTGTAAAATATTTACGTTTTGTACATATTCTATTTCTATAAAATTTTAATATTCTTTTTTTCTTTAGATTTTATCAGCTTTTAGTCTAAATTTAATATTTTAAATTGTGTTTAAAAATACTTAAAATTGACATTTGTTTCATTAATGCTATAATTGTACCGAAATACAATTAACAGACAATAATAAAATAATTAATATGTTAATTCAAGATATATTACTGCACCGGAAGCATACTGAAAATTTTAATGGACATATATCCTTAAGTCTCGAATTTACTAATGCTGAACAGCCTTCTTGAATTCTTTCTCATAAGTTAGAACTAAAATTAGGTGCAATAATAATGTGCATAGGAACATTGATCCAAAGCTTGAATTTTTTAATGAAACTAGATTGTGTATAAATGTCTTAAAAGACAATTATATAAATGGCGAAATTTTTAAAGAAGATGAAAAAGAAAGTTAGTAATACTTTTAAGAATTAATAAAATGCCAAGTGTGATTTTATTCATATTTTTATTAAAATGAAAACGGGTTATCTGTTAAATTGTCATATGCCTTGACAATATATAAGGCCCAGGGACAGTCTTTCGAAAAGGTTGGTGTGTATCCTGCTAATTAAGTTTTATTGTTTCCAACTACATGTAGCCCCTTTCGAATATGTTTGCAATGTAAAATACAACTGGCTACACTACTTAAAAGAAAACAAAAGATATTGTCATTTAAATACTTCTTTATACTGTAAACAAGATGTTTAGCTATAGAAATTTTCAATAGGCATAAGGGGTCCCTTTTAAATTATCAAGAAAGATAAAAATTACGAAGTGTTCTGTTCATAGGACAGGATGCTTTAGATATTGTTTATTAGAATTTTCCAAATGTAAATTATTTTAAATTGACAAAAATTTTTTTTCATTTAAAAATGCATTTATTATAAAAAATTTATTAAGTAAATCTACTCCTCATTTTTTAATCTTTCCTCTATTTCTCTTTTTATAATACCATAAACTGAATTTTCATTTTTTAGATCAATAGCATCCATAATTTTTTTATAATTTTCAAATATTGTATAAAATTCTTCTAATACATTTGAAGATGAATGATTTAAACCTGATTTTTCCATTTCATGCATTTCAGATTTATAAATCAATAATCTAGGATGGCAAGTTTCTGCATAAGCTTTGCAAATTATAAATGCATAAAATAATTCGACCATGTTACTAACAGTAATAAACTCACATCTTGATAAAGTATTATAAAATGTTTTGACTTTTTCGGCTTCTTCAGAGATTAATTTGTCATTAAAAAATAATTTTCTATATTTTAAATACTTATTGTTAATATCATTATTAATTTCGCTAGGTAACTTTGGTGTATTGTTTTTCAACCAAAATATTAATACTTTGTAATAGAAACTTGGTGTATCACTAGTAATTTTATCAATAATTGCCCCAATAGTATTCTTAGAAAGCGTGTTATACAAAATCATAATTGCACATGCTTTTGCCGAGGTAATTTCTAAAAATTCCTTACAAAATTTTTCAGATTTGGCACGAATATCTGTTGGTTCTTGATTTTGTTCCATTTCCTTGTTCCAATTAGCAATTATTCTTTTCCGTTGACAATTTAAGCACTTTGTTATATTAAAATTTTCATGTTTTACATTTTCACAATTCTCCCTTGATGTATCAATTAAAGAAATACCATTAATTTTATTTAAATATTCAAACTTAACGAAATCAAAATTATCAAAATACTTATTAAACTCTTCTTGATCAATTATACATTCTATTGCTTGCAATAAATTACTTTTAAAATGATTATCTAGATCTAGATCTTTTCCTGGTATTTTGATTGTATCTATTTCACCATCTTTCATACTTGGAATATGAATTACGGGCTGATAATTTTCATCTAGGGCTAAAAAATTCCAGTTTAGTATTGGAGACCTTGATAAATCTAAATCTGGAATTATACGTAAAGATGGATATTTTTTTTTAATCGAATTTGTTATCTGTTGGCACGCATTTTGTATTAGTTTAGCATAAATGTTATAAAATTTGAAATTTATATAAGAAATTTTCCCAGTAAATTTTTCTAACTTTGAAATTTTATATATTACGGGTTCTAACTTTTTTAACTCATAATACTTAACTGTTAAAGACTTTTCTTCTTTAAAGGTAATGGTCGGGGTATGTTCCTCTAACTCAGCTGTTTCACAGCTTAATTTCTGTGTATATAGAGAAATTGAAAAAACAAAATGACGATCATTTTGAAAAAAGTTAGCACTTACTGGTTTAAAATTCTCATTATCAAGTCTCTTTTTTATTAGATCTTCCAAATTTTCACAAAACAAAAGACTAAAAATCAAAAGTATAAATTTCATGGGTATAATTTTTTAAATCTTTTTATACTTTTTAATTAAGGGGTGTTATTTTAATTAATAAAACTCAAAAGAAAATTTTTGTATAAAAGTATTAGAACAAACAAAATGCTATTTAATTTTTTTGATTGTGTCAGTTAATTTTTTAAAAATTTACACAAATTTTTAAAAATTACAATTTATTAAATATTTTTAAATTAATACCTTTCACTAAAGTTAATCCTTTATTTTACATTTTTAAAAAATTACATTGATAAAAATAATGTCTTAATTGAAAATACTATTTATGGAAACTGAGTATAATTGAATAAATTTTTTTAAAATATTTTTGTTATTTTACAATTTGACATTACTATAAAAAGTGTGATTTAACATTTCAAGTTAAAAATTGGTGCTAAAGCTGCAAAAAAAATAAACTCTTTTTTGCATTATTTTATATTTGTGTACTAAACGATATAAAAGAATATAATTAGAATATTGAAGTTTTGAAAAGAATCTGAATTAAAATATATTTTTATTATTTCTTTCTTCTGATACAATAATGATCCACTATATATTCACAAAGTAAATATGTATTACATTTGGAAAATAAATACATACACAACCATAATTTCTATAAAAAGTAGAATTGAGCAATACAGCTTGTTTTTTGTGGTATTATTTACCACATGTCATTTATTTCATAAATTTTGCTTATATATTTAGCTTTATTTTTACCTATCAGAATTACGAGAAAGACCAACTGTTTTATAATATAACATTTGGTTAAAAATATCTTTATGGCTGTAATACTATAAATATTTACCATACTGATGATTTTTATGCTTATTATTTAAGGAAACAAATTTTAATATAAATAAAAATTTTTTATGGAGGAAAAAAATAAATGTAAAAAGCAAACAAAAATCAAAAAGCAACAGACACCAATAAAAGTTAATTAAAACGCATTTTAATGGAGTAAAAATTGTCTAAGGTACTTGTTTACTAGAAAGCTATTTTACACTTAGCGCATCCCATCTTGTTAGTTCATTTATATGTTATTTTATGGCAAAAAAAGACTTTTGAAAAATACGCTTGATTCTAAGCTGAAACAATTGCAAAAAATAATTAAAAATTTATATTGTAAAAAGTTGACTACTTTTGTTTGACATACTATTAGTCATAAAGGTAATTTTTTAAATGCAACACACATCTATTTGCTAATATCTTTATTAAATATTAAAAATATAGTGTTGGACTAACCAGCATTTATTAGGCAGAAAAAGCTTAATAAAATTTTTGAAACTTAATTTATAATTTATAGATTAGATTATTTTGTAGTTAAACTAGAAGAATAATCAAAACGTGCATAAAATTATGAAAAAAAATGGATATTGTTGAGATTAAACATGGGTTTATTTTATTATAATTATTTAAATATTGACATGTTAACTACATCACATGTTAAACATTCATTAATACTTAATGTTTCATAGATACATTTTACAGATGTAAAGAAGCTTTCTCGTCAAACAAAATACAGAGCAGATGGCAACTTTTATCATTTTCATGTTGATATTGTATGTCATATCTATCATATATTACTTAATTCTTCAATTTATTTTAAATTTAACATGATAAACAGAATACATTAACTAGGTAACATAAAATTATTGAACAGAACAAATTACCATAAATATCGGGTAATTATTTGAGAAAAAATTTAATTTTTTAAATGCTGAAGAAAAATTAGGCTACTTGTTTAATAACAATTTCCAAGAACTAATATCCTTTCAAAAATTTAATTACTTATCTATTTATTATAAAAGAAAAAGTAATAAATGTGTTATTGAGGGCTTTAATTAAGATTTAATTTTTGTTTTTTTTTAATTTTCGATAAAAGATAATCTCTATCACTTTTAGTAAGCTTATAAAATTTTTCTGTTTCTAAAATATGTTGGTTAATCAAAATTTTAAATACTTCTAACAATGGTTTCATATAAAAATTGTACTCTTTAAAAGCTTCATATCGTAGTTTAAATATCGGAGTTTTGTAAATTATATTTTTTAACTTGGCGCCTTCTTCTCCATTAAAAAAATCAAATTCATTTAATTCATACACTACAACTTTTTCTAGCCTCAATTTCATATACAAAAGCAAAGTATAATACTTAAAATAGCTAATATTAATAAGAACTAAATATTTAGAAAAATCTTCAACGTTTGGATCCGCACTTTCTTCTAAAAAATCACAAAAAGCTTTATACAGAATTTCAACCTCCCCCGACATAGAATTTTTTTCGTTTTCCATTGTCTCAGTATCTTTGATAATTTGTCTTTTTTTTTGGCGCAAATCACTGCTTAAACAGCAGAATACAAAGTGCATAGATCGAAAACAGCATTTATAAAAGCCATAGTCTTCTGGTGAAATCTCGTCTTTAATTTTTATTCTTTTTAAAGTAGAAAAATAGAACCTAGTAAATTTAAACCTATTATAAATTTCATTGTATTCTTTATATATTAATTCCATTTCGTCATCTAATAATTTTCTATAATTTTTCAGTAAGTTGATAGAATCTAAGTAAAATCTATAAATTCCGCGTGCCCTAGTTTTTTCTTCTGCATTTTTAAAAATAACATTTTTTCCTCCTTCTTTTAAAAATCTTGAGGGTTCACCAACATCTAGATTTTCTGTACGTCTAATGTTGAGTATTCCATTAAACTTATTTTTCATGTAGTTATTATTTTTATACTCATCTGAGGATTCTTCATCGAGTATTTCGTATTTAATTGAACAAAAGTAGAATAAGAAAAATAGATAGATCATGGGTTATCTAGGTAAAAATTTTTAATGTTTATGAAATATTTTTAGTTTTTTGAAATAACAAAGACATTCAATTTTTATGAAAAGTTTATGTATAAAAATATGATTATTTAATGTTATTGTAGTCTAAATTAAAAAATTGTAAACATGAATAAATTAAAATTTAAATGGTTATTATTGCATTTTATGTGCTTATTTGATTTGGCATTTTATTGGTTTTTAAATTAAATATTTTACAAAACTTTAAACAATTTTTTAAATTTTAAAACAAGTAATTTTTTAAAATATTTAAACAGTATTTGAATTAATCAATAAAATGTATAATTTCTGTACAATTTGGTGTTTAATTACAAGAGATATAAAACTAATGCTTTTTTTTGCAGTAACAATTTTTGTATATGTTAAATTTTTGCAAGTAAAATATTTAATTAAGAAATTTAGATTTGACTTTTGCTCGCACAGAATATTTTTATTTATTAAAGTAAAATATTGTACCATTTAAAGTTCATATTTTTAGTTTAAAGTGTTGTCAAATGTTTTCTTAAGAATTAATAAGTTGTTTTCTACTTAAAATATTTTATCCTTTTAAATGATTTGATTAGGTGCATTTAATTAACCAATCAATAAAAATGCCCAAAGAAATTTTTGAAATACAAAAAGTGGATTAGTGCTTTTTTAAAAAAATAATTATAAAAATGATTATTGGAAAGGTTTAATACTTTTCTTGAAAATGTGTGAATTAAAAGATACCATAAAAAATATAAAAACAAAGCAAGATTGAAGATGTTATTGCAAAAAGGTGTCAATTGAGGTAAATTTTATAAAACTCTAATATGTAATTGTATAAGTGTAAACACACGTTTTTGATGTGAAAAAAAAATTCTATTAAATACGATAAATTATATTTTTTTTGAAGGTTAAGATTATGTTGTCAAAAAGAGAATCATTAAATTTGATTAGAAGAATTGTAAGAGGATTAATTTTAAGATGTATTTAGAATTATAAGATCTGAAATATGTATAACATTTATCTAAATCAATTAAATAATAAACGGGGATAATTGCATGGTTGAAATAAAAACTGGCGAAAATAGCATCACAGGAGAAATGTTATTGCGAGATTTAAGGCCATTAAAATGATAGAAGATCTTTAAGAAAGAAAATTATTATATTAAGTCAGAACAAAGAAATGTAGATATTCTAATACAATTAATTCTTCACATGTACAAATTAATTTCTTTATTTTTATTAGTTGCTGGCGCGGATGTTTAAGTATAGTTAGTTTCTATTAAAAACATGTAGTTAAACGTTCATTGTACTTTTAGGATCCAGATATTGAAATCGAAACCAACACTATAGAAGGAAGTAAAAATCTGCTAAGGCATCAAGTTCATTTCAGTAAAAACGCGTTTCTTGTGGGATTTTTATTTATTTAAGTATATGTGTATGATAATTGAAAGAAAAATCCGACTAAAAAATTAATTAAACATTTCTTAAAAATTATTATGTTGTTTTTATAATATATTCTTATTAATATTTAACTTACAGGTTATTCAAACAATTTCTTTTTTTTATTTTCCAAAAACAAGTGTTAAATTTTTACAAAAAACCTTACCTTATTTTTGTAAAATGAGCAGAACTTTAGCCAAAAAATGCTTTTTTTACAATATTTAAAGTTTGTGAGTATCTTATAAATTACATTAGACACAAATTTTAGCTTGTTAAATTTTAATCTTTATGGTTTATAAGGGTAATAACGATAATTTACACGAATGTTGCGTAATTATGATCAATAATTCTATGTTTTTGTAAAAAAAATTTTTAATTAATTTTTATATTATTGAAATTATCAAAATTATAGCAAAAGGAAAGAATGTCTAACTAAATTTTTTCTTAAAAAATATTTAAAACGCTATAACAACACAATTGTTAAAATCATTTTACATTGTAATTTTGTTTTTATTAAGTTTTTTTACAATTTAGACAACCTATAACAAGTCAAGTCAAATAAATTTAAGAAATATAATGAACCTGCAAATGAAGTGTTTTCTGCATGGATGTAAGACTAAGATAATACCTTATGCAATAATATGGGACGGTACAGTAGGTAAACAACATTTCAGAACAATAAAACTCTTGAAGTTTTTGTCCGAACTAAAACGTAAATCTGATTAAAAAGCTTAAAAAAAATATTGAGAGCATCTCATAAATTATATGTGGGGATAAAGGCTAGCAGAGCAAAAGAGGCAAACAATTAAATACTGTTTGCTTATAGCTTATACTAACATAAACAGATATAATAATAAAAATAACTCTTAAATGAACAATTTGATTATTTTTAATTAATATTGGAATTTAAAGTTGTCTTTATTTTAATTAACAGTTTGTAATAATTTAGGTAATAAATAAACTATTGATGAAAGTAAATTGAAAAAATAATAAATTGTCTTTGTTTACAAAACTTTTTTTATTTAAAATTCATACAGCAGTAATAATTAAATACACTCTTATGTGTATTTAATGCTCAATTTATAATTTTAAAGAGCACAACAGAAAAAACCAACGATCTTATTAAATATTCAAATAAAGGCACTTAAAACTAAAACACAAAAAAATGATAACTGTCTTTAAAGCTTTTTTGCTTGTTAAAATTCAATTACATAATTGAAGTTAACACAATGAATTTTTTATATATTAGAAGTAGTGCTTAAGCTTTAAATTCTATTTTTAATTAAAATATATTTGTTTGACAAAAAGAATTTTTGTATTTCGTTTAAAATAATATTCTAATTACAATCACATTGATTTGCAATTTAATTGTACTCAATAATTTCTCTTCAAATTGTCTATATAATATAACATTTGTTATATTTTATTAATGCATGTGAATCTTTAGAATGTGTAAATTTGCCAAAAATATTTTTTTACATCAATTAAATACACCTGCAATAATTTTAAATTATAATAAAACATTTTTTCATTACATAATAAATGTGCTTTATTTATTCACCCGTGTTTGTTTATTTTAACGTCTTACTTATTGTAACATGATGTATAGTTATGTTGTAAAATTTATGATATATTTTAATATAATAAAGTTAAATTATAAATATATAATTTAATGCTTTTTTAAATATTAATAAATGTAAAAATACAAGATGCAATTTATCAAAAATTTATATAAATTGTTGGCTTTTATGACAGTTTTTAATTAAATTTTTTACAATAATTTTTATTCTAAAACAAATTTATAAATAAATATAAATCTACGTAAACAAACAATGCAAGATATTTACAAAATTAATAAAAAAATATTATCAATTATTAGAGAAATGAGTAGAATGAATTTAGTTAAATACGAAATAAAATCATTAGAAAAATATAACAAAAAACTTGAGATTATAAGAGAGAAATTGTGTAATAAAAATAATAAACAAATTTAGTTATAAATATATAGAATTATTTCTGTATAATTAGTATATTTTGGATGTCCAAAGGACATTCGATTAATTTGTAATCTATTGTTTATTTTTATCAAAACATGTTCTAATTCTTCATCGTATGTTTTATTTTCTTCTACAAGATATAAAACAATACTTAGCATTTTGATAATATTCCATAAATAATATTTTGGTTTAAATATTGAATTGATTTCATTTATGCAATTTTTATAAATTTCTGTGTCTATTCTTCCTTCAAGGGCAAGAGGAAATTCGTCTATAAATGAAATATCATTCTTACGAAAATCACGAGGAACTTTAATTTTATGCTTAATTTCCATGGATAAAAATAAAATTTTCTTTAAATTTATAAGTAACCACAAAATAAAAAAAGGGGTTTATGTAGTATTTATACGAAAATGGAATATATCATTATGTACAACAGTTGTAATATTTTATTATTATTTGTATATAACATTTTTTAATATTTAATTTTATATTTTAAATTAAAAAATATTGTAGATTTGTTTTTTACCCTATTCTTCTAAATTTTTGTATAGCCATACATAAATTTATTTTGGTATTTATTGTGTCTAGTAATCTTTAAAATTGGCTTTTAATTTATGTTTTAAGGTTTAAAAATTTAAACATTGTAATGTTAATTACCATTAGATTTCAGTAATTTATTGATTAATAGTTTAGTATTTAACACTCTATTTTTTTTATGTTTTATAAATTTTAAAATGCAAATAGACCGTTTAAAATGTCGACCCTTGAAAAAATAAAAAAAGATTATAAACAGTGTTTTAATTATTAATCTGTTTTATTTGACAAATTAAAATATTTTGTTTTAAAATATGTTCAAAGCAAAAATTTCAAACACGTTAAGCAAAGTTATAAAAAAATGAGAATCATTATTTTTAATGCACTGCTTTTGTCAAAAAGACTCTGCTTTTTTATGTATAAATTAAAGTATTTTTTTTAATACAATAATGATATTTGTATATTTAAATCAGCTACAAAAAAGCTTTGTTTTTTACAATATTTTATAGTTGCTTAAATTTGAGTTATTACATATCCTTAATAGTATAGAGAGTATATAATAATAGTTGTTAAATATATTTTAATATTAGAAATTTAATTAAATAAAAAAAATAATTAGTAAAATTTTTTTTTATAAATAATATGTGTACTTGTTCGATTGTTACATGTACTGATACTATTGTAATAAACACAGATATTGATAAAAAAGGAATTGTATTTTAAATTTTTGTCATTTTTAAAAAAATTTATATGTAGAGTATTCCAAGTGTTCTACAGCATAATTTTTTGTCGTGTATAACAAATAAAAATATTTAATAAATAATGTATTTGAAAGGATCTTAGCTTTTCCTAATATTCTAATTACATATAAAAAAATAATTATAAATTTTTTTGTACAAAACATTAACCAAATTACAAATTTTAGTTTTAAATCTCTTATTATACATATAGGCGTTGGTATAACAATCATTGAAAATGTTTTAAGTTTAATTTTTTTTAACATTTTTCTTGTTCTTCCGTAATTCCAACGGATTAAAATGAAAATAAATTAAAATAATTGACATGTGGTAAATTATACCACAGTGGGTATATAAATTTTTTTGTAATTTTTTAATAATCTCTTTCAGAAAAAACAAGACATACAAACTATTATAAATGTTTAAACTAAATTGTAAAATTTTTGTAACAATGTTGCCTTTACAAAAAACATTTAACATAGAGCTGCTTATCACATTTTAATATTTTAAATACTTTAAAACACTATTCAACAATAAATCAACGTTTTTAAATTTTTAAATCAACAGACATGTTGATTAAATCAAAAAAAATTCAATAAATAAATATTTTGAATATTTCTATCGTAAACTAACAACTCTGCCATTTTTAAATTTTTTAAAATATATAGAAAAATTATTTTAACTTGTTTATAAAAAGAGTATAGAAAGCTGCTTTTAACATAAATCTGTAAAACATGGTGATTATAAAATAACAATTTTGTGCTACTTTTATACCAATTTCTTATTTTTTTTCTTTTATAATGTTATATTAGTGTTGTATTGTAAAACGAAACATTTACATTTTCTGTATAAAAATGTTAATGCTTTGTTTTAAATAAAAAATACGACCCAAATCAAAATTTAAAAAAATGTAGTGTTTAACTAACACACAGATTCAGTTATAAATAATAAAAATAAAAAATTTAGTGCTTCCTTTTATTTCTAAAACAGTATGAATGATCGTGTTTAATAAATTTGCAAAGTCTTTTTTTTTTTTTTGATAACCTACTTTTGTAAAATAGTTTTTTTACATTTATTAGAGGTAAAGAACACATTTCATCTATTACATAAGTACACAAAGAATATGGTAAAACAAGATTTGGATCAACAAAATTACCCAGCACGTCATCATCAGAATATTTAATAAACACATTCTTATACATTATATTTTGTGGAAAAAATTGCATTTTAAAGTTTAACTCATCATCATTTATCAATGCCATATAGTCACAATCATAAGAACTGTCATTTTTAAATAGTTCGTTTAGATATAAACTGTTTAAGTATTCTCCTTCATGCGTCATCGTCATGTTTAGATATTCTGTGCTAGATGCAGTGATCAATGTAAAAAAATTGAACAAAAATTTCATTGGGGCTAGGATTTTATATTTTATTTATCATTTTTTGATAAAAAGTATATTTTATAAACTTAAAATTAATAATAGTATATTATTTAATCAAGAAAAATATATTTTTAAAAAAATATTTGCTAAATATTTTCATTTAAACAAAAAGATTACTTACTTTAATATTTGAATAGTAAACGTAAAAATTATTGATTAAATATTTTTATTTTGAACATAAAGATTATTTACTTAATATTTTCATTGTGAACATTAAAATTACTTACTTAATATTTTCATTGTAAATAAAAAAATTTTTATTAAATAGTTCATTTTGAACATAAAAATTATTTATTAAATATTTTCATTGTAAACATAAAGATTATTTCTAAATAGGAGCTTTCACAATTTTTAAGAAAAGATATTAACAAAATTAAGATAAAAAATATTATTTCAAATCGTCATTCTAAAAATTATTTTTTTTAAAAAAATGTGACCTCCCAGGCTCGAACTGGGGACCTTCTGCGTGTTAGACAAACGTGATAACCACTACACTAAGGTCACAATTATTCCGTGCGAAAAAATAATTATGCATAATTGTAAATATTGTAATTTTACACCAGTGAGAAATTCTTCTCAAGCATGCCAAGATTGTTTATCCGAAATTAAGCATTACAGTATTTCAGAAGATATTTTAGAACTTCTTTTGCCATCTTATGATATTGTATGTTCTATATGTATTGAAGATATTACATGTAAAGATATTTATAAAGAATGTTACACATGTTACAATATGTTTCATTTTAATTGTATTTATAACTGGATAAAAATAAACAAGAAGTGCCCGCTATGTAGACACATCATGTAACACATTAAATTTGTATTAATAAATGTTAGCCTCTTCTTTTAAACATTAAGTGCATAGATATGCTTTATGATTATCTTCTTATTTTTTAATAAAAAATAAAATTTAGGTTAAAATGGCGATAAAAGATTTATCACATCTTTACATAACTTAAATTGTTGTAATATATTTTAATTTAGAAAGTAAAAATATTAATGTTTTTACTTGATTTATTTTCTAAATAAAATATTTTTTTTGTTTTTAAAATAACATTGTTACGCCACAAACATGACAAATAATTGTTTTGGGATTTTTAAAACAAAACTGATGGTCTGAAACAGTGTTTTTGAATAAAACAATGTTTTAGAAATTATTATTAAAAGAAAAATAATTTAAAAATTATGCGTGAAGCAACTAAGAAGGGTATTAAAAAGCTATCGGGCTCTAGAGATCGTTATAATAAATAGTTTTATTGAAAAATATTACAAGTTTGGTACTTACCTTACCCTTCGGGGCAAGGCAAAAATGTTTGCAATTTGTCATAAAACTGTCAATTAAAATCTTACATTAGATAAGTTTTACAAGTGAATCTATAAAAAAAACTTTTATAATAAATTTATTAACTAATATTTTTGTAAATTTACACCCATTACATTTTACTAATGATTTACAACTTTTTCATTATAAACAGTTCAGGATCTATGGTTTATAATTATCAAAAAGACACCAAATTAACAACAAATCAGCTTTTAATTCTCTGTGGTACACTTCACTCGTTAGGATGTATGATACAAGAGATAAATAATAAGAGTAGTCATGTATTCTATTTTAATTATACAACAAAAATAATTACATTTTATAAAACGGCAACAGATCTCTCTTTTATTATTATTTCTGATAAAAAACAAGCAGAAATAATTAACAAAATACATAAAGATTTTTGTAAGTACATAATGTTAAATCCTTTCTACATATTAGACATGCCAATACATTGTAAAAAATTTGATCCTACAAAATATTTTAATTCAAATTAAAAATAATATTTATTCAGTCTTAATTCTAGGTGCAATATTCATACCCATTAATTCTTGTATAAGTAGTTTAAAAGCGTAAGGTATTTCTACTAAACTTAAATTAGTCCTGTTATTACATCCTTTACATTCATTATATCTTTTTGTATCAATAGCTATTAATCCACACAAATCACATATACAACACGTATATGGATCACTAACATCCATAAGTCTTTCTTTTAAAAAAGCTGACGCACCATGCGAAATAATACAATCGCGCTCCATTTCACCAAAACGTAAACCTCCATCCCGCGATCTTCCTTCAACGGGCTGTCGAGTCAAAATCTGTAAAGGACCTTTAGCTCTAGCATGAATCTTATCATCAACCATATGCTTAAGCCTTTGATAATAAGTAGGGCCAATATAAATCTGTGCCCTTAATTTATGACCTGTCATGCCATTGTACATAACTTCAAATCCTCTTTGCTGGTAATTGTACTCTTTTAACTTTTCACTAATATTGTCAACTGTAACTCCATTAAACGGAGTTGCATCTCCTTCTTCGCCTGTAAGAGCACAAGTCTTTCCCATTAAACATTCAATAAGATGCCCTATAGTCATTCTGCTAGGTATAGCATGAGGATTAATAATAATATCTGGCACTATACCTTCAGAAGTAAATGGCATATCTTCTTGATTTAATGTTATTCCTACTGTACCTTTTTGCGCATGTCTTGATGCAAATTTATCACCCATTTGTGGAATTCTACAACTTCTTACCTTTACTTTAGCAAATTTATATCCTTCTTTATTTGTTACAATAACACTGTCAACAAAACCATCTTCAGTTCTTCTCATTGATGTACTACTATCTTTTTTAAGATAAACAGGATTTCCCTTTGTACTTCTTTCAGGATCTAAAATTGGACTAACCTTTCCTATAAGCACATCATCTCCTGTAACTCTAGTACCAGTCGGTATTATACCATCATTGTCTAATTTACTATAATTAAGATTTCTCATTCTAATCACTTCACTTCTGAGAGGTTTACAAAATTCTTCATGTGTTCCTGGTCTTGTTGTATTTTCTTGATCAGTGTATGTCCTGTAAAAGAAGCTTCTAAACAATCCTCGATCAATAGCACTTTGATTCATAATAATACTATCTTCTTGATTGTAACCTGTGTAAGATGCAATAGCCACAATAGCATTCTGTCCAGGAGGTAATTCCTTAAATCTAATGTATTCCATACTTTTAGTAGTTACTAACGGCTTTTGTGGATAAAAAAGAATATTGCTTAACGTGTCCATTCTTAACATAAAATTAGTCGCATAAATTCCCATGGCCTGTTTAACCATAGCACTCTGATAAGTATTACGCGGGCTTTGGTTGTGATCGGGAAAAGGAATGACTGATGCGCAAATACCTAAAATTGTAGCAGGATGAATTTCACAATGCGTATAATTGATATTTAAATCTTCCGAGGCTCTCAAATCTTTTTTAACAGAATTCAGTTGATCTGGTGACATGGCAATCATAGAAACTTCTTCCTCTTCAACATCTAAAAATTCAATAAGTCCATTTTCGATAAAATCATTCCAAGTACATCTCTTTATCTCTTCTTTGTTAGAATAAGCTTCATCGATACATAACTTATTATTCTTTACAACAAAAAGTGGTCTACAAGGTCGACCAGAATCAGACTGTATTTTAATCTCTTTTTCTCTAATATCCCTAATAATACTGACTTCTTTGTCAATCTCAAGCGTTCTTCTTAACATTCTAAGTGAACTAATTAAATATTCCGGATCTTCATGAATACCAACCCATACACCATTTACAAAAACTTTTGTAGCATTTTGTAACTGAAGATGAGAAATTTCTTCTAAACTTTCTAAACCACATTCTTCTAAAAATTCAACAATGGGCTCAGAAGATGAACCAACTGAAATATATGCCATTAATGATAAATTTTTAACAAGACCACAAGCTTGTCCTTCGGGTGTCTCTGCTGGACAAATCATTCCCCAGTGAGTGTTATGCAATTGACGAGGTTTAGCAAGTTTTCCTTCTTTTTCAATTGGTGTATTTACTCTTCGAAGATGACTTAAAGTAGATACAAAATTATATCTATTTAGTACCTGCGCTACACCCGCCTTAGATTGCATAGCATGCGCCTGATCTCCCCAATTACCAGTAGCAATTGCATAACGAAATCCTTGTGCAATAGTGCTTGCTTTAAGTCCCAATGCAATATTAAAATCTCGCCCTCCTTCAATGCATTTCTGCATGTGTTTAGCAGTTTCTGAACATAACTTTTTGTACAATGAACGAAACAATGAAGCCAATAATGGACCGGCCAAATCCATTCTTTTCTTTCCATAATGATCTCTATCATCCTCACGTTTCCTACCAAGTGCCACAAGTAGTAATTTCTGAACCATATAACCTAAAAAATATGCCTTTTTAGTCTCACAAAACTCTTGAGTGCCGATATGAGGCAATAATTCTTTTGCTAGCAAATCTTTAGCAAAATTTATTCGTTTTTCGCGCGAAGATCCGACAGGTGCAGCTCTTTTACCAATATAATCAAGTGCAACATTTTGATCTTGTACAACAGCAGATTCCAAAATACTTTCTTTTAATAAATCAAACATTTCATCATCATTTGTTGTTATAATATGATCAGTAATTTCTTTATCACTAAGAAAACCAAGAGCTCTGTAAATAATAAAAAGAGGTATTTCTTGTTTAGCGTACGGTATTGACACTCTAATCACATTTGGATTTCTACACAACTTAAGAGAAACAGCACTTGGATTCTTAGCTCCTTTTTCAGGGACAGATCTAATCTCGGCATAATGAGAATAAGAAGCAGGCTGCGATTTTTTAAAAACATAAATAGTATTAGAAGCCATTCTTTCTTGTGCAATAATAACCTTTTCTGATCCATTTATAATAAAATATCCACCAACATCATATTCACATTCACCAATTTTAATAAGTTCTTCCTCTGATAATTTGTAAGTACTACAATATGAAGATTTTACCATCACTGGTAAACTTCCGAAAGGTATTCTTGAATATCTGTGCTGATCAACTACTCCGCTTTCACTTTCTGTCGTTTTAACAATATCAATATATAATTGTGAAAGATATGTAATATCTCTAAGCCTAGCTTCATTAGGTGTAAGTGTAATTGTCGTGCCATCTGCCTCAGTATACGAAGGAGGTTTAGAAACATAAATTTGTCCAAATTTTAAAGTAATTTTTTTTCTCGTTTCATTACCGGCAGAAAGGGTAGATTGTACAGTTATTAGTGGTGATTCATCGATAACTTCTTGCATTTTAGTTTTAACAAATTGATCAAATGAATCTATCTGTTGTCCAACAAGACCTTTTTGTTCAAAAAATTTGCTAATAATGTCCCAACTATATTCTTTTCCATATTTAAGTTCCATTTTAGGGGTTAAAATACATTGAATTTATATTTTAAATACAAATATCTATTTTAACATTTTTTTTTTTGCTAATAAATAAGCAACCAAGACTAAATAAAAAAATAAACAAAATTTTAAATAGACTAAATAACACTACAAGATAAAAAATATAAATCTTTATAAAAACTCCTTTTATACTTTTTTAAAAACATTTTTGATATTTAAAGTAACTTATAACTCTAGTTTATACTTTACGTATAATTAACTAAAAATACTGTTTTTATTAACACTCATGATATTTTTTTTGTAAAAATTTGAAATCAATGCCCAAAATGAAAGGTGGATTCTTTGTGTCTTGTAAAAAAGGAAAAGAAAAAAAGGCTTTTTTAGAACTTCAGACAATACTAAATTCTTTTATTAGTAATAGTGAGCTACAAAAAGATTATTGTACATTTAATGTCGCAGAAGAAATTGAAGATGAACTAAAAAATTTGAGAACATCGTATTTCTCCATACATTTTACCTATAAAAGTTTACTTTATGTTTCTAATTCCTCAACATTCTTATCTTCAAAATTATTTCGAATGCTTAAGGAAAGGCACGTACTTTTAGAATATGTACACAGAATATTTCCATTAGACCACTATTTTACGTACAATGCTGAATATATAAAAAAACTGATAAGTAATATTGATAAAAGCTTAACTTTCAAAATTGAGTATAAAGAAACATTTGCTGTCAAAAATTCAAAAAAGGAAGTTTTTAAAACAATTACAGGTACTTTGCAGGGAATGAAAGTGGACCTAAAAAATCCACACTATCTAATTTTAGTTCAAGTCTTAAAAAATGATTTAGGAATAACAATTCTAGAAAATTTTACAGACTCTTTTAATTTTTCAAGAAATCTAAATTAAATAAATTTTATAATTTGTTGATGTTTTGTTTGTTTGTAAATTTTATGCAATATATTACATACAATGCGTTGAAAATTTAAAACATTTCAAATATCTCAATGTTGACATATGATGAGATACTTGACTGGAGTAAACACATACTTACATTTCAAATAAGCCCATGGTTTCTAGTAACACATCTTGTGATACCAACACAATGACTTACTATCAAGAACTCAAAACCGCCATATTTATATTTATAAACTTATTTTCTTTACTTAATTATGCGATTCTTGGAGCAAAAATATCAAACATTGGTGAAAATACTTCTATCGGAACAATCTTTAGTATAAAGGTTATTAATGTATTTTATATTTGCCTAATTATCTTCATAGGCGTAAGATTCTTTGCTTTTTTTATTGGAAGAGATTTAAATGATTTATTACTTCATAGATCATTAAATTCTGGAGGGACTAGAATAAAATTGCGAGTTTTAGCGATACTAATTCTGATAGAGATGCTTGTTTTCGGTACATATTTTATATACATACTGTATCTTTTTAATATACTGCATGATAATACAGCACGATGCATTTTAATTCTTATTTGTACATCACACATTTTAAACATTTTTAATTTATACATGATAAATTACATACACCCTGATCTATGTGGATTTAAATACAAAAACCGTGTTAATAATTATTTTAATCGATTAGAAAGTGAAAGACAGGCAATTTCGTCCGTATAAATAAAAATTTAATTTTTTTTATTTATTTTTTATGTAAGTAGCCTCATACTTAAACAAATATAAAGCCGCAATAAGTCCTAAAAATGAATAAATAAAAAAATTAAATGTTTCGGATTCTATTACACTTAGAAATGATGTTATACTAAGCGCAGAATATATTATTACGAGAAAATTTCCGAAAGTGACTGTTAGTAACCATGCAGCCAATATTGACGTTTTAATTGTGTCAGGTGCTTCTGAATATGCGAATTCTAAACCTGTCATATTTAACAAAATTTCACCTGCAGTTAATAAAATATATTGAGGTAATTGCCATAAAATACATATTTTGCTATTTGAAGCGCTAGATAAAAAAATTGCATGTTCTAAAATCGCCGAAACCAAGAAACTTACAGATGCTAAAAAAATCCCGCTTGCCATTTTTTTAATTGGCGTTAATTTAAAACCTAAAGATTCAATAAAAGGGTATAGGCACTGCGAAAATAATGGTATAAAACATAAAATAAATATAGAATTCCATGTTTGCATTTGCGATGAAAGAATTTTGAATTCTGAGTTAAAAAACGCTGCTTTTGTACTCATTTTAAATCCTTGCTCAACCCAAGTAGATGACTGTTGATCGTAAAGCATCCAAAAAAAAGCAACTGGCAAAAACAACTTAAATAGGTTTTTGTAACAAAATTTTTTTGATTGTTTTTCAAAAATTTCTTTTGCTATACTGTCTTCATCTAGGCTTTTGGTGTTGTTTTTATTTGAATTAAATAGGTTTTTTAATTTTCCGCACATATCTATAAGTTTTTGTTTATTAGGTCTTTTTTTAATGTAATGTTTTGATCCTAAAAAAAATAGTACAATAGAAATAAAAAGCAAGAAACTTGAACTTCCAAAAGCTAGTGGATAACATGTTTCTTTACCAAAGCATGAAGCATCAGCCATAATTGGCACAAAAAATGTGGATATCATACTTCCCATATTTATAGCAAAATAAAAAAAACTAAAAAACTTATTTAGTTTTTTATGATCTCCATTGTCACCAATTTGATCTCCTCCAAATGCTGCAACACAAGGCTTAATACCACCTGTTCCAAATGAAATTAACCCCAAACCAAGATAAATTAAATATGTTAGTTTATTTGTATATGAACTAAAAGCAACCAATAATGTACCTAAAAAATAGACTATACTTAGATATAGTATTGTTTTGTACTTTCCTAAAAATATATCAGAAATTAATCCACCGAATAATGTAAACATGTAGCACATCGACACGAAAAAATGCACAACGAAAATTGCCAATTTGTTCGACAAATTTAATTCATTTCTTAGAAAACTGAATAAAACTGTTTTTAAAGCGTAAAAGCTGTATCTTTCACAGAACTCATTAGCTATAATTAAATATGGAATAGTTTTCTTGATCATAATATTTATAAACTTGAAAATTTTATTTTTATTTTGAAACATATAGAAAACAATGTGTGACCCTTTTAAAATGACAAATGATTAATAAGGTATAAAAAATCCTGTTTTAAGGAGAATCATGATAATTGAAATATTATGGTATTGTCTACCACTTTTAATAGCTTTAAATTATATTTTTGCTAAACGAACAAGTAAAGATAAAATTTATAACAAAAAAGTTTTAATTATTGGGGGAGGAAGCGGTTTAGGAAGATCACTTGCTTACAAACTTAATGGCAGTTTTAACAAAGTTACTATAACATCAAGAAATACAAATCTAATTGAAGAAGTTAATTCTACAACAAATTTTGAAGTATTTTATTGCGATGTATTTGATGATTCATCTTTTGAAAAAACCAAAACTAAATATGATATTATTTTTTATTGCACTGGCCTTGCAATTCCAGGTCCTGTAAATAAATTAAACGTAACGGATTTTAATATTTGTGAAGGTACAAATTATTTAGGAATGATTAAAATACTTAAAAACTATGTTGAATATAACATTAAACCATTTGACTTTATAATGATAGGTTCTACACTCTCAACATTTCCATTAAGAGGATATGCGGCGTACAGTCCTACAAAAAGTGCAATGTTGTCATTTTTTTACACAACATATGAAGAATTTAGTAAAATGGGAGTAAAACTACATTTCTTTAGTCCACCAAACATGCAAACAAGAGGATTTGAAATTGAAAATGAATCTAAGCCAACTTATACAAAAACGGTTGAGAGTTTTTTTACTGTGTATGATCCCGATGATTGCGCAGCATATTTAATACAAAATTTTAGAAATCGTAAAATTATTACAATTGACTGGTTTACATATTTCTGTCACATTAAATTCGAATGTGAAAAAGTTGTTGATTATTTTTGGTTTCCTGTAGCAGTAGTCGTTGTATATTTGGCAAAAACAACAACCAGATTGCTTTCTAAAATGTTTTAATAAATAATTGGACAATTAAAAAAAAATTTAGTTTAAGGGCATAGTTTTTTTATGTACACCGAAAGTTACTCTTCAGTTTCAATAGAAATGGTTTATCTAATACATAAAACAAGAATTTTTAACAAACAAAAGAAACTTGTAATACAAAATTTTGATGATTTTATTTACCATAACTTTCAAATATTAAAAGAATTTAAGAATTATGTAGATATACTAGAAACTGAAATATTATTAAAGGTTATATTAAAACAGGTTAATCAATACAATAATTTTGTAATTATAAATGGCAAGTTTAATGGATTTGAGAAAGAATTTTTAAGACAACTTTGCATAAAGAAAAATTTAAATATTATAAACTTTTTGTTTTAAACAAATTTATGCAAAAAAAATATAAAAAAAATTATTTGCATAAATGTATGAATGATGAATTTGAACAAAATAAAATTCTCAAACTATTACAACATCCTTTAAAAAATGTTAATCTTGTTCAAATTGTTGAAAAACTTCAATCTATAAATTGTATTGTTATACAAAAGAAAATATTTAAGCTACTTGGTGTAAATATTTCTATTAAAAAAATTAAAGAGTTCAATATTTTTGGTCTTTTAACTGATGATTACTTAAATGCATTAAAATCCCGACAGTTTGATTCTTTCGTCTATTCATTTAATTTGACACATAAAATTATTCCTTGCTCTATTGTAAAAGAAATATTGTATAAAAAAGCAATGTATGATGAAGGATATGCCTACATCAATCCAAAGACTATTAACATCTATATAAAAAAAGAGAGTTACATAATTAAATATGATTCGATAGAAAGTGTAAACATTACAAAAAAAGTTGTGGTTATAAAGTTGAAGAATACAAACTTATTTAAGTTTTTGATAGACTCTAATGATTCTGATTTTATACAAAAATTTGAAGAAAAAATTTATTTTAAAATTATTGTTAATAAGAGGTGTAGCAATGACGAAAGCCAGTTTACTAAAAATCCAAAGATTATGTTGCAAAAGCAAAAAGATACATTATGTAAATTGGCAATTCCATCTCCAGATAACACGACTTTTATAAAGTTTCAAAATTCATCTTTGTCGCCTGATAACTTTATAACAAATTTTCAACATACAAGTATTAATTTAAACAATACACAATGTAAAACACCATATGACAAAAATAATAAATCTGTTAAAGATAATAGTAATAATAAGAATAATTTAAGATACAAAAAAGATACTGACAATGAATATTTGGTTAAACTACGTGATAAAAACGTATCAAAGGAAATTAGCAAAAATATTTTTGTCAAGAAAACTTTAAATGAGAGGTCTTATGACAGCTTAGGGAAAGATAACAAATTTGTATTCAATTCTCAATCATGTGATCCTATTCATCATAAAAAGACAAATGTAAGTAACAAAGTGCAAGAAAGTATACATTTAGATGTCGAATCGGTTATAGAATTAAATAATTCTTTGGTTTCAAGCTCAATAAAAAACAAACAAAGTATTAAAAACACTTCCAAAGTAACTAATAAACATACACGAAAAGATAGAATTAAGCAGAAAACAAATAATAGATCTTGTAAGAGTATAGCCAAAGGCAACATAAAATCTAAAATTTCTTATTTACAATCCGAACTTTCTCTTCAGGCTTTTTATGAGGAACAAACAATTTCTGAAAATTTACACATTCAATTGGCTACATCTTGTAAGCAAAGAAAAATATTTAATAATACACAATATACTAATACTTTATCATCAAATGAAGGAACCCCGTCTTTTGTAGATAACCAATCTATTCTCGTAATACAATTATTAAATTGTAGTTCTCCTATAAAAAATATGAAATTAAGAATGCGTAAATTACAAAAGATTTTTAGGCGTTTTGTCAAACATACTTATAAGAAAAACAAAAATATTATTTACAATTCATATATGATTGTAAATAATTATTTGTCTAAATATAAAGAGATTTTAAACATTGCCAATGAAATTTAGATCAATCAGTAAAAAAAGGAGCAAGTTGATTCCTTTTATTTAAATTTTCACAATGTAAAATCACGATGTTAAAAATGTTTAAAAAGCAAGTACAAAATAAACCCAAAAACTTCAAATTTTGTAAATCTGGGTTTATTTTGTCATCAGAAACTTTAAATGAGTATGAATACATTAAAAAACTCTTTTTCATTTCTGTTTCTATTTTTACTAGAACCACATCGAAAAGTAATGGAATTGAAGAAATAAAACGACTTTTATTATTTTATGAGAAATCTGATACACTAATGTGTAGCTTAATAGATGAATTTTTTTCAAAAAGATTTATAGAATCTATCGACAGGAGGTATGCTTTATTTGAAATATTAGATAAAATATTAAGAATGTTTTACGTGTTTGACAAACTTAGATTAAAGGCTGTAAAACCTTTTCATAATTTTTCTTTTTTTAAGATTAAAAATAGATCATGCATTAGTGAAAGAGAAATTATAAAATTAAGTACATTTGCAAGTATAGCTATGCCAATGGCGAGATTATTTATTTCATATTTTAGTGCTGAGGATTTTGAGATTTTTCATCCTATGATTTTAAAAAAGAGAACTACTTTATTTATTGGAGACACAAAAAAGGGATATTTAAAATATATTTGTGCAATTTTGGTAGAGCATACTAAACTTAAGTATCTTAAAATATTTATGTGCGCATTATATGAAAAATTGAATAAGGACAGCACGTTTGATATTTTTTATGAGCAACTAAACTCTAAAGAACAGGAGTACTTTATAGATTTAGTTAATCTTTTGTAAGTCGACTAGTTCATAGAACAAAACATACAATATTTTATACCCTTAAATGAAATTGAATATAAAAAAGAAAAATGAAGACATTATTTTATGTGACACAAATTATGTTGTAACATATAAAGAAATTGACGACACAGAAATTAATAAAGAGACGTATAATAAAGATTTAGAAATTATTTGCGAAATTGAAAGTATAAATAATTTGGTTTATTTTTTAGAAAGGCTTAAAGCCTTTGAAACAGTAAGAGATTGTTACATTAATGTTTTTAAAGAAGGGATACAGCCTCTTTGGGAGGATGAGAATAATAAAAATGGATGCAACTGGAGTCTTGTACTAAAAAAGGAAATTTGTCAAAGATATTTTGAAAAATTAATAGTTAGAATGTGTACTGGATTTTTTAGGGTTATTGTTCCTTCAGGTGTTGTGGGAGTTTATAAAGATAATAGATTTAAGTTATCAATTTGGTCAAAAACGATTCCACAACCAAGTGAACATGTAAATGCCATAAATGAACTTAAGAGTGCTTTAGATATTAATTTTAATGTGTCATTTCAGTATAAAAAGCATAGTAAATTACTAGAACCTAGAGAAGAATAAATAAATAATTATTTATTTTATTTTTTATATCCTTATGAAAGAAGATAATGATTTTTTAAAATATGCAATATGTGCTTTAATACAAGATTTAAAGGATAATAATGAAGACATAGAACAGGAAATGAAAAAGGTAGGACATATTTTAGGAAGAATGGCATTAGAACATGACGATTTCCAAAGGGAATTGGATTTGGAGAGTTTACTTTACAAAATTACATATACATTTTTAGATAAAATATATTCGACTTCTAGAAAATTAGAAGTTTCTACTAAAAATAGTAAAGAATATTATATTTTTGAACATGAACCACTTTTTTCTCAGCACGTTTCTTTACCAGAATCTTGGAAAGATTTTTGTCCAGAATCAATAATGTCAGGGGTAATTGAATACGCGCTGCTTGCATCTGGATTTGAATGTGAAGTTAATGGATATATTAAACCTTGTAAAAATAATACTAATACCGTAGTTTATCAAATTAAACTTAATGATTAGATTTAATTATTTATTTTGTAGTAAAATTATTTAGAATAAATTTATTTTTAACATAAATTTTCAACGAAGCTGGTTTTATTGTATTACTTTTTGTACAATTTTTTTAGTTACCTTTCAACCATAAAATATAATTGAAATGATTTTAAGTAAATAATTCAAATAAATTATTAGCTAAGTTATTTAAGCATAATAATAAGCTTTTTGTTCCGTAAAAAATTTTATACTTTTTTGATACTTAATATCCGCTTATCTGTTTTGGCATAAAAAATAGCTTTGAAGACTAAAAACAGTAATAACTTTTTAACTTAAGTTTACATGTAAAGATGATATTATAAATGGTGTCAGATGTACATATAATTTATTAAAATGATTGACTATTGTTACAAATGAAAAAAGAGTATATTAAAAATTGTTAAAAAAAGAATAATAAATCAGTATATTTTTAACTAATTAAATTTACTAGATAATATATTACATTATAAAACCGACACAATAAATTTATAAGTTTTTTTACTTAGCAAGAAAAGACAAAAAATGAAGGATTTTTTTATTATCAAATTATTTAGTCAATCATTAAACTGGGATTTGTAAGATGTTGAAAACATTTCTAAAAAATATAAATTTGCAATTATTAAACTATAGTAATCATTAGAAACATTTTAATTATAATACAAATAAGATACTTTTTTAAAAAAATAAAACTACCGCCGAAAAATTGGCTTTATAAATAATTAACTGATGAACAACAGTTTAATTTTTATTTTGTATATTTTGATAAAATTAACGGATTGTAGGAAAAAAACGTTAAAAAAATAAGCAAATATTCGAAAAAAACTATTTAATTTTACAGGATTAAATTAATTAAAGGACATGCTAATAAGTCAAGTAGATGACACGAACCAAAACTGTACAGGTCTAATGTTTAGAAATTTATTGTGAAAAAATAAAATTTTATAAGTCTTTCACAAAATATTTTAATTTGTATTACTAAAACTATCTATTAATTAAAAGATGTTATTAACAGTTTTTTTGCTTTAAAAAACCAATTTAAAATGATTATATTAGACAATTTTGTATTAATTATTCATTACTGTACTATTAAACTTATAGTGCTTTCTTATTAAAAAATTTATTTTCAGAAGACAGTTAATTTAAAGCGGTTATTTAAATAAAATTGCAAAATTTCGACAAAAAAATTCCATATTAATAAAACAAACTTACCTAGAACTGTATTTTATAATAGTAAAATATTATTTAAGATTAAAAATGATACATTATTATTACACAGAACAAAACTAAATATAATATTTAAAATTAAAAACAAATCAATTAAAATTTTACAGTGCAACAATCATTTTATGTCACTTTACATTTTTAGGACATTTAATGCAATCTCTTTCGGAATTTTAATTTAATTAAAATCAATTTTTTTACTTTTTGATCGTGAAATTTTTTTATTTTTAAAAACAATAACAGTTATATAAAACTTAATTTTACCACTAATCATTTATTTACATCTGATAATATCTTGGATCTTCTGAATTTAGTCCATAAGAATGATGATTCATCAAATTTTCTTCTTCAAAAGTCTTTCTCTTTTTCCTGTTTTCTTCTTGTGCAATAAACTCTTCATCAATCATCCATTTCCCTCCTTTCCCTCTCGTTCCAGGCTCCCGCGCTACCTTTTTAAAACATTTACTAAGCGATAAGTTATGTCTTATTGAATTTTTCCATACAGGATTGGCATATTTATAGTATTCAAAGTTATCTTCAATCCATTTATATATTTCTCCGAGTGTAAGTTTTCCATCTTGGCTTCCATTTAAAGCCCTAGTGATTATTTGCGCATATGAAAAAGCAGGCTTGGCATGATTTTCTTTATTTTTCATTGTATTAATAGGCATATTTTTATAGAACATTCTTGGATCAATACATGGATCAGAAATAGGTCTTACTGATTTGTTATAAAAATCATTATGTATTTGCGTATTGCGTCTATAATGCATAAATGGATTACTTCTGTTGGATTTAATTACATCTGCTTCGCTAAAAGACCTTTTTTTATTAAAATTCATAAAAGGATGAGTAAATAAATTATTTGACTGGGTATTTATTTCTGGTATTCGATTGGCGTAAAAACCATTATCATATTCCATTTGCTTGTGATCATAAATGTCAGTTTGATAAAAGAATCCAAAAGAAGGTCTTTGATTTATTGTAGCATTATTAAGGGATTTATTTCGATTATATTTTCTATCATTATATTCTTGATCAAACATGCTCTTATTATCGATGTTATGTTGGAAGTCATTTTCTGTTAGATTTTTATTATGTTTTTTATCTTCTTGGCTATTTACATGTTTGAAAAATTCTGGTGTTTTCATAAAAAAAGAATTTATTCCTCTGGTACTAGAAATATCAATATTATCTTTAATCTGATTAGGTACACTGAGATCTAGCTCAATACCTTTGGTTATAACATTCATCCCACTATTATTACTTTTAAGGTTGTCCTTAAAATCAATACCGTTGCATAAATGACTATTCAATAGTTCTTTTTCGTTTTCTGTACAGTCTATTTTGTTAAAAGAAAAATCATCTTCGCTCTCTTTGCTGTTCATGTCTTATATATCCCCTATTTTTTTTGATTTGTTTTGGTAAACATATCACAAGCATAAAGTTACAATTATTAAGATATTATGATACATGTTTTATAGACCATTACTGTCTAATAGTTATAATTTGTGCATTAATTTTTAATTTAACATCATGTAATCAATTTTAAAAATTTGCAGAAATAAACAAATAAATAAATTAGGTGAGAATAAACTGCATAAATAGGTAAAATAAAGACATTTGAGAATTTAATAAAAATGAAATTATTGGCATTAATTTTATTTTCTAAAGATTTTGTAATTAATTATATTTATTTTCTTTTATTTTAATTAAAAAACAAATATAAAATGGTTTTTAAAAAAATAAATTTCTTTTAATTTTGTTTGTAAGAAAATTTAACTTTAAATGTTTCTTTTTATTAAATATTTATAAAAGACTCTTGTAATTTATTTAAATATATATTAACTGAACAAAAATCTTGTACTCTTGTTAATCTTCAAACCTAAAAAATTAATTTATAATTTCTAAGCATTAAAGTTCTTTATTAAATTTACAGTCTTGTATTTTTATTTTTTTTATACTTTATTCTAAAATAAACTTAATTGTAAGATGTACTCAAGTGATTTTTAAATTAAAATGGTATAAAAGTACATCTAAAACAAGCTTTAAATAATTATTAATGCCTGTTAAAATTTCTAAATCCATTTTTAAATCTTATAAATCAAAGGTTTTGTTCTACTTCTGCAAATTTGAGGGTAAATTAAATAATTTTAAATCTGTAGATTTTAAAATACAAAAAAGGCTTATAATTGATTACATAAATAATTTTAGATACATCATATAGTAATGATAATAATTATTAAATGTACATTATTGTTTTAATAGTTGATTGAATTTTTATAGCAGACCTTCTTTATAAATTTTTTACAAAAAAATATTTTATCTAATTTTACTCTTTGTCCTAACATTGTACAAGATAACTTTTTATGCATTATAAAATTTATTTATAATTTGTAAATTTTAATTTATATAAATTAATTTTGCTTTCTACAAGTCTTGTTGAATAAAAAATAATACTAATACTACTATATTTACTGGTTGTGTAATGTTATAATGCAATTTACGTCGATAAGATTCATTTTTAACTTCATACAATTTTTACGTGTTTTAATTAAAAACTTTGATGTTTTTCTAAAAATTTTTGAAATTAAATTTAAAAGAATTTAATAGCATAAATAGAAGATATCAAAATAAAGATGAAAGGTTACAATAATATACATTTCAAGTTGTAGTTAATTTCATGATTTATAATATAGTGAGAGAGTAGTAACATATTTTTGTTACAGCAAATAGAAAATAATTATTGAAATATTATTAGGTGTGTATGTAGGAATAGATGTGTATTAGTTGTGTATTTTTACGATGTCATATTTGACAAAAACATCTTTTAATAATTTAAACAATTGTCCATATATTTCATTCAACAACTTATACACTATTTAAAACTTTAAGATGTTTGTAATTTAAAGAGCCAATATTTAAACAATGTATGTATTGTCAATTGTGATATCAAGCCAAAGTAAACCAATACGAAATTAAACAAGCAAAAAATAATCGACAAGAGTTGTGAAAAAATTAAATTTTGAGTATAAAACCTTTTATTTCTTTCTTATGAATAATTATTATGAAAATTACACCACAAAAGCACTAGCAATATTTTTTTACAGTTTCTTTTCTTTTTCTACTTAATTAATTTCAATAGATAGCCTTTTTTTGTAAAGCACCTTTCTAAACTATAAAAAATGTTAGATATCGTTGTAATAGAAATACATTTAGATTGAAACTTACTAGTTAGTTACATATTTGATTTTACTATTATTATTTCGTTGCAAATGATTTTCGAATTCACCATTTTTTAATTGTAAAAACACTTATTTCGCCTCAAAAATATATAACAGAATTTCTGTAAGAGGATGAATACCAAATTTATACAATTTTAATGGGTTAATTAAAATTAAAAATCGTATTTCTATTTTACAAATATTCTCAACTTATATATCTTTTACATGTTTTATTTAAATTTATATGTTATAATAAACTTTACTTTTATTCACTGGCATTCTATTCTTTCTAAATTTATAAATTTTTTTATTTTATCACCCCAATGGCAGCAGCTGATTACATCAGGGAAATCCAAAAATCTAAACAATCCGATAACATGAGATATCTTCTTAGATTAAGGGTCTGTGAGTATAGACAGAGAGGGGAAGTGTTTAGGATACCACGCCCCACCTTTTTACAGAGAGCACGAACTCTTGGTTACAGAACCAAAGAAGGAATATTGTGTTATATTGCCAGGGTTAAAAAAGGTAACAGAAAGAGAGAATACAATAATGGTAACACTAGAGGTAAATGTAAGAATGCTCGTATTCATCAGATTACTCCAGCTGTAAGGCATCAGGCCACTGCAGAACAAATTGTTGGTAAAAGACACCCAAATCTAAGAGTGTTAAATTCTTACTGGGTTAATCAAGATTTAGTTTATAAATATTTTGAGGTTATTATGGTTGATCCTAATCATAATGCTATAAGAAATGATCCTAAGCTTAATTGGATTTGTAAGGGTGTTATGAAACACCGTGAATGTCGTGGTCTTACATCTGCCTCTAAAAAGAGTAGAGGATTGGGTCATGGAATTAAATATAATAATACAATAGGAGGATCAGTTAGAGCATGCTGGAAGAGGAATGTTACAACTAGTTTAAGAAGATTTAGATAATAAAATATTATTTATTTAGTAATGTAAATGTTTTATAGATAGTTTTTATATTAAATAGTAACATTTCTAAAATTTATTTTGTAAAAAAAATACTAATGAACATGCTAAGAAAATATTATATCAAACATAATAAATATTAGAGATAAATAAAGAAGTGTAGATTATATATATAAATGAATTTTATAGTTTATTACTAAATAAATTTATGGTGTTTTAAATTAAGTGTGGCGTATTGCATTAGTGAGCTTTAATGTAATAAAGTAATTTAAAAGTAGATAAATTATTAAACGACATTTTTCAAAGTCACCATTGTCTTACAGTAAATAACGTATACGGATGATTGTATGGAGAAATTAACGAGTTAAAATCTTATAATTAATTTTAGAAAGTTTAGCTATTGTAAGCAAAAATTAGCCTAAAATAATCTAAAAGAAGAGAAGTCATCTAAAAACTATTATTATTTATAAGTGTAAAGATAAATGCAAATATTAACATATTTGCATTTATGTGTTTATTTACTAAAATGTTTTTTGTATTATTACACATCGTATATTAAAAGGCTTATATAGAGATATTAAAATCATTTATAGTAGAATTATTACAATGTATTCTTTTTGTTATAAGTTTTTGCTTCTAAACTTGGCCAACTTTTTATGTTATTTGCGGATATTAAGTTTTTTATAAAAATTTTAAATAGTTAAACTCTTCAGGATCATCTTATGCACTCTGGCTTGTTCATGGTTTTAATTCAATACCATTACTAAACTACTTGTGAAATTGTTTTACACATCATTCTATGCAAAATAATTTCGCTCCTATATTTGTAAACGGGAACTTATGATTTTTAAACAAATCGCATTTGTATTATTCTTCACTTTGATTGTTTTAATAATTAAATTGTTATTTTTTATTTAACTATCAAAATATTTCGTATAGTACAATAAAAGACATTATAATGTTTTATTTTACGTTGTGACTTTTTAAGAATATTATAAAAATGTTTATTTATCTTTTGTAAAATAACAATCCATAGAATATATAAGTCATATCTACAACATACAAGATATATTTTTCAGAAGGATAACAACCAACCATATTTGAAAATGAAAGAGGAATTAATCCATAAATAGCAAACTGTGAATTAATAAACAGTGCACTAAAAAGGGAACCTATTGTTAAAAAAATATAAAAAATAAAAGCAGAAGAATCAACATAGCTAAAAAAGTCATCTTCACTAAATATATATTTCTTACTTAATTTACTTTCTGATTTTTTGTTCATGCTCTTTAGGGTATTATTTACACTAAAAATGCAAATAAAGAATAAATCATTGGCACTTAAAAAATCAATAAGTTATAAGCATGTGTAAATTTTTATTAATAATTAAGTAATTTAAATATGGAATAATATAATTTTTGTAATGATACTGTAATCCGTTTATTTTCATATTTTAGTTTGATAATCCAATTAATTTAAGTAAATTTATTTGTGCTTAAAATAATATTTAATTTGAGTTATAGACGATAATAAAATTTCAATCATTTTATTTTTTTTAAGATGATTGTAAGGTAATAATATCTTTGTTATATTTTAGTGTCAATACATTGAAATTCAACAAGTAATAAAAATATCATTTAAAATAATTAACATTATTTATACAAAGTTAAAAACTTTTTGAAAGCATAAATGTTCAAACAAAATATATAATTTTTTTTTAAAAATTAAAATTTCTGTGCATAAACAATACAGTGAGGGACGATTTATTCCTCCCACTAAAATGTAGATTTTATCCTTCTAATAAGGTTAAAGACATCTCTCGTCTAAACTAAAAGCAGTTTAAGAGATATATCGGGGTTCGTTGCTAATTAAAACCTATAATCGAAGTATTTAATTAACTTGTGTTTTTTAAATAATTTTTTTATTTGAAAAGTTATTCATCCTTGACGATTTTATCCACCCCCTTTTGAGAAAATAGTAAATAAAATTGCCTTCCGATGTATAACTTAAAAAATAATTTTAAGCAAAGCCTGGCACAAAAAGATTAAAAAAGCATTACAACTTAAATTATACATTTTGCTGTCGTAATAATTTTTTATTTTATTGTACATATTTACTAGATGTTATTCACAAAATTGTTCTATAGTACAAACGCAATAAATTTTTTAATAACACAGAAATTTTACAGCTAGAAGTTATGTAAAAAATACAATACTTTTGTCAGCCAATCTGCATAATGTTGTAAAGTTCTTTTTAGGAATATTTGCTAATTTTTTCATAAATTAAATAAAATTAATTAAAAACGCAATTTGATTAATTTGACACCTTGGCAATAATGTTTTAACGCTTTTATTAAAACATGCCAATAAATTATTGGCAAATCATTTGGATCAATAAAATCAAAGGTTTTAACTTAAACAATAAAAATATTATTAAATCCATTTCCTACAAAAAGTCTTCAGAATGTAACATTAAAGTTTTTCACCAATTTGTTTATTTTTTCAGGAAAATTCTAGAATTTTCTAGAATAAAAAAAGTATATAATAAAAAAAAATTACACCCCTATGTCACAAAATAAATGTACTAATAAAGCACGTGAACTTATTGAACAGGCAATGGCAAAGGCAACTCTTAATAGAAACACACAATTAGAACCAGAACATTTTTTAAACGTACTACTTGAAGATTCAAATTCTATTTTAAGAAAAGTTCTCCCCAAAGAAGAAACGAATATTTGGATTGATAAAATTATCAATAAAATTAATACATTTGGTAAGGCAGGTCAACCAGTAGAACCACAATTTACTTACAAAATATCACAAATTTTAAAAACTGATGATGAATATATTTCTGTTGATTCTATTTTAATTAATATTCTTGCATTAGACAGCATAAAGAGCTATTTAAAAGATGCAGAAGAAATAATAAAGAAATTGAAAAGTTTTAGAGGCAATAAGAAGATGGATAATGTAGATGCGGATGATACAGAAAATGTAATGTCAAAATTTGCTGTAGACATGGTTGCACAAGCACGCCAAAATGTTTTTGATCCTGTTATTGGACGTGAACAAGAGATTAGAGAAATTATTGAAATTTTATGTAAAAAAACAAAAAGTAATGCAATTATGGTAGGAAAACCTGGTGTGGGTAAAACTGCTATAGTAAATGGAATAGCACAGAGGATAGCAAATGGAGATGCACCTGGATTAAAAAATGCTAAAATTTATAATGTAGATATTGGAGGGATGGTAGCAGGTGCCTGTCATAGAGGAGATTTTGAACAAAGATTAAAGGATTTAATTAAAGAAGCCGAAACAACCCCTGGTGTAATTTTATTTATAGATGAAATACATATTATTTTAGGAGCAGGTAAAACATCTGATAGTGCTATGGATGCGGCTAACATGCTTAAGCCAGGTTTAGCAAATGGTTCTATAAAATGTATTGGTGCTACGACAGAAGATGAATATAGAAAATATGTAGAATCAGATCCTGCATTTGAAAGAAGATTTGTACAAGTTCCAATAAGAGAACCTTCAGTTGAAGATTCTATTACAATGTTAAGAGGTATAAGAGAGAGAATGGAATTACATCACGGTGTAAAAATTAGTGATAATGCTTTAGTTTATGCAGCCAATGCTTCTAAACAGTATATTCCTAATAGAAGATTACCAGATATAGCAATTGATTTAATTGATAGTGCTTGTGCTAGTGCTGTTATTTCTTTAGAAAGTCAACCGAAGGAAATATTAGAAGCAAAAAATAAATTATGGTCTTTAGAATTAGAAAAGACAAGTTTAGAAATGGATTTAAAAAATACGCCTAATTCTGAAATATTACTAAAGAAGTTGGAAGAGATTCAAAAAAGGATTGAAGTTATTAAAGAATCAATGGTACCTTTAGAAGAAAATTATCAAAATGAAAAGAAAGACATTATACAAGCAAAAGAATTACGTAAAAAGTTGGAAGATACAAGAATTAAATTACAACAAGCAGAAAGAGATAGACAGTCATACTTGGCTTATGATCTTAAAACAAATGTTATACCAATTCTAGAAGAGGAATTAACAAAATTAACAGGAGTAGAAATAATTGAGACACATCATGTTGCAGAAAAAATAAGTAATTGGACAGGTATTCCTGTTAAGAGATTGACAATGAAAGAAAATGAAAGATTATTGGGAATGTCTAATAGGATTAAACAGCGAATTTTCGGGCAAGATGAAGCAGTTGATACTATAACTGCTTCTATATTGCAATCGCGTGTAGGTCTTGCACGAAAAGATAAGCCTATTGGTGCTTTTCTTCTTTTAGGACCAAGTGGTGTTGGAAAAACAGAATTAGCAAAAGCCGTGGCTGCTGAGTTATTCGATGATGAAAAGAATATGGTAGTTTTAGACATGAGTGATTATGGAAATGAATTGTCTGTTACGAAATTAATTGGTGCATCTGCGGGATATGTCGGTTATAACGAAGGAGGATTTCTTACAGAACCAATTAGACGTAAACCTTACAATGTAATTCTTCTAGATGAAGTTGACTTGGCTCATCAATCTGTACTTAATGTTTTATATCAATTACTCGATGAAGGTCGTATCACCGATGGAAAGGGTGTTGTAGTTGATTTTAGAAATTGTGTAATTATTATGACTTCTAATCTTGGACAACATGTAATTATGAATTCTAATGGAATTGGAGATAATGAGAAAGTAGAGTTAGAACAAATAGTACTTAAAAGATTTGGTCCACCATTTGTAAACAGGATTGATAATGTGATATATTTTAATCAGTTAGATTATGCATGCCTTGGTAGAATTTTAGATTATCAAATTAATGAATTGAATAAAACACTAGAAGAAAAAAATATTAAATTTGCTATTAGTAATGCTGTAGCTCAAGAAATGGTTTTAAAAGCGCATTCTTCTGTTTATGGTGCGAGATTAATGAAAAGGCTTGTACAAACGCATTTTACAAGTGCTCTGACACAATTTTTATTGAAGAGAACTGATAATGAAAATTTGTATATTAAGTGTTTTGAAAAGAATGAGAATCAGCCAGGTGAGTTAGTGGGGGATTATGTTTACCAATTTCAAAAATTTAATTAAATTTTATATTTTATTTTAATTATATGTTTTTTATAAAGATTGCTATTATCAATTTTTTTAAACGCAAATTAAATTTTACTTTTTTCATGAAAATTGCTAATATATTAAATTTTTTACTTTATATTTTTTTAATAAATTACTAAAATATTCAATTTTTATGAAAATTGCTAATATATTATTTTTTTATATTTTTTAAAATATTTAATTGATAACTTAACATACAAAAAACAAATCCTTAGCATTCATAAACATTTTCAGTCATGAGTTTTAGTACTGTCTTAAAAAACATGTCTGTCATCTCGAAATCAAACTCAGAATCTAAAATTACTGCACCTGCTAGTGCCTCAAAAATGTCACCATAACATTTACTTACTTTATTATTATTAAAATCTCTTGTTTGATCGCTTAATCCAGTAAAGGAGAAGTCGTAGAGTCCAGATTTAAATAGAATCATTGCAAATGTGTGATTATTAACAAGACTTTTTCGATGTGTATGGAGAGTTTCTGGGTCAGCATCCGTGTATTTAAAAAAAATATAATCAGATACTTTAAGATCAAGAAAGCAATCACCTACAAGTTCTAATTTTTGAAATCTTTCTGAGCCAAAAATATTATCTTTATACGAAGGATGTATCATGGCTTTTTCAATGTATCCTTTATTCTTAAATGTGTAATTAATAATTTTTTCTACTTTTAAAATATTAGCAAGAGGTAATATTCCTTCATATTCACATAGTAGAATTATATTTGGTGTTTTAGTCATAAAATTATTACTATGTCTTTTACTTCCATGATTTTCTAATATACCTATACTTTTAATAAAATTCCATGCCTTTTGAAATCCCTGTTCTATATAATGAACCCCAATCAATGACTCGACTATATCAGCATAGACTTTTTTACCTTTTTCTAAATTTGTATCTTGAGATTGTTTTCTACTGTACAACTTAACAAAATTATACTGATTATTATTCTGAAATAAATTTTTTAAATTTAGACTTTCTATAAGAGATTTATCAAATTCTAAATCGAGAATGGCAGGTGGTTGAAATAGATGTTCTGTATATCTATTAAGTGAAAAATATTTTTGTAAATTTATCTGTCGGCCAACTCTGTACAAATGATCATTGCAAACTAAACCATCTTTAGTGCTTACAAGCTTATTAAGATTATATCCACATTCAGTAAATAAAAATTTACTGACAGAATATTTTAATACTGAATCCCCAATAAACTCAAATCTTTCATATCCTAAATCATTTTGCTGTCCATTCAAAGAATCTTGCAAAGTAAAAGATATCGCTAAGTTAGAATGAGAAATAGAAAAGTTCATATTAACTTTAAATTCGTAAGTTAATGCCAATATTTCAAATATGTTAAAATATTCTACAAATCTTTTATAATCACTCTTTATACTTTTCTTAACAACTGTCACGTAAATTATTTCACAAGCATGAAATTCGGGTTCTTTTTCTTTTTTATGAGAAAAAGGTACAGCAGTAAAAATGACATTTTTATTTTTACCGCTATTCGATAAATTAATTCCATACAAAAATATAAAATACTCTAAAAATGTGTATTCTTTTTTCGATAAATCTAAATTTTTACGATTTTTAATCTTAGAATTTGTAATATCTGTAAATTTTTTATCTGTATCTTCTACATATTCATAAAATAACTTAGTAATGGGATTAAATAATAAATAGTTGTTAAGAATACTATGATTATTAACATCGTATACACTCCCAAAAAAGAAGTTTTCATACAATTCGTTCATGTATTCAAAATCAATCTCTAAATTTTTTATAGGCAACACATAATAAGCATATTTCCGACCTACAGTTTGACTACACGTAATGCGCTTAAAATTTACACCGAAAAAAACAACTTGAAAATTTAAAATTATATTTTTTTCGTGTTGTGTAAAACTTATTCTTTTTATAAATCGTACTTCTGTATTTTTATAGTTAACTTTCTCTGTAAATGTTTCACCTGTACAAATTCCAATATTACTATTATTAAACAAATATAAACTCATTGTATCAGAAAAGCATTTAAAGCAATCGGCCTGCTTTCTTAAAACTTCTTCTGGATCAAAAAAAGGAAAATTTTTTTGTGTTATATCGAAATAATAATCTTTTTTAAACTTGTCATATTCTTCATATCCATCTTTTATATTATTTATAAGTACATATGCCTCTTCTAATGATTGAAAATCAATATCATAGATCTTTTTTATACTTTTGATGTAAAAAAGATTTTCATTAATAAATTTACTTTTTACAGGCAAAAAATTGCTGTCTAAATATCCCGACTCTACCAATTTTATAATAAATCTATAGCACGCATCTTTATTGGCATCCTTTTTCACAGAAAATTCATCAGATTTAAATGTAGCTAATAAAGCATTATTATTAACAATTTTAGGAAATTCAAGACAACAGATAAATGTATTAGGCTTGCTACCATTATAATATATTCTATTTGGTACTAAACATCTAATAAATAAATAATTTTCATGAAATAATCTATTAATTAAATAAAATATGTGTTCATAAAAAGGTATTGAATACTCCCAAGGAAGTGTAGGATTTATGTAATGAGAGTCTTCTCTTGTGTTATATTGCTTATCTTTTTTTACAAAATAAGAATAAAATTTATCAATAGATTCTAATTTACAGATATTATTTATCAAAGCAGTAGGAAAAGACTCACTTTCTTTTAAAAAAATAATAGTTTTAAATTTAGGTAATATTTTTTCATCTACTGGATCTATAATAAATAACGTTGATTCTTCTAAATCCGCATCTAAAGAAATAAAATCTTTGATAAAATAAACATCTTTACTTTCAAATTCAATATGTCCATAAATATACACTGGACCGCACTGAAGATAATTTTTAATTATTTTTTGTTTTTCAAATAATATTGATAAACTTTTTCCATATTCAAGATCTTTATCTGTCGGTGGTATGCTACTTATTTTGCTTTGGTTAATACACTTGCTAATTAATTCAATTGCTTCTAAAATGTCACTTTTTTCTAGTTCACTTAGCCTATTTAATAATTTAACATAAAATTCACTATTTTTATTTTCAATAGTATTTTTCAGTAATCTTTTACATTTTGCGTAATTAATAAATTTATTCGGCGTTTTAGATGAGATTGTAATACATTTTATATTATTTTTTATATCATCATCTTGCTTACTGGCTAGAATAGATTGAAAATAAATAGAGAAATCATCTGTAGGATCTTTTATAAATGAAATACATTTAGGCTTTTTTAGATCATATGCAATGCCATCTATATAAAATATTTTAAAGGCGTGTATAAAATCTGCTTTTATCTCACAATTTATTATAATAACATCATAATGGTACACATTTATAAGACCTTGCCAGGCTAAAAAAATAAATTTTGAAGGATGAATACACAATTTACTGGTCTCTTTAATAAAAGGTATAAGATCTACAAATTTCAGCTTATAATTAGATAAAAATAATTTATCATCAGTTATTAATAAATACTTATCATTACTAGCCATGATTTGTTCTATTTCTCTTTTATATTCATTTTTAGACTCTATACCTAAAGTCTCAATTTTCGTAATAATTTCATTAAAATTCATTAACCCTCTTTATGCAGAAAAAATTTATAGTTTTTTTAAATAAAAATTTGAAGTATAGAACGTTAAAATTTATTTTAAAATATTATTTTTATTTACCAAATCAAACATTTGACATGATAGTTAAAAGATTGATATATTAATATTAAGAAACAACATCATAATACTCTATAGTTTGATTTTATGTAGAAATATTTACTTTATACCAAATATCTAAAATAAAGATTAAGAAAAAGTAATACATTTATTTTATATGAATATAGCAATTATTTGAAAAAATGTTGTATTTGTATAAAAAATTGTAAATGCTTTATCAAAAATTAGTATATTAAAACTTGATACTTAAAATTCAGTTAACAAAAAAGTTGTAAAGAAACATTTACAAAGAATATTTTAAATATTTGCTACAATGATTTTTTATTTGTACTTCTACTTGTAATATCTTATCTAATGTTGTAATATATTTAAGCTTTGAATAGGAGACAATATATTTAATTAACTTTTATCCCTTAACTATGTAATTTAAAAAAATAAATATTTGTCGAGTAAGGATAAATATTGTAAGGCAGTAAAAATAATTAATGAACAAAAGTATTGTTTTTTGTTATTAAGTTATAAAAATAAAATATTATTAATCGATCATTGCAGATATTTAAATTTCTAATATAAAATTCGTGATTTTATTATTAACCCATCAAAATGGTCTTTTTTCTGCGAAATTGGTTAGTTAAATCTTTCAATGCCTTTTTAAATAATGATATTCATGACTCTAGCCATCATAATGTACAGATAATTGATGTGCTAGAAATACAAAAGTCTAAAATATTTTTAATAATCAGGGACAGAGATTATTTTGTAAAAGGATGTATTTCAAAAAATAAAAATATTTTTTACAAGGGAATGTGCATAAATATAAAAAAATATTACATAGAATATTATTTACAAGAATTTTATATCTATATCTTAGATTATATTGATCTGGGATGTATATGCGATAGTTTTAATGAAACATTGGATATTAATACTAGATTTAAAAAAGAATTAGAAAGTTGTTTATATAAAAGCATAGATTATACAGCATTTGTAAAAAATAAAAATGACGATTTTGAATGTTTTGTTTTTAAAAAACAAACAAAAAATGAAGAAAAAGTAGATCTTTGTAACTCGAGTAATATTTTTAGTGAAAGTATTTTAGTAAGCAGTTTAGATGATAATCTACATAAAGACAGTTTCTATAAATCGCTTATTAAGAAACCAATAGAAAAAAATATAGTTTTAGAATATGATAAACCAAATTTATTAGACGAGATGATAATAACAAATTATAAGCAAAATACTAATGTAAACTCCATAACAAGCCATTGTGAAAATTTTGCTAATAAAAATACTTTAATACCTAGTTCTTTATCAAGTCTTGGTACATTTGATGAAAATTTATCTACCGATATAGAGATTCAGAATTCCAGTTCTATAGAAATCTTATCTACTTTACCAAATTTAAGTGTTTTAAATGATCAACAAAAAAATTATAAAGAAATAAACTCTAAAATGCATGCTTCTAGTATTTCTTCAGATTTAAAGTACATAAGTCCAAAAAAAAGTAAAATCGAAGAAATAAAAAAATCACCGTATCAGAATAGATTTTTTACTAAAAATATAATAGAAAAGAAAAAAACTTATAATATTTACCAACACTACTTACCTCAATCTACTACAGAATCAACCAATATAAAAACTAAAAATCTAGTATTATATAAAACAAATGAAAGAAGAAGTAGAATATTTAATTATTTAGACAATTTTGCAAAATGTTATAAATTAAAAGATATTCTACTCATGGCAGAATTTTACTGTAACAATTTATATAAGAAAAATTTTTTGATATTTCTATATAAAATTGTATGGAATAGTATCCTACAAGGCTCAGTATTACCAATGAATATGACACATAAGCATCTTTTGAACAGAAAAGTATTTTATAAAAATACATTCTTGTATGTTAGCAATAAGAAATTTACATCTAGGCCTTATATAAAGAGACGTTTAATGCCAGACACTATACTATTTAATAAGAAAAAAAATATTTTACAGAAAAAAGTAAAAAATAAAATAAATGTAAATTATAAAATACAGAGAGGGGTTTACGACCTTAGTATTTTGAAACATGCAGATACAATTACAAATTTAACAAACATGTTTATCACTAAAGATATTTACAAATACACAAGCAAAAGTAAAATCAAATATTTTAATATAACAAACAAACAGACACAACAATACAATATAAAACCGATAGATGAATATCTATTTTTAACAAATAATGATGATTTATTTTTTGACATAAATTATAATATTTTTAATTGAAAAAAGAAAAAATATTATCTTTTATGATATTTACCTTTTTGCATGTTACAATACTCTTTCCATGTGGTCTCATTAAATCCATAATTAAAATAATCAGTAATGTCTTCTCCCGGTTTGTTCCATGGCTTTTCATCAAGTTTGGAAAAATCAAACTCAAATAAATTTGCTTCTGTGTCCATATTATCTTTATTTTTTTCTATAACAAGCTCAAGCTCATTTGATTCTTCAGAGCTATGGTAATCTTTATCAATAAAAAAATCTTTATCTTCCATAAAAGGGGTATGTTCTTACAACAATATTTTAGAAGTACACTGCTAATAAATAATATTAGAATAATTATATTATGTCACAAGTGTTGAATGCATACACTAACTAAAAAATACAATAAAATAATTCTCGTAAATAATATTAACACCTTTCAAAGCACTTGTATAAGTCTTTTAAAAACGAGAAAAGATTATAATAAAATAATTCTAGTAAATATCATTAACACCTTTCAAAGCACTTATATAAGTCTTTCAAACTCTTAAGCTTCGTGAATGTTTGTAAAACATCTTTCGTACATTTTAGATATTTTTTTAGAGTCGAAAAAGATTGTCTATTAAGTTCTAAGTTTCGGTAGATTTTACACAACTTCGAAAAAATTTCTCTAAATACTTTTTCTTCGATTTTATTTTCAATATTGAAATTTTCCCATTCTTTTACATCACCGATATAATCACCGATGTTAGGAACATGTATAAAATTATTATTGTCATCTATTTCAATCTTAAAATATTCTTGTAACATTTTTTTTAATGTGTCATCTTTTATTTTACTTTTTATGCAACACGACGAATAAGTAAAATTGCCAAAATTAAATAGAAAAAAATGATAAATTAAATGTGGAATCAGTGATGTCAAATTACATTTCATTAAATATTGATTATATTGCACTAGTAAATTTATATCTGGAATGTTTGCTGTACCTACATATACAAGATCTTGTATAAAAGATTTATCAATTTCTACTATTTCATTCTTCAATTTTTGTATGCTTAATAATTTGTATTCACACGTTGTCTGACTAGGCAAGCAGTCTAAAAGTGTATTATATTCTTTGTAAATTATATTTGATTCGTATACATTGCTGTTACTTATTCCTCCTTTATAAGTCTCTTTAGGTTCATTAAGTCCCATTTCCAAGATAACACCAAGAACATTTAATAATTCATCTTCATAATCTAAAAGTACTTCTTTTTTACTGGGATGAACATTTACATCTATGTATTCAGAAGGTATTCTGATTTCTAAATAAATAAATGGATATCGTCCTTTTGGTAAAATATTTGAATAAATTTTTCCAATAAAGGATTTTATACTTTGACTTGTAACAAGTCTATTGTTAATAAAAAGTATAAATTGGAATGATTTAAAATTTATCATTGTAGGTGTAAAAATTAGTGTTATAAACTTATTACTGTAGTATCTTAATGATGATATCTGGTAAATAGTACCTATTTGCTTAGACTTAGATTTGGTTATTAGATCATTTTCATCATTAAATTGTAATTCACTAGTAAATTTTATAGTTTTAATAAAATCTAGGTAATTAATATCACTTATATAATTTATTTTCCCAATAGATACATCATTATAAGAACATGTACTATCATTAAATAGAAACTTTATATTTGGATTTTTTATCGCAAAAATATTTGCTAGTTCTGACATACTTTTGTAAACAGATAATTTCTTATGGAAACATTTCTCTCTAATTTTATTATTGTAAAATAAATATTTTATGTATATTGATGTACCAGTATTCATTGATATTGGTTTTAAAGAATCTTCTGTAAAGTTCCTTTCATATCCTAATTCCTTGTTTTCTACCTTTGATTTAATTGTGAGATGTGAAATACATCTAATAGAAGATAATGCTTCCCCTCGAAATCCGAAAAAATTTTCACCATAATTTGTAGAATTAGAAAATTTAGATGTGTGATGTGCAAGTGCTAAATTTTTAAAATCTTCTTCCTCAATTCCATGGCCGTTATCGTGCACCTCAATATTTAAATTATCTTTACTTACATTTATTGATATAAATGTAGATTCTGCATCAATAGAGTTTTCTATCAGTTCTTTTAGTACATTGTATGGACTAACAATTACTTCTCCTGCACAAATGCGTTTTTGAATTTCTGGAGGTAATTTTGTTATTTTATGCATACAATTTAAGGACAAAAATTTAAAAATTATAGCTAACTTTTCTAAAAATTAGTTTAACGGTTAGAATAAATATGATAACTTTAAACTATGAATTGGAAAAATTCTTAAATTTTATACTAATCTTTTGTAACACACAAATTTAATTGTTCATTATTAAATTAAAAATGACACGACATTTTTGTATTTTATGCATTAAAATAAATGTAAAAATTAATTTATATACAATTTCATAAAAAAATTGATTAAAATTACAATTTAACTTTAAACAGTTATGCCACTTTTACGTTAATTTTAAAATTTTGTACCAATTATACTTGGCATATTTTGTAATAAAGTAAATAATTTTATATTAAAAACATTGCTTGTAACTAAAGAACACGGCTATAAAAATTTGACGGGTTGACATTTCTCCAAAAAAAAATTTATCAACAAATAAATAATTTTTTTTTATTAAGTAAATAAATTTATTGATTTTATAAAAAATAAAAATATAGTAAAATTTTATTCACATTAAAATTACCTTTGAGGAGATGAAGCGATACCTAATCTTCTTTGTGGTGTATTGGGGGCATTAGCTCCTGCTCCGGCTGGTCTTGGCTGGTTAGGTAAATTTATTCCTGGAGAAGGAGATCCGAAAGCGTTTCCAGCTGGATTATTTGTATTAAAAGAAGCTCTTGTTGTTTGGTTAAAAGGGACCTGTCCCGATGTTAAAGGATTTGGCCCTGGATTTCTTACTTGGTTATCAACAAATCTTATTGGTGGCCCAATGGGATTAGGATATTGATAGCTTGAATTTGGACCAGTAGCAATATTGGGTGGACCGTTTGTAACAATTTCATTAATTACTGTTGAACCGGGTTTTGGTGGTTCTATTGTCTGTATCTGTGTTGTCCTGTTTGGTACTCTTAATGTATTCGTATTCTCAACTGCTTTAAGATTTGGAACTATATGTTTTTCCAAAATAACAGCCGAAGTATTATTCGGCTTACCAGTAACTTTAGAAATACTATTAAATATATAATTAATCAAATTAGACGTAGAAATATCATTAGATGAAACTTGTTTCAAGGATTTTGAGAAATCTGTATCAAGAATTTCTGTTGGTTTTTTATTTGGATCTGAGTTATATTCGTTCATTTTATAAATTACAGAATCAGGAATTCGTTTGATTAAATTTATATAATCTTCCTTTTCCATTCCTAATGCCTTTGAATATGCGAATGTTTTAGAAATCAAATCATTCTTAACTCTGCTTGCTTCTGAACCATCACGAATAAAATGCTTAGTGATATCAAATCTTTCAACCTGTAACAATTCAGCTTTTTTAGCATCTTCTTCATTAGTAAATCCATTAGTTGGACTTACAAACCTTCCAGCTTTATTCTTAGTTCTTCCTTCTGCTATAGTATTTTCTATATAAGTGTTCATAATTTGATCTTCAGATACATTCTCCAAAGAATTAATCATTGGTTCTTTTTGACTTTCTGTAGGTGTTTCACTTATAGCAATATTCTTATCAGGATCAATATTTGAAAGTCTTTTCATTCCTTCATTTTCCTCAAATGTTTCTGTTATTCCATATTGTGGTACAGTCGTAATATGCTTATCGCCGTTAGGATTAGTAAACGAAAAAATTCGAATTGAGTCAAGTTTTTCTTTCTTTTTTTCTTCAGCTAAAGCATTCTTAAAAATATTAGCTTCTCTAATTTTTTCTTCCTCGTTAGGATACAAATTAAGTCTTGGCTTAACTGTGTCAGAAAATTCATTCCAAGGAGTCTGGTGTAATGTTCCCTTTTTAATGTGTAACTCATCAATATAATTTGTGTCAAGCTGTTCATTAGCATTTGAAAGGAATTTACTTGGTGTTTTATTGGTTGGGCTGGGCAATATCAAATCTGCATCTTTTATTTCTGTTTCATAGTATAACTCACCATTAGGTATATCTGGCCTTTCTCCTTGATTATGCTTCGATTTCCAGTGTGAAGTGTCAATTCCTTCACTCTCCATCTGTAATTTACCACTGGGTTCAATATACGCAACTGCATCTTGAATTTGAAGCTTAGTACTGTTTTCTCCTGCATTTAAAAATCCATCATTAGTCTGAATAGTGTTTAATCCACTATTGACATTATTTCGAGTAACTGTATTTCTTACTAAATTTTTTAAAACATCAGATCTATTTTTTACAAACTCCTCTCCTTTATCTTTTGGTTTTTCATCAACAAATGTTTTAAGCGGGAATTTAATTACCGAATTATTGATATTTATTTCACTGGCATCGTTAGGTATTACCTTCAAAACATCCATTTTTTCATTTGAAAAATCAGAATACAATGCTTTTTCTAATGCTTCTTTTTTACGTTCTTCTAATTCATTTTTCAAGACTTCCTCTGATGTTTTACCAATAGCATTATCACCGCTGTGCGCTGTAGCTACGTGTGCTGCAATTTGCGCTGCTTTTTTCGAATCAACTCCACTGTTAAGTGATCTCATTATATCTTGACGAATTTGCGCTTCTCTACTCTCAATTTCTTGCAATATAGCTTTTTCAGCTGCCGCCTTAGCTGCTCTTGCTTCTTCTATTGTTCCTCCAGTTTTCAATACAGATTGCGCTGCTTTAATTCCTGCCTCACTAATCTTCCTGGCTCTATTATTTTTAGCAAGTCTTTCTTCTGTAGCCATAACATCAGCATCTTGATGTTCTTTGAGAAGTACCTCTCTGTGTTGTTTCTCTGTCTCTGCATTCTTTTTAGCTATTTGGTCAAGTTGTTCTTCTTTTTTAGCTTCATTAAGAAGCCTTAAAGCTGATTTCGGTATTGGACTATGTCTTTTCTCCTCTGTATTAACATATTCAAGTGTATTATTAAAGACCTCGGCTGTATGTCTAGCATTATCCATTCCTTTTTTCATTATATCCTTAGCTACAATAGGCGCTTTTTTCGCAATGTGTAAAATTTTGTTATTAATAATCTGAGTCTCATCAATTAAATCAGCAGCGGCTTTTCTTGGTTTATTAATATTTTCAGAATTGGCCTGCTCGTGTATAGTAGTGGCATGTTTATCTGCAAGAATTTTCATTGAATTATCAAGCTCTTGCATTACGTCATCTTTGGTTTCAGGATTATTTGCGATATTGGCAGCAGCTTTTTGAATCAACTTTGTATTTTCAGCCACCAAATGTGCTATTTCCGGCCCATTATTTTGCACAAATGATCTTCTTTGTTCAACAGCATCTTTAATTTTCGCTCGTTCATTTATTATATCAGTGGCAACTGCTGGAGGTGTGCCTTTCCTTAACTCATTATTAAAGTTAGATAGTAAATATCCTGTGCGCGCAGCAGAATCTAAAGCATCCTCATGTGTTCCACCAGTTTCTGCTGCTTTAGAAAACGCTTCATACATTCTGCGACCAATATCTTGTGGTGTTAATTGATTTCCTAGCTGTCTTAAGTATCCCAACTCTTCTTCATTTAGATGTATTGGATGGAACCAAGGGAATGTGTGTTGTTTACGGACTTCATTATTCATAGTCTCAATCATTTTGGCTTTTTCAGCATTTTTTTCATCTTCAATTTCTTTTTGTAACGCTTTATGATTTGCTGCCTCAAATCCTACCTTAGCATTTTCTTTCATTGCATCAGCCAAATCCATTCTGTGTTGTATTTCATTTTGAGCACTTTGCTCGACTCCTTGTGCTAGTTGTGCTGCATTTTCAGGATTGACTCCGTTTTTAACTAAAAATTCAAATTCATTTGTTGCGCGAAGATGCGGTGGTGCAATAGAATTTAGCAGTGATTGTTCAATATTATCATAAACTTTTGTCAAAGGATGACATGTACCATTTAATTCGCAATCTGGAGTAAAGGGTTCATTTGTTGCAATTTTTTCTTCAGCTTCTGCTCGTGTTAGTCCTGCCGCCATCAACTGATCAATAGCACGTTCTACAGCTGGTACTGCATTTTGTACAAATGACTGTGCTTCCTCACCGTATGTTTTACCAGTTGCATTTCCATTTGGATCTGTAAAAGGTGCAGTTATATCACCATCGGGTGCTTGAGATAAAATATCATTGGCTTTATCTAGTATCTTATCAGATGTTTTATTAACTTTTGGTAAAAAGCTTCTTAGCCATTTCATAAAATTTTGAGCTTTTAATGTTTTATCAAGAGCTGGATTCACGCCTGGTTTTACTTCTTTCATTGATGAATATTTCATAGGAGCCGATGTATGTGGTGTATTTGCTAAAATTTGTTCTACCTGGTCTTGTGTTAGCCCGGTTAAAGGTGATTTCTCTTGTGCATCAATTAAATCTGAGGCAAAAGGCTCAGTCAAAACTCCATCATTTTGTAATTGTTTAACTGCATCAGTATTTCCTCTACCCGCTTCTCGTGCCAATGTTTTAGTTGAAATTGGTAAATCTTCTTCACGTGAAATTCCGGTTGATTTTTTAATATCATCTTTAACAGCTTCTTCAACAGTCGAAAAACGACCACCGTGTTTACGATGATGTCCATGACTGCCACGTTTTTTCACATGTATAAGTGTTCCTGTATGGTGTTCTCCGCGATCTCTATGACCATGGCCATGTCTTTTTCTTCTGTAATCAAAATCTACATGGTGTGGATCTTCATGTATAGTATCACTGTTAGTTATTATATTGCGACCTCGTAAATCGCTTTGGTTATTTTTCCCCCGTCTATTTGATTTTAATATTCTGCCAAAAACTTTTAGATTTAGTAACAGTAGTAAAATATTTCTCATTAATTAAAATCCCGAAAATTATTTTTTTAAATGTTTTTTTATGAAACCTAGTTTTAGTTTGAGACACAAACCTGTGTGGTATAAGATTTAGAAATTTAAAGTTTTATTGGAACTTTTTAAAACAATTAAACAGGAGTCATTTTATAAAACATAATAATCCAAATATTAATTGCATTTATAAAACAAAAATTATTACTAAAAATAAAAAATTTAATTATCAGATACAAGCTCTACTTCCACATATTTTCCTTCATTACCTGGTTCATAATACTTAAATTTATTTTGACCGTATCCAATACTTAATGTAAATCCTGATTTGCTCCAACTAAGACTGTAGACAGGTTCATCAAGAATGATTTCTTGTTTCAAAAAATCCTCAAAATGTCTCCAATAAATAAATACTTTACAGTCTTCTCCACAAGAAGCAAAACAAAGAATATTAAAAACATTGTTAGGTGAAATGCATACATCTCTCACTAGAGATGTATGGTCCCTAAATCTTATTATTTCTTTATTATTTTCCCATACGGCAGTGGAATAGTCAAGGCCGCCAGTAACTACAAAAGTATTATTCGAATCAATTGTTGAAATTCCAAACCTATGAGCAGTAAATTCTGACACTACAATGTTTTCGTCATTTTTCAAATTTAAAATTCTTACCTTTCCATCTTCACAAGCACAATAAATATTAATTATTTCATTATTGAAATTCGAAGAGATGTCATTTATACAACCAGTAAAAACTTGTTCTTCATGTTTTACAGCGTAAGTATTATTTGTATCAAGTTTCCATATAACAACATGTCCAGATGAATGAGCACTCGCTAAATATTCATTATGATTCAGAAAAATTGCTTTTATTAATTTTCCATGCATTGAATCTAATTCATGCTCCAAATGAAGATCAATTTTATCATCTGGTTCTTTTTTATTTACAAAAATTCTAATAAATCCGTCAGATGAGGCAGTAATAAGTTTTTTTTCAAAAATGTCCCTCTCAATACTGTAAATAGTTCCTTTGTGCACTTCCATTTTTGGGGCATTTAAAAAATAAAAACATTTTAATTTGACAAACAAATTTACAATAAAGAAGTTATTATTATCAATAAATTAATGTCTAAATATTTTCTTATAAATAGAATGCTTAGATGCACGAAAATAATTTTTTATGAAAATAAAATTTTTTAAAATAATTTTTTTTTCACCCCAAAAATGGTAGACTTTCACATTAATAAAGTTCATAATTTAATGGAAAATCAAAAAAACATAAGAAACATTTCTGTTATTGCTCACGTAGATCATGGTAAGAGTACTTTGACCGATACACTTGTTATTAAAGCGAAGATTGTCAGTAAAGATTCTGGTGGTGGTAGGTATATGGATACTAGAAAAGATGAACAGGATAGAGGTATTACTATTAAAAGTACAGCAATTTCATTATTCACTAAAATAGATCAAGATGTTATAGATGCATATTCAAAACCAGGTGATATAAATGGTACAGAATTTTTAGTAAATTTGATTGATAGTCCTGGACACGTGGATTTTAGTAGTGAAGTTACTGCTGCCTTAAGAGTCACTGATGGTGCTTTAGTAGTTGTTGATTGTGTTGAAGGTATTTGTGTACAAACAGAAACAGTGTTAAATCAGGCTATGGAAGAAAGAATTGTGCCTACTCTTGTTTTAAATAAATTAGATAGAGCTATTTTAGAGTTAGAATTTCCTCAAGCAAAACTTGCAGAAAGTTTAAGAAGAAGGATTGAAGGATTTAACGCCAAGCTATCACAGTTAGGACATACTTTTAAGGTTGAATCTCTTATGCCTGAAAAAAATGAAATTTCTTTCTGTTCAGGTTTACAAGGATGGGGATTTACACTCAGGACGTTTGCTAGGTTTTATTTAAAAAAGTTTAAAGCATCTGGATTTGAAGGTGAAAAAAGACTTTCTAAGCTTTTATGGAGTATTCAGGTGTCATGTAGTTCTTCAGATCCTTGGGATCCAAATATGAAATTCATTAAATCTCAAACGCCCAATTCTGAAATGTCACCATTTGTGGTTTTTGTTCTTAATCCTATTTATAAAGTAAGAGACTTGTGTAATGAAGGAAAGATTGAAGAAATAAAAGAGTACCTTTCAAAATACAACGTAGACTTTAAGAATGTTGTTCTTATGGGAGAAGGTAAATCACTTTTTAAAGTTGTTATGCGTACATGGTTACCTGCCGCTGAATGTTTATTGGAACAAATTGTTCTTAAGCTACCTAGCCCTCTTCAGTCACAAGCTGTCAGATATGATCATCTTTATGAAGGACCCGCCGATGATGAAATAGCCCAGGCTATAAAAAAGTGTGATCCGTCAGAGAGTGCACCTGTCATGATGTATGTTTCTAAAATGGTTCCAGGTAATGATAATAGATTTATAGCTTTTGGTAGAGTGTTATCTGGTTCAATTCAACCAGGTATGAAGATTAGAGTACAAGAGCCTGGTTATTCACCGTCCTGTACTTCCAATGCTAACAATGCACTAGTTCATAATAAGTCGGTTTTAAGAGTTGTCGTTATGATGGGAAGAATTAATAAAGATGTTCCAAGTTGTCCAGCTGGTAATATTGTTGGTATTGTAGGTATCGATGACTGTCTTAAAAAGACTGGTACTATTACTAACATTGAAAATGCTTACAATGTTAAATCAATGAAGTTTTCTGTTTCTCCTGTTGTAAAAGTCGCAGTAAATGCTAAAAAGGCAGAAGATTTGGGAAAATTGCAAGAAGGTCTCAATAAATTAGCACAGTCCGATCCACTTTGTCTTGTAGAAAGAAATGATAAAGGACAAAGTACTATTGCATGTGCAGGAGCTTTACATTTAGAAATTTGTCTAAAAGATCTAGAAGAGTTGTATGCTAAGGTCCCTATTGTTTATGATGACCCGCTTGTCACTTATTTTGAGGGAGTTACTGAAGCTGTTACTGCACCAAAGATGACTAAATCTGCCAATAAACATAATAGGCTTTACATGACAGTAGAACCTTTAGATGAAGATCTTACTAAGTCACTTATTGATGTAAAATGTGACAATCAGAAACAGTTAGCTGCTAATTTTAGAGAGATGTTAAACATTAATGAAGATTGGGTTAAAAAGATTTGGTCTATGGCGCCTGAACTTACACCTGAAAATATGTTAGTTGATGGAACTAAAGGTATTTCTATCATCGGAGAAATTAAAGAACATCTTAATACTGGTTTTAAAGCTGCCGTAGGAGAAGGTCCCCTTATTGGAGAAACAATGAGAGGTGTAAGATTCGATCTAAAGGATGCTACTTTACACGCTGATTCTATTCATAGAGGTATTAATCAATTATTACAGCCCACTATTAAATTATGTAAAGGTCTTTTACTTGCTGCTGATCCTGTTTTGTACGAACCAATTTTTAAAGTTGATATTGTTACGCCCGATGAATATATTGGAACTGTCACTACCATCCTTTGTGGCAAGAGAGGAACAGCTGAAGAATTTACAAGTTTAGCTGGTAATGTTACAACTCTTATTGAAGGAACTTTACCAGTCCGAGAATCTTTTACTTTTAATGAAGAATTAAAATCTGCTACACAAGGCAAAGCGGGTGCTTCTTTATCATTTTCTCATTATGCTACTTTACCAGGTTCATTATCCGATGAAGGAAGCTTGATGGCTAAGACGGTTGCTCAAGTTCGTCAGATTAAGAAGATAACTACATCACTTAATCCGGAAGATTGGTTTGATAGGCTATAATTAAATCAATTTAATTTCAAAAATAATTTTTACATTTTGCTAACTTTTCTTCTTTTATGCAATAATAATTTTTTATGAAAGTCTTAGTTTGTTTGTTAACACAACGTTGTGGTAAATAAACAAAAAATAATATAAATTTTACAATATTTTATTTACGTCTCTCTATCTTTTAATAGATTATTTAAAAAGTTATATTTGCTATTTTCTTCTATTGCTTTTTTTATATGATCTACTGTAATTCTGTTTCCTTTTTTGCTTTTTAATTCTTCATAAGTTAAAGTGACTAGGTCTTTTAAAAATAGTTCCATTGCCTTTCCTGCAATGAAAGGGACACTAATGCCCATTTTACCTACATCTTCATTTGATTGCATAATTTTCTTTAGACGAGCAGCAGGGAAAAGAGATCTTAATTTTTTAGAATTATCTGACATAGAGGGATCAAGACTATAATTTTTTGTGGATGAAAACAACAAAAAAACAAAAATGTATTTTTTAAAATTGTGTTAGTATTTTTTAAAAATTAAATATTTACATATATTTTTAAGAATGTCGTATTTTTTATTACTGTAAGTAAATATCCTTAAACTTGGATCAATTAACAAATACAATTTAAAGTGAATTTATTTATTAACACTTAAATTTCACATTTAAAATAAAATATGTTACTTTAAAAGGTTAATGACGTGACTCATAAAAAAATAAGTTAAAAAATTATTAAGAAATAAAACTACAATTTAAAAAAAGATATTAAGTAATTTAGCAACGAATTTATACCTTCAAATATTTTGAAATTTTTTGTTATCGCGATTTAGTAACTGTTAAAAATAATTAATATCCCATCCCTTATGTCCAATCTCGATAACCGAGTTTTAAATGTCATAAAAAAATCTTCTTTATTTTCTCTAGTACAATCTTTATCAGAAGAGGACATTATTACAAATTTAGCTATTAAAGTAGAAGACATCCTCAGTAAATCCGATAAATCCTTTAATGATAAGCAGGACGATTTGTCTGATTTTATATTAGATTATCTTGAATCATATAATATTGAAATAGATACAAACGAAGCAGATGCTATTGCAAATATTTTGGTTTGGATTTATGAAGAAAATAAAATGCAACAAAATGAGATGTACAATAAAATTATGCAGATTAAAAGCCCTGAGCCGGCACAACAAGAAATATCTGATTATGAAAGTGAAATAGTAGATCATTAAATAAATATTATTATTATTAGGTTTTCTTAGCTTTATATCCATTTAGATGTTTATTGTCTTTGTAAATTTTTATTAAGAAAACCCTTCCTAGTTTATGTACAAAGAAGTACCAAAAGAATATGCTTTTATCTACCGAAACAAAAGAAATCCTATAAACAAAAAAGAATCAAAAAAATTACACAGACAAGCTTTATACAACAGACTTAAATCAATTTCTCCTTATCCTCATTTAGTAGAAGTAGAAGATGTAAAAAGCGAGGATCCTATTTTTTACAACAAAATAAAAAATTTGCATAGTTCTGTTCCAGTGGTTAAAAGATGGAAAAATAAATTTCTTTTTCCTATAAATTTTAATAAAAAAGAGTATACAATACCTATATCCATTATTAATACAGGATTAGATCTTCTGAGACAGAATATAATACAAATAAAGAAAAATCAAACAGACAAAGAAAAATTTCTATCTAAATTATTTCCTAAGCTTGGCAGTGCTTCAATAAATCCTAAAAAGCTTTATGAGGCATTTTCTCCATTTAGACCGTTTATGTTTCCATATGGGGAAGTATTTGATTTTACATGGGAAACAGAAAAGAAGCGATATTGCCCTGGAATGCTTACAGATGAACTGAAAAAGGCGCTAGGAATGACAGAATTCTCACCACCACCGTGGATTTTTAAAATGCAAAAAATCGGGCCTCCACCATCCTATCCTGATTTAAAGATACCTGGTGTAAATGCTAATATTCCACCAGGATGTCAATATGGATATGAACCAAATAAATGGGGTAAGCCTTGTTTTGTGCCAGAAGAGAAAGAAGAATACATCTTTAATTTAGAAAATCAATATTTATCACTTAAACCAAAGAAACCTGATATTTAAGGTAAATTATTTGATTTTTATATTCTATGATTTTAAACTACAATTACTTTTTTATTTAATAATTTATGACTGATTTTAATTTATATTTTTTTATTTTTTGTATTTATGCATATGGAGAAATATAAATTTATTGAAAAATTGGGTCGAGGTACACATGGTACAGTGTATTTACTTGAAAGTCCTGATAATAAACAACTTGTTTGTAAATCAGTTGTAGAAAAGCATCTTAAACATGCTAAGAGAGAAGTGTCTATTTTAAGTACATTAAGTCATAAAAGAATTATAAAATTAGTCGAATTTGTTCAATCTAAAGGATCTTCTTTTATTATTCTTGAATATGCCAATAGAGGTACTTTAGAAACAGTGATATCATTTTTTATTCAAAAAAATAGAAAAGCTACAAATTTTCTTTTATGGTCAGTATTCTCTCAAGTTGCCGAAGGACTAGAATATCTTCATTCAAAAAGTATTATACACAGAGATATTAAACCCAGTAATATTCTTATAAATTCTGTTGACTTTAACAGAGAAGAAATACTTAATTTTAAAATTTGTGATTTCAGCCTTTCATATCAACTGTGTGATGAATTTACAGAATCTTCCATTGTAGGCACTCCTTTTTACATGGCACCAGAAATTGTAAATAAAATTAAATATAACACTGGCGTAGACATATGGGGCCTAGGAGTAATATTATATGAACTAGGAAGTTTAACAAAACCTTTTAAAGGAGAAAATAGAACAGAATTATACAAACAAATAAAAAAACAAGTAATAAAAATAGATTTTATAAAAGACAAAGATCTAGTAGATTTGTTATTAAAATGCTTATCTAGAACCAATAGAATTACCGCACAGGAAATATTAAATAACTCTAATGTTAAACTGCATTTGACAATCTTGGATTTGAAACATAAAGATTTAAAAATTGAAGAATTGCAAAAAAAAGTGAATGTTCTTGAGAAAAGATTAGAATGGCCGCCTACTCCTAATAAATAATGTAATTTAAAATGTTTTGGTTTTTTTCATAAATAAATATTTTGAATTTTATGTCAGAAAATTAAAGGTTAATTCTTATATTTTACAAAGTTATAAAAAAAATTGACTATCTTAATATTTGTCAAATTAATCTTAACATTCACTTTTATGTGCAATTTTCAAATAATCGAGTCAAAAAAAATTTAAAAAAATCATTTTTAACTTTGTTAATCTGTTACTCGGTCTCGTGTATTAAAATTTTTATAGATTAAATCAGCCATAAAATTATCAGATTTCAAATTTTTACGTAAACAATAGATAATTTCTTTTATTAAATCTGCTTAAAAGTTCAATATTTGTTGTAATTTTTTGATAAATTTTTAAAAATTAATGCAATGTTTTAAATATTATTTACAATATTTTTAAAATTTTTACTTTAGTATTATTTAAATATGTAAAAAACCTCTATCATTCTATGATAGATTAAATTTTGTTTCACATGTACACAATGAAGTTTGAATCTTTGTAAACAAATGTTTGAGAAAATGCTAAAATATATAAAATTTTCATTGAAGATGCAAAATAAAGTTCAGAATAATACTTGTTCACATCTAACATGTTCTACAGATGCAGACATCTCGAAAATTACTAAAGTGTCAGTAATAATTTCTATTTTCATGATAATCGAATTTTGGGGACACTACAGAACTAACAGTTTATCACTGTTAGCAGACTCGCTACATTTGTTGGTTGATATTTTTGGATTCGGCGTAAGTTTATTTTCCCTTTATTGGTCGAAAAAATCTTCTAATTCTCGCATGACTTTTGGATACCATAGAATAGAAATAATAGGTTCACTTTTCTCTATAGGCTTAATATGGGTGGCTGTAGCTTATTTAATATTTGAATCAATACATAAAATTATACATCCAAAAGAAATAGACGGGGGAATGTTTTTTGGAATAGCGGTTGTCGGATTTTTCGTTAATCTACTGGCTATTTATGTTTTACATTACGACGATTATTCGCACCAGTTAAAACACAAAAACTTAAATATAAGAGCTGCTTATATACACATTATTGGGGACTTAATACAATCAGTTGGTGTCATTATTGCAGGCATTTTTACTTTTTTTTATCCTGGAAAAATTATCTTTGACGTTTTGTGTACTATTTCATTTTCTATTATTGTGTTAGGATCTACATTTTTTGTAATAAAAGACGGGTTTTATATTTTAGCAGAAGGTGCACCGAAAAATATTTCAGTCGACGAAATTAAAGGTGATATACTTGAACTTGATAATGTTTATAAAGTGTTAGAAATTTATACATGGACACTCTCTACAAATTGTAATGCTGTAATGATAACAGTTATGGCTGATGATTTACTAATTAGTGATTATGAACAATTGTTGCGAACGATAAGGAAAATTTTGAGTGAAAAATATGATTTCGGTGTTATTAATATTCAGATAGATACTCCTTGTTCTCACTACGGTACTGATGGATTTTTAGTTGATGGTACATGTATAGATGTACAAAAGACGCTGTTTAATAATGACAGCTATATACAACAATAAAAATTTACGCTTTAAAAGATTTAGGACTCAAATTTTTTAATACTTTAAAAAATATCAAAATACTTAATTAATAAATTTTTAATTTATATAACATGACATATTTTTCTTTCAATTATATGACTTTAACAATGCAGATATATTTAATCTTTTAAATTGTCGTTTAAAATAGAAAAAGCTATATAAACATATTTAAACTACAAAAATTAATTATCATATATTTCAACTAAAACGTCAAAGTAGGTATAAACTTTTGTACAATAAAATTACAAATTTTTTACGCTATTATTGGATCTCTTAAAATATTTTTAAAATACTTTTTATGATTTTAATACAATTTTGAATTACGAAGGCCGTTTTGTGCCTATTTTGTTTGAAAACAAACAAATTTTGCCAAAAAATGTAGTACAATTCTTTAAACAATAAGTTATTTCATCAAAAGTGATTATGAATTAAAAATCAAAGGATTCTGGTGTACTAAATATTTATTAAACTATTATTTTTGCTTGTAGTTTTATATTTAAAAACAGCGTATAGTCTAAATGCTAATCATTATTTTTTTACAAAGCAAAGCATACACTATAAATTTAATAGGTTTAAATACTTTTAAAAGTACTTGTAAATCTGTCAAATATAAAATTTATCATAAGCGTTATTTAAAAGTAAAACAACTTCAAAAAGTTGTTAATAAACAGGGCTTTAAATGAATAAAAATATTTCAAAAAGAGATTATAGACAGCGAGCACATTCTAATCCCTTTAAAGATACTGACATAACAATACCAACATCACCAGATTCTATAAACTGGCTGGAATATTTCAAAAATGGACAACCACCCAGTTTCTTAGATGTTGGTTGCGGTTATGGTAAATTTTTAATGCTTGAAAATCAAAATAACATATTGGGCCTAGAAATAAGAGATAAGGTATACAGATATGTAAGAGATAGGATTAATAAAGATAGTCTTGATAATTGTGCAATAATGAAAACTAACGCTCTGCTTTTTTTACCAAACATTTGTCATAAATTAAGTATAGAAAAAATTTTTATTTTGTTCCCTGATCCACATTTCAAAAAACGAAAACAAAAAGGGAGAGTTATTTGTAAACAAATGATGCACATTTATGCTTATATTCTTCGTGAAAGGGGTAGACTTTATATTTCTACCGATGTGATAGCATTGTTTAATGACATGAAAGACGTTATTAAAAAAAGTGGACTATTTAAAGAAATTGAAGATCCAGAGGATATTTATTTTGAAAGGACGTTAAAAGAAACAGATGAAGCTTTAAGAGCGGGCATAAAAACGGGGCAGATATTTGCTTGTATTTTTGAAAAAATTAATTAAATTTATTATTTCTCGTTTTCTTCTTTTTTCTCCTTTTGTTCCTGCTCATATCTCTCTCTTTCTTCTCTTAAAAGCCTCTCTTCTCTTAATCTTTGTTCTAGCTTTTCTGATTCAGTTGGTTTAGTTACAATATAAATCACTAGCACTACAATTGCTAAACTTATTATTAAACATAGCGTGTACATTGCAGCTGTAAAATCTGTAAAAATTTTCAAAAATGATTCTAAGATAGATGCCATTATTTTTTTATTTTTATTTTACTGACCTGATTAAATTAAAAAGATGAAACAGTTTTAAACATTGTTTTAATAAAAAGTAGTAAAATGTCCTGTTTGACTTGAGGTTTATTTTCAATTAATACTTTTTAATTATTTGAATTTTTGAAAAATCATATCAAATTATAAAACGGTTAGTCAAGAATTATATCGTTTTATATGAAAAATATTAATTTGTCAAAATTAAAAAATATAAGAATCATTAAAAATAATCTTTTTGTAAATTTTTGTCACAATCCATATTGTTTTATTTTAAAAAAAAATTCAATTTTTTAATTTTTTTTTTACTTCAAATAAACGCATAATTTACTTTTACGAACAAATTTATAGATCTCAAATCTTTAACATAATTATTTAGTTGATAAATAGAAAAAAAATTTAATGTAATTTACCTTGGCAATGCTCGGCAGAGTTAAAATATCACATTATATTGATGCTTTCCATATGGCGAATAGTCTGAAAAAAAGGCTATTTTTATAACTACAAATATTACAATAATTACAACTATTGTTACAACAATACCTATAAGAATTTTTTTAAGTCTAGACGCACGAATTTGATAATCAAGTGCAGCTTCTAAGTCTATATTTGCTGCTGCTGTATTTTCATGTGCAGTTGTTATATCCTGTTCAATATTATCTACAACATCATGTTGTTGATATATGGCATCATTTAAAATTTTAAGCATTTCTATAAGTTCTTGTATCATAGTGGCAATTTTCTGTATATTAGTTTTTCTGTCTTTTGCTTCATCTAATATTCCTTTTGCTGAATTACTTCCTAATGCAAAGGCTGATGCTAAAATAGACTCCCCTCTGTCTTCATTGATACACTCACTTATTTCGTCTTCATTTGCATCAGGTCTCGCAATAAAAAACTGAAGCTTAAATTTTTCTTCCTCTTCTTTTTTATATTGATACTGTGCATCTCTATATTCATTAATCGCACTTGTTAATGCTTTAGTTTGCGAATGAACATGAATTTTTTTTGTTTTGTACATAAAGTTCTCATTGCTTTGGCTATCAGAAATTTCGCTTGTAGCTTCTTGTAAACGATCTTTTAGTTCATTGGAAAGCTTTCGAAATTTATTATTAATGGCTTCCATTTGATTATTAAGCATTTTTTCAGTTTTTTTATCTAAAATACCACTATTTTTTTGTGATCCCAGATGTTCAAAACTAGCTGAATAGCTTTTTAATTGATTAACGTCGCTAAAAAACTTTTTGGATTTTGTTAAAAAATCATCCATAAAACAACTTTCCACTACATTTTTAAAAATACACTAGAAAGGGGTATGGCAAAATTAATTGGTGCGCATTTATCAATTAGCAAAGGAATAGATAAATTACAAAACATGATGGAAAGTATTGGTGCAAAATGCTGTGCAATATTTTTAAAAAACCAAAAAAGATTTTCTTCAGCACCTTATAAAAAAGTCGTTGTAGAAAACTTTAAAAAGAAAATTTTGTTCCCCGAGTTAATTGTTCCACATGGTTCCTATTTAATAAATTTAGGTAATCCAGAAAAAATAGAAAATTCTTATTTATGTCTTATTGACGATTTAAAGAGATGTAACGAACTTGGAATAATATATTATAATTTACATCCTGGTAGTGATGTAACGAATATTGGTCAAAAATGTCTTGATTTTATTTCTGAACAATTAAACAAAGCTTTATCGGAAGTACCAAATGTTATAATACTAATTGAAAATATGGCTGGACAAGGAAAATATGTATGTCATAAATTTGAAGATATAAAATACATTATTGACAAAATTAAGTTTAAAAATAGAATTGGTGTATGCCTCGATACATGTCATATGTTCGGCGCAGGGTACGATATTAGAACGAAAGAGAAATTTCAAACGGTAATGAAGCATTTTGATGATGTTATTGGACTTAAATTTCTTAAGGCTGTACATTTAAATGACAGTAAAGAAGACTTGGGGTCTAGAAAAGACAGACATGAACAAATTGGAAAAGGAAAAATTGGGATTGTGGCTTTTAAATATATTATGAATAGTAGTATTTTTGAAGATATACCAATGATTTTAGAAACACCAAATCACGACGAGTATTCTAATGAGATTAAATTGCTAAATTCATTAATTGAAAAATAAAGATTTTGCAAAATTATTGGTGACAATTATTTGCTTTTTTTGAATTTTAAACCATCAATAGTTATATTTCCTTATTATTTAAGAAATGATTTTATGGTGCCAAAATTAACTAATATGTCTATTGACACATGATTTAATACAGTTGCATATTGTAGAGTTGATTTATTAATTATTATAATGGATTATTAATAGAAAAATTTTGAAAAATAAAAATAATACTAAAATATAATTTATAAATCTTAAATTAAAAATTTGAAATTATAAAAACGTTACAGTAAATTAAACAAGTATAAATTTATTTTTTACTAAATTATCTAATAACTATTTATTCAGAAAAAAATATAAATGTATATAATCTTTAGAAATTTTAAATTAAATTATTGTATAAATTTAAATATTTATGTATGCATTTATTATTTCTTTTATTAACAACGCAATTTTAATATATTTTACTTATGAAAAAAAACTAGTTGTTTTTAGGTAAAGATCTTATGTAAAATTATTTATATAAGTTGCGAATATTTTTTTTTACAAGTTTCCTTTATAATAAATATTATTTTATTTATATAATCTTTAAAAATTTAATGTGTCCTTGAATTTATTAAATTAAAAAATATTTCATTTTCCTTTTTAATTTGTAAATATAGTACATTTAACAATTTATTTATTATTCCTCAATCCGAACCAATCATCTCTTAAAGCATAATATGCAGTAATAATCAATAAAACAATAATTAAGAAAATAATAACTGCTCTCCAAAATCTTTTTCTTCTTCTTTTATATTTTAATGTCTTTGCTAATTCAACATTTGATTTAATTACATGTTCTTCAATATCTATTATCTCATCTCCATAATTATCTATAACAATACTTTTCTCAAACGTCAAGTCAGAGACCATTTTTGTAATTTCAACTATTTCTTCTGATAAATCATTAATTTTTTTTATTTCTTCTTGGCGTCGCGTTGCTTCATCCTTCTTTAATTGAGAACCGGAATCACTTAACGCGAATAAACATTCAATTTTAGTACCAGAATCAGGACTATTAATAAGTTTTGTAACTTGTTCTTCAGAAACATTAGGATTTGCTGTTCGTACAAGAAATCTCTTTTTATTTTCCTCATTTTTCTTAAACGTGAATGTATAATCTCTAAATAAATTTGTAACATTTATTAGCTTTTTAGAAAAACCATTAATAAAATTTTCAATTATTTTTCTTTCATTGGAACTTGTTGTTTGCTTTGAAAAATCTGCTAGCTTAAATATCTTTTCTTTTGTTGATCTACTTAAATTTTTAAATTTATTTCCAATTTCTTGTATATTCTTAAGAAACATTCTTTCTTCCTGTGGATCAGGTGGATTGGTACTGTATTTCCCAGTTAAGAATTTGTACTGCTTTGCATATTCTTCTAATTCTGCTAAGTTTTCGTTTATTCTTTCTGATGTTGCTGTTAATCTTTCCATGGTGTTTCCCCTTATTTATGCTTAAAAACTTTTTAAAAATAATTAGTAAACAAACTCCTGATTATCTCCTTTTTTAAAAAAATGAATAAATAATTTTTTCGCATAATTATTCGTTACAGCATTAAAAAGAAAATAAAATACTAAATTTAATTTATTTCAGTATTTATATTTTTTTTCAATATTACCCCAAGGTAGCCAAAAGCTTTCGTTAGGGGAATTTCCCTTGGGAAGGTCTGAGTGGAATATGGTCGAAATGGCACTTAGTTAATGCTAAGAAAGTTAGTTTAATAGAAATTTACTTTTGATATGACTGAAATAGAATGATTATCATTTAGTCTGGAAAATGCTAACTATTCCATTTTTAAATAGTCAAACACGAAAGGCAATGTAGGTCCATTGTAACAAAATTCAGACTACTCTTTGGCAATCTTTTTTAAAATAATTTTTTTAATTAAAAACACCAAATGCATAAATTTTATACACAGTTGTGTACTTTTTGCATCCATTATTATTTAAAATTGTTATTTTCAATCTGTCAGTGATAATCTCTGGAAACAAAAAAGATTGATAATTGTTTTTGTTGATGTCGTAAGTGAATCCTCCAATTTCAAATTCTTCTTCATTGTAAAATCCACTTAATAAAAAATCTTTGATAGCACTTTGTTTGTTTTCGGTCTCTGGATGAAAAATATGAAAGTTATTTAGCTTAACATTCTTAGAAAATTTTACAGTAAATGTTATTTTCTTTGGAAGGAAGGCAGTACAGTCGCCGGGTGCAGCATTTTCACCAAATATTATGTAGGGATCGATAGATTTTCTAAATCCTATAAATCCATATTTATATAAATCATCTTTGTTTACTTGTAAAGTGGTACAGTGTTCAATTCTACAAAGATTAAATGGTGTTTCTACTGCTGATATTGTCATCTCTGAATTTTTCTTTTTTAAAGAATCTACCTCCTTGGCCAGATCTGATAACTCTGTATCTAAATTAGTTGAACGTTTATCAAAAATAAAATAATACAGAGTAAAATAAAAAACTATACCATAAGGTATTACATATTTCAAGTAAGAGAAAATACGTTTTGTGTTGTCAAAAATTTTTCTCAATAAATTATCAGGAGGTGTAAAGAGTGAATCATCAACACACTCGGCATTATAATCATCACCAATATCGTTATTTATAGTAGAATTTTCAGAGACATCTGGAAATTTCTGATAAATATTTTTAGAATTTCTATTTCTTTCTGGAGAATTAAATATTTTCAATCTTTCTTTTCGATTCATGCCCTTAGCAGAAAAAAAATTATTAAATTCCTTTTTCTTTATTTGTAAACAATAATCAGTAATCTTTAAAGAACGTTTAAACAATAATTAAGTACAGTAAATTTGATAGTATTGTTAATTACAATTAAAAATAAATATGTTTGTTACCCTAAAATGGCCAAGAATGAATCTAATAAAATAACGAGACTGGCAATTGTTAATTATGAACTATGTAAACCGAAGGAATGTATGTCAGAATGTAAAAAGGCGTGTCCTGTTAATAAAACAGGAAAGGAGTGTATTACAATTGATACTAAATCACATATCTCAGAAATTCTGTGTATAGGATGTTCTGCGTGTCAAAAGAAATGTCCTTTTAAGGCGATTACAATTGTAAATTTACCTACAAATCTAGATAAAGACATTTCACATAGATATTCGGCAAATGGTTTTAAACTTCACAGATTACCAATCCCTAAATATGGTAAGGTTTTAGGGCTAGTAGGCACTAATGGTATAGGAAAAAGTACTGCACTTAAAATATTATCGGGCAATCTTAAACCAAACTTAGGAAAGTTCGACGTTACGCCCGACTGGGCAGCAATTCTAAATAATTATAAAGGATCTGAACTTCATGGATTTTTTACTAAAATTTTAGAAGGGTCTATTAAAGCTATTTCTAAGATACAGTATATAGATAAAATGCCTAAATTTTTAAAAGGACGCTATAAGTCAGAAATCGCCTCCGGAAAAATGTTGTTTACTGTTAATGATATATTAAAAAAAGTTGATGAAAAAAATAAATTTGACTATTACGTAGATAAAATGGCACTTAAAAATGTATTAACAAGAGAATTAGAGCAATTAAGTGGTGGTGAACTTCAAAGATTTTGTATTGCATACACATGTTTACAAGAAGGAAATGTTTATATTTTTGATGAACCCACTAGTTTTTTGGATGTTAAGCAGCGACTAGCAGCTGCTAAGGAAATAAGAAATTTGTGTGAAGAAAATAAATATGTTGTAGTTGTCGAACACGATTTAGCCATTTTAGATTTGATGTGTGATTTTGGATGTGTTCTATACGGACAATCTGGGGCATACGGTGTAATAAGCGCACCATACGTTATTAAATCAGCAATAAATATATTTCTTGATGGATTTTTGCCTACAGAAAACATGAAATTTAGAAATTCAGAGTTAAAGTTTAATATTTCGGAAACACTTGATAGTATTATATCTACCAGAGACCAGTATCATTATCCCAATTTGATAAAAACATATCCAAATTTTACGCTTAAAGTTGAAGGCGGTAACTTTTCAGATTCTGAAATTGTTGTATTTCTTGGTGAAAATGGAATGGGCAAAACTACTTTAGTAGGTTTGATTTCGGGGTTAATTAAAGATGATAACGGGGAAGAGTTCGGTTTGTTGTCATATAGTCTTAAACCGCAAAAAATCATACCGAAATACAAAGGAACAGTTAGAGATCTTTTTATGTCAAAAATTCGTTCTTCCTTTTTAGACGCTAATTTTGTTAATGAAGTTATTAAACCTTTAGATATTCATCATTTATACGACCAACTTGTAGAAAACTTGAGTGGTGGAGAATTACAAAGAATTGCAATAATAATATGTTTAGGAAAAGATGCTAACCTTTATTTATTAGATGAACCTTCTGCGTATCTAGATTCAGATCAGAGAATAGCGATTTCAAAAGTTATAAAAAGGTTTATTTATGGGAAGAAGCGAACAGCCTTTGTGGTTGAACATGATTTAATTGTAGGTACATATTTGGCTGATAAAGTTGTTGTTTTTGAGGGAAGCCCTAGTGTTCATAGCACTGCTCATAAACCGATGGATTTGCATAGTGGAATGAATATTTTTTTAAAGAATCTTGATATTACTTTTAGAAGAGACTCTTCCAATTTTAGACCAAGAGTTAATAAGCCGAATTCCGCAAAAGACAGAACTCAGAAAGAAGAGAATAAATATTTTTTTTGATATTTAATAAATGATTATTGGTATATTTTTTTTACAATTTTTATAGATCAGTTTAACTTACCCTTCGCAAAAATGTCTTACTTTTTTAAAAACAATAGAACACTTAAAAAAGCTAACAGTTATCTTATCTATGTTAATATATCAGATAACTGCATATATGACATATCAGATATAATAATAGAATATAATACAACAACCAATAAAGTAACTATCATATGTGATGATCTTCCTGAAGATATTAAATCCAGAATGTTAAAATATTTCAAGGGTGATATCAATCAATTTATCGTTTACATTGAAGAAAACCTTGAAACTTTTTTAAGCGGAAAGGAGCCAGAGGTAAAATTAGAATCTCATTCTTTAACTTTCGATAAATGCGTTTTAGAAGACAAGATTACATCTTTACCTGATAATTATGTGTATCCTACGCAAAACGTAAATATAAACATTTTACAATATGAATTGTCGAAAAAAAATATATACTTTTTTAGTGCTAAAAAAATTTATTTACAAGTAAACTGTAAGAAATGTAAAGAATCATGTGAAATAAAAGATCTTAAAACATGTAAATGTGGGACTTTATTGAAATGTAATTTTATTCCAACACTAGATGCTGAAAAGTTAGGCAGTCTTTTTTTCGAAAATTGCACATTTTGTCATTTAAATCCTTCAAATTTTCAATTTAACTGTGCAAATTGTTTTTCAAACTATCAAAGTAATAAAATTGGGCTTAATACTAAATTTCAAATGAGTTGCTGGAAATGTAATACTTTTTTGACATTTTGTATAAAAAAAACGACTTTTTTAGAAAAAAAAAATATGACATTTAAGGTTGGCACATCACTACCGTATAATGGCACATGTAAACATTACAAAAAATCTTATAGATGGTTTAGGTTCTCCTGTTGTCAATCTGTTTATCCATGTGATATTTGCCATGACTTAGAAAACACTCATCCTGTACAAGTAGCTAATAAAATGATATGTGGGTTTTGTTCTAAAGAGCAGTCAGTTAAAAGTGATTGTACTTGTGGAATGGATTTAAAGAAGAGTACTGCATTTTGGGAAGGTGGAAAAGGTTCTCGTAATAAGGCAACTATGAGTCGTAAAGACAGTAAAAAATACACAAAATAGTATTTAAAAATTTAAAATTTACAGATATTATACATTTTTAAAGAAATTAAACCTAATAAATAGCTTATGATTATTAATGTGCTTTCAAAATTATTGTTTATATGTTATATTAAACTCTAAAAAATTATAAAGTAGTGCTTTTATTATCGAAAATATAATGTAAATCTTTAAAAATTAAAAATAATGCTAAGTAAGATATTTAGAGATTAGTACGGTTCAATAAAATAATTTTTACTTTTGCTTGAATTGAAAAATGTAAAAATTTACGATAGTAAATTTCTATAATTTTTATTAAATATCAGATTTTATGACAAGCCGGACATTTAAGTAGATATTACAATATATTAATTTACAAATACTAAATTTTCAAGTAAATATACAGTATTAAACATTAATGCCTTAATTACATCTAAATGTAATTATTAAAAGTATTTATGTTTTAATTATTATATTTAAAAACAATTTAAACAACGCTAAGCTTTGTAATACAATTGTTTACTTTAGTATTAAGAACCCGTAAAAATATTAAAGCGCTTAGAAAGCATTCATTTTTTAAATTTAAACATGTTTATAATTTTAGTAATAAATTTTTTCTAGCTATATCAAAAACATAATCTAACTCTGTTTGAGGGATTAAATTTTTGATCTCATAGTATCTATCAGCTTCTACCAAAGATTCTATTTTTCTATTTTTCCGATAATTTAAAAAATCTTCAAATGAGTTAACAAACATTCCTAGTGATATATTTTCATATCTCCACATTTGTTTATAATAAGAAAAAAATAGTGTTTTTGATGTGGTAGCTAAAGCTGCAACAAAAGTATTTTTTCCCGTTCTACTTGGTAATAAGTTATTTAAATCTACATTAAACAATACACATCTACCGTCAGTCGAATAAATCAATACTGAATATTTATATAGAATTAAAAATTTACTATCAAAATACCCCATACAGAGTAAATAAATAAAAACCTTTTCAAGTGCTGAACCTACAGGATTATTATATTTTAAAATTTTAGCATTAAGTAAATCATCAAAACATCTTATTTCCCCGGGCTCTAATTTATAAACTTCATCTCCAATCAAATTCGATGTATAAATTACTATTATCTGATCTTTTACTTTGATATTAAACCCCGGAATAAAATTAAATTTATCTTTTATTAATGATCTTACTGAATAAACATCATTACTTGCCAACACATTATAATTAAACTCAGTTATCTTTTTGTATTTATCGAAAACTTCAATTATTCCATTGTTTTTAATTAAAGAATAGTTTATATATTCTTCATTTCTTGGATGTTTAAAGCCATGTAAATTACTAGAAAAGCTTTCTAAGATTGATGATAATAAAAAAAGGTATATAAATATACAAATACTAGGAAATGTTACAATAAAAATTATTGCAAATATATTCTTCGATTTCATTAATAAGGGCTAGTCGAAAAAAGTTAAGTTATAAAGGAGTCAAAATAAGGAGATTTATATGTAAATATACTACAAACAAATTATGCAAAAATCATATAAATAAAAAATATAACTGCATAAAAACGATGTTAAAATAAATTATACTTTATTTAAATTGAAAAAATACTAATGATAAACATGATAATGATACAGAGACAAAAAAATAATATTTAAACCTTGCTCTAACATTTGATTTCCTATAAATTGATATATATGATAATAAAACATGAATAAGAGAGGATATAAACATATTTAAACTGAAAATGAAATTTTTGTATTTGTGAGAATTAAAAGATGCATAAAGTATTATTTTTACACTAGTAGATAAAGAAAATGAAATTGTAAAAAATAAATATGACAAACTTAAGGAATTAACAATATACAAACAGAAAAGACTAGCAATAGTCAAAATAGTTATTCCTAAAGATAAAGGATACCTAAAATTATCCTCTATCTTTATTTTACCCATATAATAGCATATTATTGCTGAGGATATTTTAGAAATTCCATCAATATAACCATGAATGACAATTTCTTTTTTATCTCCGATTTCATTTTCTTGATTTTCTTTAATTTGTTTTACAAAAAGGCTACAAATTTTTATAATAATGTAGGAAATATATCTCAAGGGTGCCATTATGCAGAAGATATACTTGATAAACCTATTTCTGCCACATTTTCTCCGTTCTATAAAGACATTAGCACTAAAAAAGGCCAAACAAATAACTAAAATGTTAGCTGTAATACTTAAAAAACAGTGACTTAAAATTTCAAAATCAAAAAACAAAGCACAATTATCTAAAATTTCTTTATAAATTGACAGCTTATTTGTTTGTTGTGTCTTATTTTGGTTAATACAAAAAGTCATTAATAATGATGAAATTAATGTTATACAAGAAATGATTTGATTTAAATCGTGTTTTCCAGTTCTTATTACTATATCTTGTCCAATCCATGCGGAAAAAACTGAAGAAACACATTTTACAATTGTAATGTTATTCATCACTAGCTTCCTTTCATTTTTGTCGCTTCCTACATTGCTAACTATAACTGATTTTAATACAGAATTTAAGGCGGTAGAAGAACCGTGCAATGTTGAAACCAATTTACCAATGATAAAATTACGTTCATCCATAATATACAACAAAAAACAGGCAATAATTTCTATAAAAGTATCTATAAATAATGACAAACTATTTCCAAAAAATCTAACAATTAAAAAAACAAATAAAGAAACGAATAGTGAACTTATAAAAAAATATGCATTGAGTGTGTTATAAATCTCTTTGTTTTTAAATTTTTTTACATCTATTAAAAAAGGTACTAGAAATGGTGAAAACGGCGTAAATGATTTCAACAGATAAAACAAATAAATTGGAACGACAGACATAAATAGGGGTTAAAAATAAAAAAACGCACTCTAAAAAGGGATAAAAAGGAAATTTATTTAGATAATTTTTCCATTTAAGTCAATTTTAAAATTTTCAAAATGTTCCTTTAATATTTTAACAAGATCTGTGTGGGATTTATCTCCTTGTAGTAAAAGACTATGATCTTCATTAATAGATCCCCCACAGGCCAGCTTTTTCTTAAGAAGTTGAAGAAATTTCGTTAATTCATCAATTGTTGTATAAGGAAGATTACCTATTTTTGTTACTTTCTTGTTTCTGACTTGTTGAATTTTAATACGAATAATGGTATTTTCCTGCTCTATAATATCATTTTGCATAAATTAATGGGGTACAAATTTATTTCTATCATAAAAATATTATTTAAGCTGAGATTCAAAAATTAGTTTTACAATTTTTTGTTTAGCTAAACATGTATTGTAATCTTTTGTTATTGCATCAATATTATTATTAGATTTTAAAAAGCATAAATTCACTGGAAATACGGCTTCATAAAATACTAAATTTTGCGGATCAGATGTTCCAATTTTTTCCCAGTCAAAATTTTCGTCTTTTCCTGCCATTTCAAGAACCCAAAATATTTTTCTTACCATATTATGCAAAAAAGATTTTGCTTGTATGTCTAAATAGTACAAATCCCCTTCTTTAATTATCTGACAAATATCTACAGTCCGATTATATCGGGCGCTTTTGTCTGAATGTTTTGACAAATTATAAAAATTTTTAAGTGTTAATATTTTTTGACACATTTCTTCCATTTTGTTGATGTCATATTTTAATCGAATCTGGTTTTTAATTTTTACAAATGGATTGGTAAAATAATATCGATATTTACGTTTTATGCAAGTAAATCTAGCACTAAATCCATCTTCAACTGGTGCCCAGCCTATAACTCTTATATCTTCAGGTAAATAATTATTTAAAATAGCTTGATAGTTAAATTCGTGTTTATCGTCATCATTCAAAAAATATCTGCTTGTATTTTCTCTGAGTAAAGATTTAATTTTTACAGAAGCTACCATTCCAATAGCAGACACTCCCTTGTCTGTTCTTCCTGCATAAACAATATGATCGGCAAGTGTAGACAAAAGTAGTGCATTTTTAATGCGATTTCCAATTGAATCCCCATCTTTACATTCCGCCAAGCCCCTGTATTTTTCGCCGTGATAACTAATTAACAAAGCAATGGTTCTATATGATACATGATTAATAGCTTTTTGCTTACGATATGGATTGTAAATCAAATATATTAGTTTATCTTTACTTAAAGTTTTTAAATATTGAAGATAAAAATTTTTCATGGGTTAGTGAATAAAAATAAAAAAATAAGAAAGGTTAAGAAAGTAAGTTATGCTGTATAATTTTTTATAAACGGCTAAATATTAAGTTAAAATTAATTTATTCTCTCAAAGAATGAATAACATCAAATATAACTTCCTTAGCATTAGAAGTAAGCATACCTGTTTTATTATTAAGATCAATATATCCAATCTTTTGTAAATTATCAAAAATGCTTCTCATAAAAAAGTCATCGGCTTTAACAAACTTATTTGGTCTACGTCCTCTATTTTTATAGTTTCCAAAATATACGCATGCTTCTTCAACTGTCAATATTCCTTTTTTTGCAATAAGATTAATAATAGCAGCCATGCGTGCATAATACCAATCATCATAAACGGGACAATTTTCTTTGCCAGTGCCTGTTTTTAAAATATCAAAATCTTTTGGTAAAACTATTTCACTGTTGGTTTGTAAACTTTTTTTAAGAACATTTACGAAGTCAGTAGTTTTAACAGTAAAGATTTCATCCATTTAAGGGTAAAAAAAATAAGTTATAAAATTGCAAACTAGTAAAATATAAAAACATAAATTAAATAAATATAAAAATCATAAAAAATTTATTCTTCTTTTTTACGTTTTTTATCAGCAACAACTTCTGGTGTCTCTACTTTACCAAACAATGTATTAAGATCTAAGGGTCTTAATATTTCTCTTCCTAAAATGTACCTTTGATACAAAGGATTAAAAAGAAAACTTCTGAATACTACTGTGCCAGAAATGATAAGAGGTTGAATAATGTTCCATTTAAAATGTAAAAGACATACAATTAAACCTTGCAAAAGGGCAGATTTACTTGACTTGTTAAGTTCTTTAAGATCGTATTCAGAATAAGCAATTTCAATTTCTTCTTCTACATCGGGGGTTTCTTGGAATAAGCCAACTTCCTTTTTAATTTTCAAAACTCTTTGATCGTTCACACTTTTAATTCTCTTTTTAATAATGAAATAGAACATAACCTGGAAAAGAGCACTAACGACATAAATAACTCTAAGAGTGAAAAGAACTCTTGGTTCTAAAAATATGGGTTTTTTAGATACCTGCATTATCATTATTGAAAGGCCAAAATTTATAAATTGATCTATTGTAGACAATGGTAAACTCATTTAGGGGTAAAAAAATATTAATTTTTAGAGCAAAATGAATATTACTTTCTTTGCTTATTTATGTTTACATTTTTGTTATGAACAGAAATTATAAAAATTTGTTACGAACAGAATTAAAAAGATTTGTTACAAACAGAAATTAATATTTTGTTGTGTCAAAAATCAATACTAAAACATTTACAAATAAAAAACTTTATATTTGATCTATAAACATGATCTTATTAGCAATTATATTTGTAGTAATGGCAAAAAGAGCAGGCACTATCCCATTTATAGATGATAAGGTAATTTTAGTTGACTCTTTAAAAAATAAAAACAATATAGTTCTCCCCAAAGGGCACATTAAAAACGGAGAGAGTGCACAAGATGCTGCTTTAAGGGAAACACTTGAAGAGGCAGGCCTAATAGGAATATTAGATACTACAAATGTTTATGTCTTAAAAAATGTTGTTTATTGGAAAATGAATGTAACAAAATTTCCAGATAAATATGACGAGATGAACAAACGTCGTCGACATTTTTACACTTATGAAGAAGTTGAGCAGTCACCACTAATAAAAAAAAGTCTTAAAAAAATTATATTGGAGGCTATGAAAAATAAATAAATTAAGTTTATTTACCTTCTAAAAATTTATAGAGAGTGTTATAATTGTGTATCGTTAAGTAATAAAAAAAATTAATTTCTTTCATTTTCTTTAAATGTAAAAGATATCCTTTAGACAAATTCCCACAGCATTCACAGTCATAAACTTCTTCTGCAACATCAAGCTGGTCATTTTGTATTTTTAACATTAATCCATTATCAGTCATCTCATTTATAAAATTTGTACTAATCAGGCTTGTATCTCTTGTATCAAGATCTTTTATATTTTTTATGTCTTTAACAATTATCTTTTCTCCATTTTTACTAATAACAGTATTTTGAACATCAAAATCCTGGTAGAAATCGGGATCTAATATTTTTAATATCTTTTCATATTCTTCCTTACCAATTTTTTTATCTCCTCTTTTACTGTTAATTATTCTTAACTTACCATTTTTAAAATTTTTATTGGTTTTAAACATTAAATAAATTTTAATATGATTAGGAATATTACAAAAATCTCTTAAACTAATTTCTTTTTTATAAAATATAGAATCTTCAAATACAAAATCATCAATGTACAATATTCTATCTCTATTTAAAGATATTATATTATCTATTCCAGTACATATATTAGGTATCATACCGAACTTAGTAGAAATGAGATACATGGGGTAAACTAATTTACAAAAATAATTTATTTTTTACAAATCAATCGGTTCAAAAAGTATTTTCTCAGGAGCTTTGTAAGTTTTACTTGATTTAAATTTAAATAGATCATTAAACATATCTAAATTATACTTCTTACCAATTCTTTCTTTATTCTTATTTTTTACTTCAAAGCCGTGTAATTTATGCTTGGTGCTTCCCATTTCCTCTTTACTAAGAAGATCCTTCTGTGGCCTGAAATCGTGCAAGTACATGCATTCGTTATTTTGACACGGAACGCTTTTTAAAAAAAACGAACAGTATTTTGTAGTCCCGTATGTGCATTTTAATACCTTGCCTTCCAATAAACTTTCATCCACTTCTTGAATACACAGCTTAGCCTCTTCTTCAGTATTAAAGGTTATATAAGCACTAGCGGTAGATTCTACAATACTAGCTCTCTTATTTATTACAATCTTTTTTATAAGACCAAACTGCCCAAAAAATTCTTTTCTAGACAAAATAGTCTCATCAGCATACTTTTGCGGAATACAAATGATGTACACAAGTGTTTTCTGAATAATTCTTATGTTATTAAAATCATTAGAATTTTCATAGTGCATAAAGAGGTTACCCATTTGGGGTAGCAAAATCTAAAAATAAAAAATGATCAGTGTAACACGAAATAGATCAAAATATGACGATAAACTGAAGGTAACAGTTTTAGTAACAAACTTAGAAATAATACTTGGTGTTTGAATTTAGGTATTGATATGTTTTACTATGATTTTTTTGATGTTTGAATCTATCAAAATACTAGCTTACGTTGTTCTTTTTTGCCTTTTTGAAACAGGATGTAAACAAATTTTTACCTGTACAAAAATTTATAATAATAATTATTTATACTAATTTTATTGAATTAATTTTGAAGTGCCAATGCAACAATACATGCGTGTAAAATTAATTGACTCTATTTAAACTTTAAACAAAGATTAATTAGTTTTAAGCATAACACTTGGTTAAAAAAATGTGTTATATGTTGTCTCCTAAAAAGTTGCTTATCAAAAATATGGTTTATTTATAATGTAAATATATATTTGAACCTGTCAAATATCTTAAGCCGAGCAAAACATTGATATTTAACATGTGTCTTGCGTTCCAACAGCATAAATTACTAAGGTATAAAATATAGCACTTAAAATATAAAAAAATTAATTCAATATTCTTAAAAAGAAGGGTTAAAAAATAAATATTCATATATAAACTTTTATTGTATCATCAACATACAATAAAAGTAGTAAGGATATAAAAACTTTATTATTAAAAATAATTCTCAGAATTTATGTGCCTGATACCACAAGACGTCTCTAGTACCCAAATATCAACATTATCACTATTTAATGCACCAGGTTCTGGAAAGGCATTTTTTATAGATTTTATTCCTAAATCTACTAATTGTTCTACATTCAATTCTTCAAATGTTTCACAAGTATCTTCCAAAATCGTTCTACAAGACTGAGACCTATTTCCTATACTCATTCCACAAACTTCCTTTGCAGATCCTTTAGGATCAAATAAAACAAGACTTATTCCATCATAGTCAGTAAGTAATAATCCCTGTACACCGTAAAGTCTTTTACCATTAACCAATGTCCTAAAACAAGCATCAAGACACAAATCATCAAATACATGTATAGGATGTATATTTCTACCTTTTCTAATATTCTCATACACAGTATTATTCTTAAGATATTTAACTATTTTAGTACCATCATTTGTAATTCCACTGAATGAAAATAAGGACTTATCATCAATTTGAAATATTTTCTTTTGTTGTTTAGCAAATTTAGACCTTTTTTCATTATGTGTAACAAATACGCCCACTTTACTATTTTTTAAAGCTACTACAGTAGATCCTAATTGTACAGTATTATTAATATACTCTAATTGTTTTATTTTACCTTCTGGATTGTAAATAATATAATTTGTGTAATCAGTCTGTGATTCCATTAAAGGGTAAAAAATATTATGCATAAACAATACATGATTGTGTGTTAATGTACACAATAAAAAAATTATTTCTTTTTGAAATCTAAATTGTAATTTAGATTTACAAGAATAAAAAGTATATTGAACTTTGTTATGCACATTTACCTTTTCTTTTTAAAATGTTTATAATTTCTTAAAGAAAATCTTTGTACACTTTATGTATTTTTACAGCAATATTTTTTAGACCCCCTATGATTAATCATATTCTAGAAATAATAAAAAATGAAGACACTTTTAATTTATTTTCTAATTCTGTGTCTCCTAGTATTTACGATATTAATAAACTTAAAATTAAAACACTTCCAAACATTAAGAATTTTTTACTTACATTTTTTAAGAATGTAAAAAATAATTATCCACTAGATTCGTTGTACTGGAATGAGGCCACGAAATTTGAACAATTTATTTTTAGACTTTTTAAAGAAATTGAAGATGTAAAGCAGGAAAGTAATGGAGATGATAACATTATAGAGATGTACGTAGAGAGTATAATGGGATTTACAGAAGACATTGATGTACATAAAATCAATGAGCAGATTTCTTACATTATTTCTTAATTAAATAATATTTTAATTTAAGAACTATATATTTATGTACACAAATAACATAAAAATTTTTATTTAAATTAAAAAAAGTCAAACAAATCCAAAAAAAAATATCAGATATTTTTCAAGTTTGTACATTAACAAATTTATTCTATAGAAAATTAATTAATAACTTTAAATAAATTTTTTCTACTTATTTTTTTCAGATAAAATGATATATTACTTTTTAAAATAAAGATGTTATTATTTCATGTTTAAATAATTCCCTAACATTTTAAATTAAAAAAAAATACATTTTATAATGGACATTTAATTAAAAATAGATTGAATTTTAAGTAATGCTTTACTTGCTATTTCGTCTAGTTCATCCATCTCTGAGTTATCAGTAAACTCATTATATCTCCTAGGTAAAAATGTAACACTGTGACTTCTAGGATTATTGATTAATGGTACTTGATTAATGTAATTGTTCATTTCTTTAATTTTGTAAAAACTTTTATTGTACTGTTCAATTGTACTAAACATACTATTTCTTTTATCTTTTTGCACTCTTCTTTGTATCGTGCTATTCCAATAATTTTTAATAGCATTGTCTGTTCGACCAGGTAAATGTTTAGCAATCTCGGACCATCGATTTCCATATTTTTTGTGTAATTCAACAATCTTTAAATCTTCTTCATCAGAAAATGGCTTTTTACATATTTTCGGATTTAAATGGTTGTGCCACCGTTCACGGCATTGTTTACCTAACCTTGTCTCCATTTTTTTAGAAATAAACGACCAGTTCTTTGGTGAATACTTATTTATTAAATTCAATAGCTTTTGATCTTCTTCTTTGGTCCATGGGCCTTTAATAATTTTACTTTCATTAGCTGAAGATCCTAACATAAGGGGATAATTGTTTGTCTTTTAAAGATATATGACATAAATGAAAACTAGTAAGAAATATACAAGAATATAAACAAACAAACAAAGCACCCGATAATCTGTAAAACCTTAAAAATATTTAAAAACAATTTAAATTTATATAAACACTATTTTGAAATATAAAATTGTTAAAAATATTTCTGAGTCATTTTACAAGTCTAAGCTTAAGTGGATAATACAATTTATGCAATAAAAAATTAATTAACGACTTAAAGAAAATAAAGCAATAACTTAAAATTTAATGTTTCGGTTTTTTAATTAATAACAGTTATGTAAATATATTTGTTAATGAATTAAATAATGTATTTCTGCCTTTAATAGATAGTTGACATTTTATCTTTTTAATTTAAAATTCCTCTTTAACTTTTATTTATTTCTTACTATTAAGCTTTCAATAACTTAATATTGCTAATTAATTGAATTGAAATCTTTTAAATTAATTTAAGATTTGTAAATTTTCAACTGCATAATTAATAAATTCTTGCAAGGTTGACTCTGTACAAATAATCATAAAATTAAAGATTACACAAAATATTGAAAATTGATCAATTAAAGCATGAAATAAAAAATGTATTAGTTTGATAAAAAAACAATTATAAACCAACAAAATATAATATTGATTTTTAAATTAAAAAAGTAAAGATCAAATCACTAAAAAATTAATTTAATTTTTTTTTATAATTTAGATAATTAAACTTTTTTGCATATTTAACGCTATTAAAAATAATTTCATCTATATCCATCTCAAATGTATCTATTTTACCCATAAACTCAACTAGCTGTTCATCTTTTAATTTAAAAATAAAATTACTAAAGAACTTTAGAATGGAAGCAGCAATAAATAAAAATATTGAAAAATCTAAATATAAAAATAAATCCCAGAACCTTAAAACATATTTTATATTAAATCTAGTGAAAAGAGTTAGGTACCAGCCAATAGCATAAATACTTAAATCTACACCATTATCATCTAAATGTGTTAAAACATCAGGTATTATTAATTTAAATAGTTCTATTTGTAATAATTGGATTTTATTACATTTACTTAGTGATTTATCAAAAAGTGTTTCTAATTTATTTTTTTGTACAATGTTGACTAGCAGTTCGAATGCTTCTTCTTCAGGAAAGTACATTAAAATTATACCTGCAATATTAGACATCCCCTGACAGTAGCCAATTGATGGCATAAAATTAGCAAATGCAGTTAAAATATTAAATAATTCTGATTGTCCCCGACCATACTTTTTAGTAAACAGATAGTGCGTTCTAAATGTGCGTTGAATGTCTACGTGTATTTGGTGCGCGTATTCGTTTTCCTGTGATTTAAGTGTTTTGTAGTTATATAAAAAATCTTTATGTACAAAAATCTTCCATATTGTATTTTTCAAGGTTAATGGTATTCCGAGACGAACCAATCTTAAAATTTTTATACTTTTCAAGTATTTTTTGTAATTATCTTCATATTGTTCAATTTTCTCATACCATTGATTTTTAAGAGAATGTTCTGATACACTAGAATTTACAAATTTATCAGTAATAAATCCATATTCGTCAATACATAATATTTTATTTTTACAATATGATATCTGTGTATCTTCTTTCCCATTATATTTTACAAAGATATTATTCGTGTTTTTCATTTATTTTTAATAAAAAATTAGTATAAAATGTAAAGAAGGTAAATTTCTTGAAACTTGTTTTAGATCGCTTACAAAAATAAACACATTAAAAATAAATAATGAAGCATAAGAAATCTATAAAGAAGTTTCTTAAATCTTTTTTTATCTTAATACAGGCAATTGTTTTTATGTATTCGATTTCTCTAAAAATTATTTCATTCACTGTGTATTTAAAAGCTAGAGATATTTTACAAATGTCATTAGGAGTGTTCTTACTATTATTTGGAATATCCTCAACCTCCGCTTTGTCATCTATATTAGGATTTCATATATTAAATACTAAAAAGAAACTAAAATTAACATTTTGGATATTAATTACTATGTTTTTAATTAATTTTCAAGTTATATTGGCTATAAAAAGTTCGTTACTACCAGAAAAGAGTCTTTTTTGGGGAGATAATATCTGGGAAGGGATGAATGAATATCAGAAAAATTTTGTACAAGAAAGATTTAAATGTTGTGGATTTCGTGATACGAGCGATAGAAATGCTACAGTGTGCAATTTTAAAGACAAAAGTTGTTTTAAAGTTTTATATAACTTGTCTTTAAGTTTACGAATGTTCATCGAGAGAAGTGTTGTATTCATGTTGTTTATTGAATCAATGGGAGTATGTATTGTTTCATTAATTAAATATAGAAGATAAATTAATTAAATAAAAAATTTAAGAATCATGAAATTAAGTTTTGAAAAAATTCAAATTTTATTAAAAAATATACTTTTTAATTAATAAAAATAGTTAAATAGATTTTTATGCATAAAAAAATAAAACTATTAAAATGCTTTTTTGATGAAAAATTATAAATAAATTTCATATAATGATTTATTATAGGCTTAAATGTCCCATAAAAGGGACATTCCTGCATATTCCTTGTATAAATCATAAGAAGAGCTCTCATCTTTTATTTTGACATTCTCTTTACTAGAAGTAGTTTTTTTTGTTTCTTTTTTGTTCTTTTTAATATTCTGTGTTTTGTCTTCTGTAACATTATTTGTATTACACTCGTCATCTGGTGGATCATCTAGCATGTCTTCAGGTAAATATGGACCACAGAATCCTCGTATACAACTTTCGTCGAAATACGTTGCTTCATCTTCCAATTCTTTATAAAACTGTTCAAGTTCCTTTTTGTTATTTTCTTTCATTAAAATTTCTGGGAGTATTGTCGCACGCTTTCTTCTAATTCTCTTCTCTCTAAGGGCTTTAAATCCAGGAGGAAATTTCCTTCGTCTTTTATCAATTGCCTTCGCATTTTGTTTCTGTTTCTCTATCAATTCCTCCAAACTCATAGGAGGTAATGTAGAGTACCCACATGATTTATATATTAATTTTGCAATTGAGGATAGTTTAGTAGTTGTAAATAATGTAAATCGAAATTTTCTACCTTCAAATTCTACACATATTTCTCCTATAACAGACTCATCACAATCTTTAGTAATCAATTTAACATCTTCCGGATTGAAAACAGGTGGTTTAACTTGTTTTAAACTAGAATTATCATTATTCATAAAATCTTCCATTGTATTGGTTGTCTCTACGTTATCAGTTGCAGTATTTATACCATCTTCCTTATTGGCAATAGATTTTTCTTCATCAGATAATTTTTTTTCGCTTGTCTTTGCGTCATCGGTTGGGATATTTACACCATCTTCATCATTGTTAATAGATTTTTCTTCATTTGGTAATTTTTTTTCACTTGTTTCTACGGTATCATTTAAAGTATTTACACAACCTTTGTTATCGTTCATAGACTTTTCTTCATCAATTAATCTTTGCGTTTCTAGAATTTCATCATTTGTTTTCCTGTTATTATTCATACAGAACCAAGAGCCTAAATAGCTTAATACTCTATTAATCTTTCCTTTTTTATTTTTTTCTTTCTCCACTATTTCCTTTTGTTTGTTTAATAAACATTCATCATGAATGATCTTTGATTTTGATATATCATTAATTTTTTGCGAGTGATTATTTTCTTTATTTCTCGAAAAACATCCAAATGCAAACATTAGGGGGGTAAACAAACAATTATTAAATAATAAAATATGTAAACAAAACAAAAAAAATGATGTTGATTAATTAAAGTTTATAACCATTTTCAGGTAATTTTTATTTTTGTGTTTTTTTACACTTGTAAACAAACAAATCGACAATATATTTTACATTTATAAAAAATTCAGGCTCATTAATTAACATGTAATATTATGCGAAATAAATTAAATATCACAACAGCTTTGATTAAACTCCAAGTTTACTTTAAAAAATGTATAAAAGCAAATTTATTAATTTTTAGTCAATTATTCACAAACTTGTCATATTAATACATTTTTTCAAAAATACTTTTTTATTAATTTAAATTTTTTTGTGAAAAACTAAACAATTTAACCAAAAAATTTAAGCCTATTAATAAAAAAATATTTAAGTTGCTTATTAGCATAAATATTGGTTGCAATATCCACATTTAACTTTTTCCTTTCATTGTTTAATACCCCTGTTATATTAAACTTTACAGTACTTTTTTTAATAATTTTCGTTTTCAATAATGTAACTGCATGCCATCACTTTAAGTATTTTTTTCTATAAGTAAACTTTTATAATAGCTTTTCCTGATTTTAGCTATATTTGTAAATACATTGATAACTTTTTGGATCAAGTCACCACACGAGGAATACTTAATTTTAATCTGTACATTACCTCTCCTTGCATATTATATTTGTTTAATTATATTTTCACATTTGTGTAATGAAACAGTTTTACATTTTAATTTATAAAACATTAAATTGACGCGCTGTCTTTATAAATGTATTTTCTTAAAGACAATTTTTTGTAAAAAAATTCTCTTACAAAATTTTTAGTCTTGTTTTCAAAAAATACGTAAACCATGCATTTTAAAAAAAAATTTTTAAAACTGTTCTAAAATAAATCTTCTAATATTAATGCAAAGTATATTGTTAAAAATACTGTGCTAAAATTTGTCAATCTTATTTAAAATAGCCTTTTTAAATCAACAATAACATGTTTTTTTAGTTAACTCTTTTAACTAATTAATTTGTCTATATAAATTATTTCAATGCATAAATTTTGTTTTAAAATTTTAAAACATTTGTAAATAAATTTATTTTTTTAAATAAACAAATACAATGATGCTAAAAAGAAAAAACAGAAGATTTAGCATTATGGCATGCGGATACAAAGGTTCAGGGAAATCTTCATTTTTCAATACACTTTTCAATAATATAATCGTGCCAGTTCAAAACAGTACAGACATAAATCTCTATATGTTGAATGTTGATTGTGAAGGAGTTACGCAGAAAATAAGTCTTATTGATACACCAGGATTTGGTTCAGAAATATGTGACACAGATTTACAAAATAACATTGTAAATTTCATAAAAGTACAATTTGATAATTTTATTGATGAAGAATCTAAAATAAGAAGAAATCCATCCTATGAAGATCCTAGAATTCATTGTATGTTATATTTTATACCTTCAACTTGTAAAGGCTTAAAAGAAAATGATATACAATTTCTAAAAAGAGTACATCATCTTGTAAATGTAATACCAGTAATAAGTAAAGCAGATGGACTTATTGAAGCAGAAAAGACAAAATTAAAATGCCTTATTAATGAACAATTACAAAATAATGAAATTAAAGTTTTTGATTTTGAGCATTCTGACTACTACGAGAAAATCGATTCACAAGAAAGCATAAACAAATACATGCCATTTACTATTATATCGAGTGATATGGCTGATGGTGTAACAAGAGAAAGAAGATTTAGTTGGGGAACGGTAGAGGTAGATAATGCAGAACATTGTGATTTTGCTATATTAAAAGAAATATTGTTAGGAACACATCTTAATATTTTGATTGACTACACAGGTAGTGAATTATATGAAACATACAGGGCTGGAGTTTTAGAAAATAAAATATCTGCACAATAAAAATGTTTATATATAAACTAGCTAACGCTATCCCGTTGAAACGGGATGTAAAAAAAAATATTCTTATATTTGTTATGTAACATGTCTTTAGGCTTGTGTGCATTGTTTAAAGTGCAAAATGTCTTACATTATAAAGTAAAATTTGCAATAGTCACCGTTTTGAAATTACAAAAAATTGAAAAAAAATAAAGAGAAATACACAAAACTCCGTAATATCTGTTTTGTAACAATTCTAAAAATTCTCTAAGTTGTATTTAGTGCTTTTAAATATAAAATACAAAGAATTTTACAAATTTTTAAAAAAGAAGGGTTAAAAAATAAATAAATATTCAGATTCAAACTTTTTATATATATTGATTTTATTATGTTTATATATAATATATAAATTTTATTATGTTTATATATAAATTTCATAGAAATACATAATTAAATAAACCTTTTAATTACTACCGGGTTTGGTTTGCAAACGTGGTAGTTTTATTTCACTAATTGGTAATTCAGCCAATAAAGCCTTTTCTTTTGAAATCTCTTCTACTATTTTTTCTATCTCACTTTTAAGCTCTCCCTTTCTAATGACCACAGTTTCTAAAAAAATCATTTTCTTTTTGTTCAATTGAGAAATAGTTTCTGAGATTTGACCCACAGTTGACGGAATTGTAACCTTAAATTGAGACAAAGACATAACAATATCAATAGGGAATGTTATTCTTTCGTCAGATTTCCCTGTTTTCTTTTCTAAGAAAAAGATTACTGAGTCATATTTAGATGCATCACATTTATCTTTTTCATCTTCCATATTTTCTTTTCTAGTTTCCATCTCTCTAATTTTATCACAAATTTCAATTCTTCTTTTTTCATAAGCTTCTGCAATAGATTTCTTATTTAAATATTCGTCATAATCTACCTTTTTCTTAGCAATCTCCGCTTGATTTAATGCTATTTTTTTGTTAATTTCCTCTTTCTTTGCTTCTAGATCACAAATAATTTTTTCATATCCTACAATAACAGGATTTTTTTCCGTTTTAATCCCTTTCATAGATTCTTTAACTTCATTTATATCAGCTTTCTTTTTATCCATCTTTGCATAGATTTCTGATAATTTAGCCTTCAACAATTTATATTCTTCTTGTGCTTGTCTTAGAGCTTCATGCTTCTTCCTTTCTGCTTCTAAATTAATTTTTTTTAATTTTAAATCCTTAATTTCATCTTCATAAGATTTCGATTTTTGAGCATTACATGGATATTTAAGCATATCTAAATTAATATTTTTTAATCTTTTTTCTATTGATTCAGTAGTAATAGACCCTTTTGGTTCGATTGGCGTTTTTAGAAAATCTCCGTGGGTTTCATTTAAAGAATTAATTTTATCATAACACTCTTTTTTGCTAGAGGTAAGATCGGATAAATCCTGAGTAAGTTCCTTAAGCTTTGCTATAAGTGGTGCCATAGGCGAATTGTTTGCATCATTCTTTTTTGTCGCCTCTATTTTTTTTTTATAATCACCTATTTGCCCATCCAATTTACTCAATTCTGTCTTAAGCTCGACAATTTGTACCCTAAACGGTTTTGTCCCAGGAATGCCTTTTTGTTGCTCCATTTATGGGGGTCAAATTTTAAAATTTAAAAAAAAATATTAAATCCTTAAAAAATGATAGTAGATATTTCTTGTAATATTACTGATTCACAATTTAAAAATGTAGAAGATACTATTTTAAAATGTAAAGAAGCAAAAGTCATTCCTATTTTTGTAGGCGTGGATTATACAACTAGTCTTAAATCTTGTAATTATGCAGAAAAATTCGACACGCTTTTTTATGCAGGCATTCATCCCCTTTATTCAGAAAATTCAGTTTATATTCCTGTTAACAGTGATAGGTGTATAGCCATAGGAGAATGTGGATTGGATTATTATAGACTACAGTTTTCTTCAATCGAAACACAAAAACGTATTTTTAAAGTACAATTAGATTTAAAAGCAGAACGATACTTTTTGCACTGCAGAGACAGTCACAGAGATTTTATGGAAATTTTATCGGATTACAATTTTAAAGGAGTAGTACATTCATTTACAGGAACAGTAGAAGAAAGTAAAGAAATAATAAAAAAAGGGCTATTCATCGGCATAAATGGTTGCTCATTAAAAAATGAAGAAGGAATAGAAGTTGTAAAAAATCTACCTCTTAATTCCATTTTAGTTGAAACAGATAGTCCTTACTGTAAAATTAGAAAAAGTTATGCTGGTTATAAATTTGTAAATAATTATCAGAAGCATAAATCTAATGAACCATATTTAATTTATGAAATAATAGAAGCTATTGCAAATATAAAAAATATACCAATTAATATTTTACTTGATACACTGTTATCCAATAATATAAATTTTTATGGAGAGAGACTGGTTGAATGTTTTGAAAAGTGGAGATTATAGAAAATAATAATAAAACGAAAACTATAAAACTAGTTATCGAATGAAAGCTATAAAATAGCTATTGAGTAAAAGCTATAAAATAGCTATTGAATGAAAATATCATTATAAAAATAATCTTATTAAAAAATTGTATAAATGTTTATAAATAACCAATAAAAATAAATAAAAAAATTGTTTTGAAGGGTAGAAGAAAACATAACTGTAAGATGGAATTAGTAGACGAAGCTTCATCAGATTTACGAAATGAAAAATATGCAGGAGTGGCATATCCAATACCGCCAAAGCCAGCAGAACTGAAAAAGAATGATAATTTAGATCTAAAAGAAAACATTGAGAAAAAACGTATGTTTGGTAGAAACATTACCATGAACTTTTTTAGTAGAAAAAATAAAAAATAAATATTTTACTTTAAAAAATTATAACAAGAGGAGAAAGCCGAAGCTTGATCTCCCAAATAAAAAATTTTGTGAATGGCAGTGCCAAAAAATATTCATACACTAGATTATAGATGACTAGTAAGAATATCTTTAAAATAAACGCCTGTTTACTTTTCCACTTGGTAAGTGGGGCTAATTATTTCCAAAAATATGTACGAAATTAAATAAATTTAATAAAACAAACAAATTTATTTTTATAAATAATTTTCAGATGCATAAATTAAGAATTTTATATTTGATATTCAAGAGAGCATAGTTATGTCTAAAAGAATAGTTTAAATTTAATACATCGTACAATATTTATTTATTAATTACAAAGGAGTGTCTCCTTTTATTTAATTTTATAAACCCTTTCTAAAAAAAATTAAACAATGAGCGCTAGCAAATTTAACAAAACTCCTAACTTTGTAAAAGTAAACTCAAAAATGATTAACAAACTTGGACTTAAAGAACAAAGGCCATGTTCTGCACCTCCTGTCGATAAGTTGTTTGCTTCGGATGAAGTTGAACTTGTTGACATTCAATATTCATCTTATTACAGTCGAAATAGCAAAGATGATGTACGCATTCCTCCACCAGATATACATATTAATGGGAAAATATGGCTTAGTGAATACGATGACATTATTAATAGAGCATTTAGTTCTGAAATTTATTCTTACAAATCAAGAAAGGATAGTTTACTTGAAAAAATTGATGGTGATAATCCTGAATCTGTAAGTAAAGAATTTAAAGGAACATCTAGAACAACTACTCCTATTGGTGATGTTAGTATATTAGATCCAAATACATTCAATTCACTTTTAAATATAAATTCATCACAAAAAAATGTTATAAAAAATCAATCATTTAAGCAGGTTTTTGATACAAATGACAATTTATTTCTGAGTGATATTTTCATGTTTTACAGTGACCAACAGAAGGCTGATATTACGCTTTTAAAATCTTTTACTTCTACAACATCATCTCTTAAAGAATTTTGTGTGTTTATGAGTAAAGACCAAGAAGGTTCAAGATTGATTCAAAACAGAATTGATATTTCTACAGAAAATGAGATCGCTTGGTTTTTTTCACAAATAGAAGATTCTATTTACGATCTTTCATCAAATTTATTTGGCAATTACGTGATACAAAAGATTTTGCCGCTTTTAAATGAATCACAAAAATTTACAGTGTTTACAGAATTTAAAAGTCGTATTTACGATTTGTCTTTGCACCCTTACGGCTGTCGTGTTATTCAAAAATTAATGGACTGTTTTGAGTGTATCGATTTTATTATTGAAGAAATTAAGCAAGATATTTTTTGTCTAATTGAAGATCAAAATGGAAATCATGTTATTCAAAAATATATTGAGAAATCACCAGACAAAAATTTAATTATTGATGTATTTAAAAAAGATCCTATTTTTTTAAGTACTCATAGGTATGGATGTCGAGTTATCCAAAGATTGCTCGAGTTTTGTGTTGAAGCAGATGTAAAAAAGATTTTACAAATTTTAATAAGTAATTTAGAAAGTCTTGTTAATGATCAATATGGAAATTATGTTATACAACATATGCTTACAATTAGTGATGATTCTGAAAGGAATGCAGTTATATCACAAATTATTAATAATTGTTATAATTTGAGTAAATTTAAATTTTCTTCAAATGTGATTGAACAATGTATTGTTATTTCAGATCATGAACAGAAAAACAGGTTTTTAAATAAATTTTTAGAAGTTTCGGGTGGTAAGCCTAGAATATTTAATATGTGTACTGATATGTATGGAAATTATGTAGTGCAGAAATTTTATGACACAGTAGACAATGCATCTAAAGAGAAGATAAGAAAATCACTTAAGCCATTCTTAAAAGATTTAAAAAGGATTAATTTTGCTAGACATATTTTATATAAAATTAACACATAATGTGCATATTAAAATATTTTATATAAATTAATTTTATTATTTTTATGTTACTTTCTGTATGTTAAGCAGAAGATACAGGGCAAAAATTGAAATGTATTTAATAATCGAAAGGTTTAAAATATTATTAAATGTATTTATTGTTGCGTGCCCAATCCACAGCCGTGAAAAGTGTTTTTTTTACAAATTTTACTATTTTTATGTTTTTAACTTCACAAATTTATGTTTTACAATTCATGTTAAAATTTTCTAATCACAGATTTGAATCTGTAATATTTTTGTAATGTAATAAAGCAATGGTCATCGTAGAACTTGCTATGAATATTTAAATATAGCTTATTAAGGCTATTATATGAGTAAAGGGATGTTGAATAAAGATATGTTGTAAAAGATGCTAATTTTGCAATATATTAAAAATTTAAAATTTGATCCATTCTATTAACTCATAATTTAGAAAAATTTTAGCTGATCGTATGAAACGAACTTAAATAGTATCTATGGCCAACGTAATAAAAAATAATATAAATGCTGTTTTTTTTTAAAGATTAAAATAATTTTTAATATCTTTAAAAAATTATTTAGTTTTATTTAAATACAAAATTTATATTAAAAAATTTTGCTATACAAATATTTTTATCTTTAGATACAACAATACATATATAAAATATTTTAAATCTTCTTATCCAATCTAATTATTTGTGTGTCTTGTAAATTAGAATGCAAAAACAGCACATTTTTGATCAAAAAGGTTTTGCCGGAATTCGAACATCGCTTCGATTTGTCACAGAACACAGTCGGGTCTCGCAACACTTGCTAACCAACAAGTTTAAAATACAATCGTTTACCAATAAGTTTAAAATGTATTTGTTAACCAACAAGTTTAAAATGTATTTGTTAACCAACAAGTTAAAAATATATTTATTAACCAACAAGTTTAAAATGTATTTGTTAACCAACAAGTTAAAAATATATTTATTAACCAACAAGTTAAAAATATATTTGTTAATCAACAACTTTAAAATGTTGTATCAAAAAGTAAAATAATTAAATAAATTTATTAATTAAAAAGTTGAGGATCATTATTCCACAAATCTCTTACTATTGTACTAAGTATGTATATAATTATTAAGCACGTAACCCAATATATCATGTTAGGTATAATACATGTTATTCCTTTTCCTTTACGCATTGATATGTAGTACAAGAATGGATATATTAAACTAACAGAAGTAGAGAAAAGAGCACCATTAACTCTTTTAATAAGTTTAATTCGTAGATTTTCAATTAATACAAATCCTAAACAAACAGTACAAAGAATAACTGTTACAAAGGTTCTATTTCTAGTATTTTTACAATCTTTAAAAATAAACTGCATAAACATGTCAGTCACAGGAACCATTTGTAGTGGAAATCCAGATCCTAGTACAAACATCATGCTGTATATAGCTAACTTAGAAATAAGATTGAATCTGTCTATTGTATAATTTCTCATATAAACATTAATTAGTGAATTATGTGTATAGAATTCTTTAACTATATGACTGTTTATCTTAGATCCAAAGACTTTATATCCACAATGTCCTACTATACCATAAATAAAAAGTCCACCTAATGATGTCATAGCAGATAAAAATATAATATTTTTCCATGTTTTATTTCGCAACTGTTGCACTATTTTTACCATAGAAGGCTGACAGACCATAGTCGGCATAAAAAAAGGAATTCCATATTTAAAATCATAATTGTAAGGCTGTGGATTAGAATTATATATCTGTGATCCAAATGCATAAGAATAAAATACAATTAATAAGGCTAGAAAAGATACAGATGCTGTAGAAATCCAAGATTGTTTTTTCAAATTTACAATTTCTTTTTTCAGACAGAAATATAAAAGTAATGGAAACAGCATAAATGCTACAAGTTTTCTAAAATATTGCCATTTAAAGAAAGGAAAGGCCTCAACAATAATATCAGTAAGAAATCTGTAAAATGAAATATTAGAAAAGAAACAATTAAAGAAAATAGAAATATTAACACAATAGTGTACATATTTTGATACCCTTTTACCGATGGATGTGTAAGTAAGCGTATTATTCGCATCTGCCGTATTTTTAACTACATAAGAAATACACAACAAAGAGACAAATGTACAAAAAGACACCCATGAAAGAATCAACCAGCTTGTTATGTATCCCACAGAATTAAATGCATAAGGCATAAATGTAATTCCTGTGCCCATCATTGTAGAAAGTAAAAGTGTGATAGCAGTTAAATTATCAATATTTTCAGATTTCATTTAAGGGTTAAAAATATATTATTTTTAATATAATTTTTTGTCGTTTATACAAAAAAAAATATTGAGTGGTGAAAATACAAAAACAAAATATTTTAAATTAAAAAAAAAGAAAGTAAATTTTATTTCATTTTTTTTCTGATTAAATAAAATTAAACAGTATTTTTTCTAATTAAATTAAGTATTATTTTTTTTAATTTAATAAAATATCATTTTTTTAATTTAATGAAATAAAATATTGTTTTTTTCTAATTTTATATAATATTTTTTTTTATAAATGTCAAAAGTTAATAATTTATATAGGGCATCTTATAATTCAAAATATTTACTTAGACTTAAACGTACACAAACTTAATGTTAAGATATAAATATTATAAAAAATCAGTTTAATCCTTTTTAATAAATAATTAATGTTTTTCGTAAAAATTTCTATTTTTCGAAATGTCATAAATAAATTTTTTATCTTCTAGAAAGAATGCAAAAATATAAATAAGATAACTATTTAATAAAAATAAGAATTTACCAAAAAATAATATGTTTTAAAAATAGGATATGTACAAACACTTAAATATTTATTTTAATTGCCTAAAAAGGGACCAGCTGTCGATATAATATTCCTGTAACCAAACTTAACACAAAATAATGGCGTGTTTTTCGTATAATAAGTTCCTAAACAATTACCTTTAGGATCTGTCTTATCCCATAATTTTACACAATTATCCGCACCAGATGATGCGATAATAGTGCCATACCAACTGAAAGATACAGAAAAAACAGCAGAATCATGTCCTGGAAATTTTATTAAACTTTTTCCGTTTTGAATATCCCACAGAATTAAATGTTTATCTTTACTCCCGGAAACCAATAATTTACCACAATGTGAAATATCAAAGCATGTAACTGTGTCTGTGTGACCATGAAAAGTCCTAACGAGTTGCGCATTACTGATATCGTGCATTCTAATTTTATGATCAGCTGATCCAGTAAAAAGATATTTAGAATTAGGATGAAATTTTACAGCTGTAACGTCACTCAATGCAGTAACGATTAATCTTTCAGGTTTGTCACCAGTAACAGACCAAATAACAGCTTGTCGGTCGGCAGAACCGCTTGCAAAGTAAAAATCGTTAGATGCAATATCTATCGACCAAATAGGAAAAACGTGCGATTTGTAAACACCGACAGGGGCTAGTAAATCTAGACTCCACAAACGTATCGTACAGTCTTGTGAGCATGACAGTAAAAATTTGTTAGAAGAAAAAAATTTTACACCGTAAACAGGACCAGCATGTCCTACAAGTCTATAAAAAAATCCTACATCTTCAAACTTTTCTTCAATAGACATTTTAATATCTGATTTTGCTAAATCGCTTGATGATTTAAGTTTTCTCAAGGGTTCTTTTGTTAATGAAAATAAATCGATATAACTATCCTTAAATCCACAAGCCAACAATTTAGAATTATTTGAAATTTCTACAGCAGTCAGCCCTTCATATGTATTATGGATAGTATAACAACAAATGCTTGGTAGATTATTTTTATTAACTGATACTCTTTTACATAAATCTTTTAATTTTTCAATTTCCGCATTTATCTGTGACGCATTCGGTCTATTAAATGTGTCTGCCTCTTTTAGCTCTCTTTGTTTTTTTAATTGTATTGCATAAGCTTCTAAATGGTCATATTTATATTGCTCATCGACCAAGATAGCTTCTTCACATTCCTTAGACACCAAAAATGTTGTTAGATCTATTTCCGCATCTCCCGGTGAGACATCTATGCCTTGTGGAATGTCATCATTTTTAACCCCAGAATAAATTCTAATATTTAAGTATTGATTTAGAACCTTAAGAATATACGTAAAATTATTTTCTTCTAAAAAATTAAGAAGTAGATCAAAAGCATATCTACCCATTGGTAGATAATATTTAGATGTTCTAAAAGTATATGCTAAATTATTTTCATGAATATGTTGTGGAGTATAAATACTTTCAAAATACTTTAATTCTTGTTTTTTACTTTCATGATCTTTACAATATTTTATAAAAAATGACTTAGCCTCTTCTGGTTTATTTTGCTGTATTAAGTCAAAATAAATATGAACAAATAATGGATATAATAATGGAAGTAAATCATTTTTAAATAGGTCTAGAGAGTCTTCTATCCAATATTTAAGTTTTAAATAAGAAGATTCTAGGATATCTAAACTTGAAGGTTTAGATAAATTCAAATTTTTTTCTTCCATGAAGGGATAAAAAAATAAAGATGCATAAAAGATAATAGTAAGCATGTGATAATATTCAGTAAAAAATGTATAAAAAATGTGTATAAGAGATGTGTATAAAATATTTTATAAAAAATGGATGTAAAATGTTTTTTAAAAATGGATATAAAATATTTTAAAAAAAATGTATACAAAATATTTTAAAAAATGCTAATAATATTTTAAAAAAAATATATTATAAATACTAACCTTAACTTATTTATAAATATTTATTTGTAACATTACATCTATGAAAGAATTCCTAAATATTCATCATTTAATGTACCTACTGCATAAATTTTAGATGAGTCTATTTTTGTGCCAATAATCTTCAATCTAACGATTGAATCTTTAAGTAACCCTCCTTCTTGTATTTCACTGGGAATTTGATGATTAGATACAAAAACAGTGAGGGGTCCTACTGACGCAAAAACTCCCATTTTATTTATCTCAACAACAGAAGCTTCCATGGTCTCGCCTTTAAAAGGTTTTAGAACCAGAGCCTTGTATTTTATTTTAAAGCTTGTTGCCCCGTTTAAGCTTACAGTTCCCTCACTAACATCATCTATTTCTAGCACTGATATGACATACCCACTATCATTACAAGATCCTTCTATTGTCTTGTACAAGTAATCCTTTATTAATGATTGTATTTTTGGGCCCAGATAACAAGGATTCAAGTGTATGATGTGTGTGAAATCTTTCACAAAAAACATGGGCAGGGGTCATTTTAAATATTTAAATTTTTAAGTACAAAAATAGATCTAAAATTTAAGCGATAACAAAATTTACTAAATGAAACAGAGTAAATAAATGGTGGATATAAGTCATTGGATTAGTTATTACATTTATAAATGAACAAGAAATAAGAATAGTGTTATATGGATGATATCTGTTAGAGTAAAACATGGGTTTATTTACTATAAATTATTTAAATACAGACATGTTAAATCTATCTATTTATTTATTGTATTAAGAAATTTTATATCTGAAATTTAACGTTTTTAATACTAAAAAATAAAATGCTTAAAATTGAGTTTTTATTTTTTCTAAATTAATGCACAGTTTGATGTTACGGTTTTATGAAAAATAAAATGATTAAATAAATGCTGATTGTTTATAACATTACGTGAAATCTTAGATTATAATAAAGCTTTTATACTTCTGGTTTCATTTTTATAGGTAGTAATATCTATATGCAACGTTTCTTTCTTAATCTCTTCAACTCCTTGTCTTACATTCTCGATCAATTAAAAATCACGAGTTAAATCAAGTTTGAGGTTAGAATAATTATTTTAAGCAATTTAAAATGTCGTAAGTTATATTTTTTAGATTGTTTAATGATAAATAGTAAATTATGTTTAAAATAGGTATATATGTTTTAAATTTATTAAAAGTTAGATATTAAATTAAGAAATAGATAAATTAAAAAAATAGTTTATTCAAATTTTATAATTAAATTTGTATACATTTCTTTATAAATGTTAAAATAATCATAAAAATATATTTTTATTGTTTAAAATACATGTGATAATACATATTTTAACTTAATAATAAATAGTAATATTTAGTAAATTTTTTAAAGCGACAATTAATTTACAAATATTTTTTTTAGTAAAAAAGAGCAAAATTAAATATCTATAACCTAGTTAAAAAATACAAATTTATATTCGTTATTGTTGTAACGGCAAGACATATGTCAAATATCAATGTGTTTATTGACTTTAGATATTTGACATGTTCAAATAAATATTTACATTTTTAATAAACCCATGTCTTCTGATAAGCACTTTTTAAATAATAACATTTATTTATTAAAATTTAGCATTATGTATTAAAACTAAAAAATTTGTAAATGTAATTACTGTATAAAGATGCTTGTCATATAATCTTTTTATTTACAATAAAATGATCAACAAGTAATTATTATGTAGTAAATTATTATAGACAAAACTTTGTTTACATAAAATTGTAAACTTTACAAAAACAAAAGAAGTTTATTTAACTTTTCTTCTGTGACGAAGTTTTTTTTGGCATGCATAAACTAACTCGACTTTTTTTCTTTTTTTTAGTAGGTTGCGATCCTTTAAGACTTGAAGTTGTTGCATTTGCTTCTGAATCACTTACATGTTTAGAAAATGATTTTTCCACATTTAACATATCTTTTATTTCTTGTATCTCCTTAGTAAGTGATAAGTTTGCATCTGCCAAGGCTAAAGATTTACTGTATAATTTATTAGAATTATGATTTACATCTGACATATTTTCCTTTTCTAAAATATTATCATCTTTTTTTAAAATGCTATCTTGTTCAGATTTAACAGATTTTTTCTTTTTCGGTGTGGTCACTTTAAAGGTCTTAGCCCCTTCATAAGAATATGGTTTACGTATTCTACTATTCATAATCTCCTCAAGCATTGATTTATTTTCACTGCTTTCATTTTTTTTATTTGCAGAACTATGTTCACTTAATTTATTTTTCTTACTTACAAAACTTTGGTCACTACTTTCACCTTTCTTACTTACAAAACTTTGTTCATCAATCTCATTTTTTGTCAGTTGATTTGCAAGTGATATATTAATTTTATCAGACTCATTCGGCATAAATGTATCATTTTTAAAACTATTACCCAACCCTAAGATACTTTCAATTATATGAGAATCTTGTACATAATCTTCTTCTTTTATATCATCGATAGAAATAATCTTACCTTTGTCGGCTTCATTCTCAATAACGGACTTTACTGGCTCAAAAACTGTATTATCTTGGAATTTTGAAAAATTCATACTTTCTTTATCTTTATCAGGAATATTAAAACTGCTATTCATAAAAAATTCAGATAAATCATCTGTTCTTGTTTTATTTGCATCAATATTTTTTTTATCAAAAGTTAAATCGCCATTAAGTGACTTATCTTTAAGATTTTTTTTACTTTTCATTTTTGATAAATTTTTATTAATTTTCTGATTATTAATAAAACTCATTACGCTGTCAAAAGATCTATTTCCCTTATTTAATTGATTACTAGAAATACTAGACACTTCTGTCTGGTCTAATTTATGCTCTTCTTCAATTTCTGCATCATTTATGCTCTCCTTTTTTTCTGTTGTACAAAAAATATCTTTTATATTGTCTTCTAAAAAAATATCTGATGCTTCAACAATATTATTGTTTTTTACAACAGTAGAATTTTCATTATTGACAGATTTAGACAAAATTTCAATTTCTTCACTTAAATTATTTGACTCTACTTGTCTATTCTGCATAGAAGCATAACTTTTAGTAATTGAAGGTTCATAATTTTCTTCTTTAAAAATCTGACTCTTTACTGTAGCTTCTGTAATTTGATTTCTAATCGAAGAATTTGCTAAGACATGATCATTAAATGATGTATTACGAATATTATCTTCATTAGACAATTTCTTGAATTCTTTATTTTCGTTAGTTTTAAACATATCATCATGTTCTGTAAATCTAGCATTTTTAATATCTTCACTAATAGCAGAATTTTCAACTTTATTATTATAAGCTATATTTTTAGTATTTTCTTCTGATCTTAAATTGCCTTTATCTTCTTTATTTTTATTAAAAAGATCATTATAAAGTTTATCAAAGGGTGATAGTACTTTTTCAAAATCAGTATTAACTGACCGTATACGACAAGCTCCGAATATTTCTGTAAGTTGATGTATTATAATATCCTTCCAATCAGAAGGAAATCCATTAGAAAATTTTGATAACTCTGTTAAATCAAATCTTGAATGTGGCACATTTTTTAAGACATCAGAATCACTAGTAAGATAATACTTAGTATTAGAAGTCATAATAATAAGAGGACCTTCAATATCTAAAATAGGAGAACTTTGTATTAAATTTTTATTTTCAAGATATCCATTAACACTAATCCAATATTTATATTTTATGCATGGATTATTATTCTTTACAAAACTTATGTACCATTTAGTAAGTGTTTTTCTGGCACTATTTGGATATCTCTTTACTGCTGGTGTCTTTTTCTTAAATATTGTGTAATCTGACAAGTTTTCTAAGTGTCCCAAATTTAAAAGATCTTCTGGTTGATTCATGGGATAAAAAATAAAAAAAATATTTAAATTACATGTAAAAAGTATAAATGTACAGATATTAAAAATATAAAAGATATCTAAATTTATTGTAAAATATTAATCTATGTTTTTATATCATTTCCCCTATAATAACACTACACTCCCCATTAGTATTATCAATATCTTTTATTTTCAGATTTCCAGTATAAAAATCATTACCATCTATTTTTGCACAAATAACTCCAAATACAACACCTTCGTTTGCATAAACTACATCTCCAATTTTAAAAGATAAAAAGGTAAATTCTACAACAGTTTTTAAATAAATACACTCATTATCACAAATTATATTTCCAAAAGGAAAGATTCCTATAATTTTATAACTAAGTGGTATTCCTTCTAATTTGTGTGAATATTTAAATAAAAATGATGATAATCTGATATTAATTTCTGTATCTGGGTCATTAAAATATTTAGGGGATATTTTTATAATAATCTGAAGTTTTAATAATAAAATCTTCATGGGGTAAAAAAACATGCATATATTAAAAATGTGATATTATTTCTAAACGATTGGCTTATGCTAAGCTGTTTAAAACGAGAATTTAATCTATAAATGCTTCCTCTTACTTCAAAATTATGTTACATATTGTATTCAAGCCTTTAGGCTATAAATTAAAAAAAATCTCTCTTTATAATATTGAGAAGTATTCTGCGTGGAACACTCTTACGATAAGGAACTTTAATGACATTTGTAAAAATTGATCTGTGCATTTTTGGAAGGCTTAAATGCTAAGGATACTCAAAAGAAAATTAATGGTCAATTTTAAATAAACCCACTTTTTCGGACAATATCTTTTACATACGAAAATGCATAAAAAAAACTTTACCAATATGTTAATGCTTTCAAATAGGAAGAGTAAAAATGAAATTTAACAAAATATGAAAAAGAAGGATTTAAAAATAAATAAATAGATATTTAGATATAAGTATTTTATATATATTGAATATTAGACCTTGTAAGAATATTATCTTCATTCATTATTCTATATTGTCCATTTAAAGGATCACATATAGGTTCATAATACTTGTTATGATATTCACTACTGGAGTATTCGCTTTCGCTATCTCTGCTAGTAGAATATGATTCGTGATGTCTATTAGATTCATTAACACAGACCGGCTTACATTCAGGAACATATAACCTATTCTTTGGTCTGTAATTATATTTTTGGGGTTTATATACAATGTCCCTTTTTGGTTTACACACTGGTTTACAGACCTGTTCCCACTTTGGTCTGTGTTTAGCTTCCCATCTTCGCTTTATATGTTTGTGAGAACGGTGTGTCGATTTAGGTCTACAAATTGGTTTACACACAGGAGCTAGCTTTCTTCGATGTTTTTGATCATAACTCATTATGCGAAATTGTTCTTCACATACGGGTCGACATACAGGTTCTCTTTCTCTGCAGTCAATGAAATTACTAACTTCGCTAGAACTAGAATCTCTACTATATGATATAGAACTGCTATGAGATTCCGAATCTTGTTCACAAATAGGTCTACATCGTGGTCTCCAATGATTTTTTCTGCGCCTAGGATGATTAAATTTAAATCTGGGTCTACACTCAGGCCTACATCTAGGTCTACAAATAGGTCTACATTCAGTCCTACTGCCAGAATCACTTTCAGATCTAATATCAAATTCGTGTCGATTTCGAAATCTAAATCGTGGCTCACACACAGGTCTACAGACAGGTTCGCTATTTCTATTAAATCTCCTTTTTTTCCACAGATTAAATTTGTTTGGAAATCTTAATATTTGATAAATCTGATTTTCTTGAGAATCTTGTTTAGTTTCTATGCTATTTGTTTTATCATTATTTTGTTCTTGTAAAGCACTTTGCACAAGGTTCATCTTTACAAATTTTGTAAAAAATATAACTATTAACATTTGATAATATGTGCTTAAAAAAATTTATTTATACTTTTTTTTGCATAGAACGTTCTTGTAGTTTGTTGATTTTTAATAAATTACAGTTACAAAATAATAATAATTTAAAAAATGCCTTTAATTGTATTTAAAAAATATATGATGCTATGTATTTGTATAATAACCCAATTATGATAAACCATAATATGTGATATTAATTTTACTTAAATAATAAGATTAAATTTAACAAATAAAAAAACAAGATTTAAAAAATTTACAAAATCTTTTTTACGTCGTAAATTTTCATTTACTTTTAAAATAAATTTAATTCATTTTGAGTATAACATTACTAAATATGATTTGTCTTGTTGTTTCATTAAAATTTAGAACTTTTACGTCACACATTATGTAAATAGCTAATTAAATAATTTATTAGTTTTTTTTAAAAATTTCTTAGATTCAACCATGCGGTAGTTTATAAAGTTGAACTTTTTCATTTAAATTCTGCTTAAATATAACAATAAATTTGTCTGCAAAGTGTCAGTTTCTCAAATACTGCTAGAAAAATAGAGTTTACTATTTCTTATACCAAAAAAAATTATTTTTTTTTTAAAAATTTATATAAATATTAAAAAACTTGAAGTTGTATCCAAAAAAGTAGTATTTAAATTTTAACCGCATTTTTTTGTAAATTCTGACTCAATTTTTTCTCACTACTAAAACGCTATTGAAATTTTATATTTTTATGCACAGAACATAGTGAATTTCTACATTATGAAAGTGTAATTATGTGTAAAAACTTGTTAAGAGTGTGTCATTGAAGAATGTTAAAAAATAGTTAACTTTCGCATGTTTAAAATTTTACAATGTGAACTTGCAAATAAAAATGTAACATAGCGAAATGTCTTAAAAAAACACGGCCGTCCTTAAGATTAAGCTCTATAAGGCTTTTATTATAAATTTTATTTTTGGCAAATTTTTTTTATTCATGTTGTTTATTTTGTAAAATTTTACTTTCATTTAAAATTCGTTACCTCTTCTTTTTAAAAAAATTTTATAAAAATTTATAAAATAATAAATTAAATATTTGTTTTGAAGACTATAATGCATACAATTAAAAATAAAATACATGTTTATTTTTGAATTTCTGTTGAAGCGTAAACTTTGAATAAATATATAGAAAGGGTTGATTAAATTTTTAATAATTAATTATGTTATATAAGAAATGCTTCTAAAAGATTTTTTTATTAGCATGATATTGTTTAATATTTATTGCTTAAGAACTAGACGCAATTTAATGCTAAAAAGAAGTTTGGCCATTTTTTAAATAAGCAATGGTTATTAATTTAGATTTGGAAAAGTTTTTATAGTAACAATTCGTACATTTTTGAATCAAACATACACAACAATATAAAAATTATGTGGTATTACAGCCATTTTAGATATTTTAAGTCAAATAATTTATTAGGTAATAATTTTTCTTCTTTTTAATCTCTATGAGTGAAAATAAATGACATGTGGCAAATTAAACCACAGATAAAACAAAATTATTATTTAATTTTATGTGCCTAATTTTAAAATTTTTTATTTAAGTATTTATATATTTAATGATGGAACCATAAATAAAATATTTACTTCTTGTGATTTTATTGTTAAAATTGTAGTTCAAGCTGTTTTGTATTATTAAAACTAACTAGTTTAAATAATTTCTATCTATTATTAAAAATATAAACATAGTAAATAATTTTTAAGTTACACTGTAATGTATTTTGTAAAAGATTGCCTATTCTAAGATTACCAGAGTTATTTGTGTAATGTTACATCATTATAATATTTATAAGCTTAAATTTTGTGTGTTATATTGTCAGAATCATGTATGTTGCTGATCAAGCCTTTGTAGCTCAGTGGTAGAGCGCTAGTTTAGTAAACTAGAGGTCCCGAGTTCGATCCTCGGCGGAGGCAGTTTTTCAAATTTATTTATTTTATAAAATTGTAATTACTGCCGACAAAACAAGAAAGTAGATGTAGAATTTAAGCCTAGAGTTTTAAAAACTTTAAATTTTGCATGTAAAAATATAAAAACAATTTTTTATTCAATCATAGAAATTGCCTGTCTTACTTTATTTTTCCATTCCATAACCTTATTCTTCATTTTAATTAGTTCATCCTTTGGCAAGCATCGAGGGATAATTGTATTAAAATGTAATATTTTATTGTATCCGTCAATCCATCCTTTAACGAGTCCAAGACCAAATGCTTTCAAAAGAAATCCATAAATCTCATCTTCTGATATACCAAGTTCATCTTGAATTATCGCAAAGCTAAGAAATCTGTCTTCTTGTTTAAAGCATAAATTAATAAGAGCTATAAAATAAGCCTTCTCTCTAACAATGTAACACTTTTTTCCAAAGATAACATCAAGCATATCTTTATGTTTATTAATAAGTTCGATATTTCCTTCTTGTACAGCAATATATGCTCTATAAAGGTCTTCATTAATTTTATTAAACCCTCTTAAGGAAGATCCTTCTACAAAATTAAAAAAGTTTTTAGAAACCAAAGAATACTTAGCAAATAATTCAAGCAAAGACATATCACTTGAACACAAATTACTACTAATCTTTAAGTATTCGTAAATATATCTAACACAATATTCATAATTATTTGTTATTTCGTAATATTTAAAAGCTAAAAAATTATAAAGCTTGTAAACTTCTATATCCATTTCAATCCTTTTAAATTCAAATATTTTGCTTTCTACGTCATCAAACTTTCCAGCTTCAATCAATAAAATGCATTTTTTTATTTCAAGGTGCATAATTTCCATTTTAAAATTACCTGTATACATTTGTGAATCATTTATAGCAACTAGAGATTTAGAAATAAGTTCTATAGACTTTTCAGTAGAATAAAATTCTGACATGTGTAAAGCGGCTTCTGTCAAAGAAGATGGATGATATTGTAAAATATTTTCAAAAAAAATATTCCATATTTCATCAGCATTCTGATTATTTATAATCAAAGGAATTGATTTACAGATATCGAACCACATTCTATTTTCTTTTAGATCTAAAATATCCTCTATAGATTGATTTTTGTTTGTAGACATTGGGGTATAAAATTCAATAAAAAAATTTATTAGCATAAACAATAAAAAATCTTGTAATTACCCCAAATGGCAAAGAATAAAATTAATCAGTATTTAAGTTTAGAAGCATCAGAATCAGAAAGTGAAGAGGAGTCAGAAGATTTGGATGTAAATATTGAACGAGAACCAGTTTTAAATTATACGGACATTGCTAAAAGAATTAAAGATAAATATTTAGCATTGAATGAAGATATTGACGTAGAAGAAGAGGAAGTGGAAGAAGATTTTGTTGAAGGTAGCACACAGGCACAATTTCTTCCTAAAAAATCATCTCCTCGACTTTTTCTTGTTCGTGTTAAACGTGGCAGCGAAAAAGAAATTGCCTTAAGAATTTTACAAAATAAATCTAAAATTTGTTCGATAATTGCAAAGGATGGCTTAAAAGGGTATATTTACATTGAAGCATATCAGAAACAACAAGTTTTGGATTCATTTGAAAAAATAAGAGGTATTTTTAGAAATAAGCTTAGTATTGTTCCACAAAATGAAATGATAGAAGCCATTTCCTATAAGGATGACTTAAGTAATGTAGAATTTGGTAGATTAAAAAAAGGGAAATATAAGGGAGATCTTGTACAAATTATAGGAAGTAATGGAGACATGGTAAAGGTTAGAGTAATGCCTAGAATTAATGAAATAAAAAAACTATTTGATCCAGTTGAATATAAAGATGAGGTTATAAAAGAAGGAGATAATATTTATATTTATAAAAGAGATTTATATGTAAATGGATATTTAGAAAAAGAAATTTTAAGATCTAGTGTTGATTTAGACATAGAACCGAATTTTAACGAGTTAGAACAGTTTAACATTCGTAAAAGGTTTGATGCAGGAGACAAGGTAAAAGTTATTAAAGGGGAATTAATTGGCACAAAAGGAGTAGTTAAAAGTGTTACGGGTCCAATGACAATTATTGTAGCAGAAGGGAAAAATTTTGAAATTTTTTCAAATTTTCTTGATAAATATTACAACATCGGCGAAGAGGTGTGTTTTAATTCTGAAAATGGAATTATTACTAATATAAAAAATAATAAGTATTTTATTGCAATAAAAAATTTTACAGAAGAGGTCGTTGCTGATGTTAATCAAATAAAAAAACCAATTCCTTATTCCAAAGAATTTGTCCGGAAAGAAAAAGCCAGACCCGTAATTAAAAGAGATAATTTAATTAATAAGCAAGTTCAAATTAGAAAAGGTCAATACAAAGGATATATTGGTATAGTGAAAGATATCTACATGAATAAATGTAGAATACAAATCAGCTCTAATTTAAAATATGTATCAGTTCCCAGAGAAGATCTAGTTGAATTTATAATTAATAATGAAATTGAAAATGTTACTAAAAAAACATTTTCTAGTATTATTACTAAAACACCCGCTTATGAACCAGATGGCCCGATAAATCTAAATATGGATAAAAATAGAGATAGATTTGAAATGGTAGATGATAAATATAAAAATGCTTTAGTTAAATATAATGATGAAATTTATACTGTAGAATATCTCAGTGGAAATAATTTTGTGACAGACGGTGGGGTATTTAATAAAAATGCCGTAAAATATATTACCCCTAGTAGAGAAGATAACGTTATTATTATGCAAGGAGAGGACTTGGGTAAGCCTGCAATATTATTAGAAATTGATGAACTTACAAAAAATTGTGTTGTAAAAATTTTAAATGGAAATATAAAAAATCTACCACTAGGTATTTTGACCAAAAAAAATTAAATGTTTTTTAATCACTATCTACTGTTTGAGATGACCATCCTTCTTCGTTTTCATCTGTTTTATTATCTGACAATTTGTTGTTATCACAACTTTCTGTGCTAATACATTCAGTAATACTAGATTTTTCTACAACTAAAGATTCTGTCTCTTCAACATTTGTACGATTAAATGATTCTTCTAATATTTTTATATCTTCTTCATTCATCAAATCTCCCTTTAAAATCTCATTTAGTACAGACCCATTATTGTGCACCACATCTTCATTGCGAGTTTCATCTTTATGCACTGTACCATCATTATTCTGCACTGTATCATCATTATGAGTTTCATTAATCCTTGATCTGTCCCTATTGACATTTAAAGGTCTTCTCCTTTTTTTATTTTTACAACAGTCACTAGAGTGCTCTCTAAATAACTTCTTTAAAAAACATGGTGTTTTGAAAATATCTTGTCCAAATTTAGGATACACATCCTTAAAAAAAAAATAAAAATGTCCAACTAATATTCCCAAGATATCTTCTATTAATATTTTCTTTTCTGTAATTAGCATAAATAAAGGTACAATAAAAGGAAGATAAAAAGCAGGAAAATTTATAAACCCAAATATCTGTACTACAGCACTAGGATTCTTCCTTGTCCAAATGTATGTTATCGTACTTGAAAATGCTGTACCTAGTGTACTTATATTAAATATATTAGCTACTATGAATAGTGTTCCCCACACTATCATTAATAAATATAAATAATCAGATGTATAAATAAAGCTTTCTTCTAACATTTTAGAATATCTGTACAAGAAAGTTATATGGATAATAACATCTAAAGAAGGTTTACCAAAATACAAAAAGCAGGTTATAACTCTCCATACTTCCATGTACCTAAGAAATAAAGAACTGTAATACAAAGTGTAAGGTTGTATAGCATTAATATACACTAAGATCATTAGTGCTATTATGGCCAAAAAAAGAAATCTTGTGATGGGAGGAGTTCCTAATATTTGTGATGTAAAAATGTTAGCATTCATTTTAAGGGATAAAATATTTAAATTTAAATAACAGAGAAAAAATCAGATAGTTAAACATTAATTACTAATTATTTTTAATGTATTAACATTTACTTACTTAAATGATAATTTATAAAGATAAGCCTTGTACATTTTGTAATATAAAAATACTAAATTTACATCTAGACGTGTATTGAAAGATTTAATAATTTTGTAAATAAGTAACATCCTTGGAAAAGCCTAATTAACAAACATTTTATTTTTTAAAAATCAATCATCAATGATTTTAAAACTTTTTATTACACTAGACTTATTCTTCCTATTGGTAGAATAAAAATAATTTATGAAGCAAATTATTACGTTGAGTTTATTTGTTAAACAATTTATTTGTTTAAAAACCAATTGTGCATGAATTCTAAAACTTACAAACATAAATTTTAAAAATAAAAATAAACAATGAAAAAGCAAATTTATTCGAAGGAAGATCTTGGAACAATAGAACTTACACAAACTATAGGATTTAGTAGTGTTCCAGATTTAATACGCACTAAGAGCATAGAAGATGGATTTGAAATAAATGTTCTTGTTACTGGTAGAAGGGGCTTAGGTGCCTCGACACTTATAAATTCTTTATTCGGTGCACCAATTATTTCAAAAACAAGATCTAATGGATTAACAGTCACTAAAAATGAAATAGTAGAAAATGGAATATCGCTTGAAACTACTACAGTAACATATCATTCTGATAATATTAATCCTCTTATTGAGTACATTAATAAACTTAATAATGAATATTTTGAAAATGAACAAGGACCATATAGAATACATAAAGACACAAGAATACATGTTTGTCTTTATCTTATTCCTTCTGATCATTTGACAGATAATGAATTAGATTTTATGAAAAAATTAAGCCATAAAGTAAATTTTATACCTGTTATTCCTAAAGCTGATATGTATACTAGTGAAGAATTAACACAGAGAAAACTTGTAGTACATAATCTTTTACAAGATTATAATATTAACATTTTTAAGTGTCCACACAAGGAACTAGCCGAGTCAGATGTAGAAGATACAGATATTCCAATCTATGCTGTCATAGCCAGTGAGACAGTATATGAAATAAATGGCGACATTATTAGAGGAAGGCAGTATCCTTGGGGATTTATTGATATAGACAAAGAAGAAGGAAATGATTTTAAATGTTTACAAAGACTTTTAATATACAAACATTTTGATGAATTAATAAACAGAACACATATAAGATTTTATAATGAATATAGAAAAGATATTCTTGATTATGAAAGAAATAATGAAATGTCACAGGTAACTAGATACCAAAAATTAAAAAATGCACTTGAAAATATTCTTAAAGAAAAAACACAAAAGTGTTTAGTCGCTTTACAAGAAGAGGAGGCCTTGCTAGATGAAATGATTATTAAAATGTCTGTAGCAGAGGAACCAGTAGGAAATATTCAAAATGCTTTAAATGCAGCGTAATAAACATTTATTGTGAAATATTTTATAAAGGCTTTGTCCAATATCCAAGTTTTAATATTATTACTAAAAATAAAATAGAGACACCTAAAATTTCACATTGTGTATCTCTGTTATTTATCCGTTGAAATGTTTGTTCTTTTATTTTAAATGTATTAATTAAATTTGGTTTGTGTTCTCTGAATAGTAGTTCAAATTGTTCTTCAATCTTATGGTTCATTTACAAGGGAAAATATTTGTAAGTTTACAGAAAATAAATAAATAAATATTTCTTCTTTTTTTAAATTTACTTTATACCAAAAATATTTTGTCATCTTAAGATTTTAATTTAAAAGACATCTTCACATGATATGTGTAATAAATTTAAAATTCAAATAAAGTGATAAAATCTCAAAATTCCTAATTATTTATATATACATAAATAGTGGCATGTTAAATATTACAACACCAAGTTACTTGTGTTTATAATAAAAATTCTAAAGAAATTTTTTAAGTTGAAATGTAAAATTTTATCATATACTACATTCAATAAAATTAATACAACAACACTAGTAATAAATTATTATCTGTCATATCAAATATAATTTATACCCAAAAACTTATATTTTTTTATTATAAAAATCATAGCCCTTTATGCGCATTTCTATTATAGAACCAAAAAACATGCATGAAAAATCAAAAACTCTAATTTCTCTACTAACAACTTTACTTCCTTCATCCGAGGTTGTTAAAGTACACACAGACGATGCAGAAATTCGTATTGACATAATTCAAGATGTAGTACCAAAATATCTTGTTTTAGCAAAAAAAGGCGTTTATCAATTTGCTCTTAAAATTTGTGAATATAGAGAAGTGCCTACTAAATTTTCTGTCTCTAAAAATACGCAACTTGTTTTAAATAATTTTTCTACAGAAATTGGAATACAGCTAGCACATTGTTTTATGGACATATTTCCATGTGATGTGAACAGCAGGCAGATAGTTAATTTTACAGTAAAAAATGAGTTTTTATATTTTAGAATGTACCAGTACTGTTTTAGCAAGGAAGGGCCGATATTTGCTAAAGTGGGTCCACATATAAGTTTTAGACTTGTTAAATATACTGATTATACAAAAGAAGAAAAGGTTGTTGGAGAATATTTAGATTTTAGTAAAAAGAAATGTATGTTATAGATACTTTATTAATATTAAATGTCTTTTATATTTTTTAATATTTATATGTAATTTTGATCATTTATTTACGATGATAGCTTTTATAAAAATTTGTTAAAATAATCTCAGTTGATATATTTTATTATATTTAATAGATGTTAATTAAATCTACATATTTATTCTAAATAGTAACATTACAGACTTTTTATAAATAGTTTTTATTATATTAAATTGATGTTGATAATATTATATATTTGTTATAAATAATTACATCTACAATTTTGTTATAAATAGTTTTTATTATATTAAATTGATGTTAATAATATTACATATTTGTTATAAATTGTAACATTACATATTTGTTATAAATAGTAACATTACAATTTTGATATAAATAGTAACATTACATATTTGCTAATATGATATACATTTAACCCCTTTAATAAAATTTCTCCTCCTTTAAACTATATACAATATATAGAAACATTATACTTTAATTAATGTTTTATTCTTTTTTTTAATTTATTCTTATTTCTATTTTTAATTAAAATATTTATTGGTTAACTGTGAATATAAAAAGAAATTCCTTTGTTATTTAATGTTTGATAAAAAAGTAAAACTTAATAATAATTGTGAAATGCCTATGCTAGGATTGGGTACATGGATGATTACAGATGAAGATAAACTTGAAGAGTCTATTAGAAATGCTATAAAATATGGATACAGGCACATTGATACAGCTTTTATTTATGGGAATGAAAAATTTATAGGAAAAATACTTAAAAAGATATTTACTGAAGGATTAGTTAAACGCGAAGACTTATTTATCACATCAAAGCTGTGGTGTACGTATCATGATGATCCAGAAAAAGGAATTAAACTGACACTAAAAGATTTACAGATGGATTACGTAGATCTATTTTTAGTTCATTTCCCTGTTAAATTTAAAACGGATAAAAATCATAATTCGTTTACGGATGAAAAAGGGAATAACGTGTTAGACACTTTTAATTGTCTGGATGTCTGGAAGAAGATGGAATCTTTAGTAGATAAAGGGCTTACTAAATCAATAGGAGTGGCTAACTTTGGAATGTACAACATTGGCAAAATATTAAAAGATTGCAGAATAAAACCAGTTATCAACCAATTTGAAATTCATCCGTATCTTTCACAGAATGAGTTAGTGGATTACTGTCAGAAAAATGATATTAATGTTGTAAGTTACTCATCGTTAGGAGGAACAGCTAAACAGGATGTTAATTTAAAAGAAGACCCTGAAATTTTAAGAATATCTAAAAAATATAATAAAACTGTCCCACAAGTAATATTGAGCTGGCTAATTATGAGAGATATACTAATTATTCCTAAAAGTATGAGTGAAAAACATATTAAAGAAAATACAGATTTATTTACTCTAAAATATGAAGATTTTATGGCAATAAGTAAATTAAATAGAAATTATAGATTTATTGATTTACCTGAACATGGACCAGATAGATTTAAATAAATCTTTTTTACGTTAAAATTTTAAAAACGTAAAAAGTGCAAATTTTGTTATTATTTAATATTTAAAACTAAATTTATATTTTTGTGATACACATGTCAAGTTTCTCTTTTAAATTTACTAAAAAAGTACTAAATTTTGAATTTTAAACAAAAGATAATAAAAAAGTAAAATTTATTTTAATGTTTATTGATTAAAGACCAATACTAAATTAACGTATGCATAAATAAAAAACTTCATTAATCTTCTTGTCCTTCAAGTTTTTATTCTCTTTCAAACAATAAATATTAGCACTGAAATGTTACTTATTTTAATTTATTAAAATTAAAATTATTAATTTATACGTTAACTATTAACAATACTTCATTGACTCGTAGATAAATTCAAAAAAAATTGCATATTCACATAAAAACAATTTACTAAACTTTATTTATAATCTTAAAAATTAACTTTCTACTACATTAATTTAGTATTTATATTCAAAATATCCCGACTCTTTACTTTTTCTTTTCATACATTTTTCATTTTTTAAAGTATTCAAAGATAACACTACGTTACTAATTTCTTTTTCTTTCTCATAAAAACTATTAAGTAAATCTATTAAATCTTTATTTATCACAAGATTATCTATATCCATTAAAAATGTTAAAAGACCATCAATATCTTTTTTATTTAAAAATTCTGAAATTTTTTTAAGCATAAAGGGCTTTTTTAAAAAGTGATAAAAATTATTTTTTTATTTAAAAATTTTGAAATTTTTTTAAGCATAAAGGGCTTTTTTAAAAAATGATAAAAATTATTTTAATATCAAAATACAACAGTGAAAATGTACTACATTCTCATTTAACAAGATCATCTACAATATTTTCTATTAAAGATAAGTTATTATACAGGAATGATAAAATACTTTGTAAAGTAAATTACAAGGCTATTATAAAAGGTAATAGATTATTTATATTTAGAAATAATATTATTGAAGAATACATTATTAAACAAAAAAAGACTACAAAAAAATTGGTAGATAGTAAATTTGAAAAGCTTTTTACATCACCAATTACTTTTTATGATAATATATATAATGAATCTTATGAGTATCATAAACATAATAAAGAGATACAACCCAATATTTATGACAAAGATAATTTAAATTTGTCTATCTTTAGTAATTTTGAACATACAATAAATTTAAGAGATTATAATTTTTTATGTAATTTTAATAAGATTGAGATGTACAAATCTGCAGTAATTAAAGATACAGATATTTTTTATTATAATAATAAGATACATTTTTTATATCTAACATACTTAGTAACTTTACCATGCAATGATATTATCTATAAATTTACAATTTATAAAAATAAGAAGACAAATAACATTTATGAAATGATTTATAAATCTATAAATAATAAACATAAAAGTATATACAAGATGTATATTATAATAAGTATAATAGAACATACTAAAGTAAATATAAATAATCCAGAGATAATAAAATTACTACATGAAATATGTGTTTACAAATCAAATATAATTGAATTTATTAATTATAAACAGTTTTATACACCAATATTAATTGATTTATATAGAAAGACAAATGGATTATTTCCATATAAAAATTTTATAAATGATCTAATAAAAAATACAGATATTTATAATGAAGTGTCATTATGTGATATAAAAAAGATAGTTATACTTCATACAGAATTATCTTATATTTTTATAAAAAAATGTATTTTAGAAAATAGAGAGTGGGAAATTTGTAAAATTATAAAAATACTTAGAAATAATCAAGAAATTGATAAAGTCATAGACATTTTACTAGAAAATAATTGTTTGTATTTACTCAGTAAGATTATTAAAATTGATATACAACCAATAATGAAGATAGAAAAATATGTAATGGAAAGTTATAAAAAACAGATATAAAAAGTATATTGATAAGTTGTGTAAAACATGTTAAAGATTATTAACGTATATAATAAATCTCTATAAGAAGCTTGTAATACGCTTTATACAGCAACAAAAAGTAAAATAAATTTAGCTTATAAGGTTGTTGTAATCTTCATAAGGAATTTTAAAGATATAGTAAATAGTAAAATAAGCGATGTAATCTAACATATTAATATTCTAGATAATACAGTAGTGTGCTTTGTAAATAAATATCTTCCTTTTTAAATAATATATAATTTATTAAGTGTAAAAATTAGAAAGTTAATGAAAATCTAAGTGAAATTTTTAATTAAAATAGAATTTGACTTTTTTTATAAATGAAAATTTAATAAGAAGAAACTATGAGGTTTACAAAAATATTAAAAAAACTAAAAATATCGATTTTCAAACAATTTACACTTATATAAGCAATAACACACTTATAACATTTATTATGATTTATAGTTGCTAATATGTAGTGTAGAAAAACGTTATAGAAATTTTTGATTCTGTGTTAAATTTGCATTGTATTTCAGTGCCTCATAAACTTTAATACTAATTTTTTTTAATTCTTGTAGATCGTTTATAATTGATTTTTTCTTAATCATTATGAAATGTTCTTTTTGCTTACTTAAAAACAAAATAGAATTATTTCTTTTATTTATGATAAATACAAGTAGTCACGTTTTTTGAAAATGTTGGCTTTCTTATTTAATTAATTTGTTTCTAAAATGTTTATGCAAACACAATTTCTCTAAAAATATAATTCTTTAACTTTTGAGTTTAACTTTATTCTATAACCTCTATATAGTAATTTATTTATTTAAAATTTATAAATTTACTATTGACTTATAAAATTTTATTGTTTAATTATTTAATTAAAAATATCATATTTTAAGAAGAGAAATTGCACACTTCTAAACTTTATAGTGAACATTTTAGGATCGAAAAAGGAATCATTATTCTGCACACTTAGAAAATAATATTTTGAAAGTCTTTTATGTTTTTAAATTTAATAAGTGTAATAAAATATTTAATTGCGTATCAATCTTTTATGCATTTTATTTTAAATATGTTACGATTTAAAAATAACAATAAAATAAAATTATTAAAATATCATAATTTACAAGATATTATGGATAAAAGTATAGAAAACAATTCAATTAATTTATGATTGTAAATTTAAGAAATAATTTATTTGTGCATAAAAATGTTTAATTTTGACAAAATGTCAAGACTCTCATTATATTTGCACACAAAAAAAAAATTAAAATTTAAACTAAATCAAAAATTATTATATCTTTTATATAATAATTTTTAATTTAGCTTTTTAGCTTATATGTCAAAAATAAAGTGTTTTTTATATTAAACGAATGGCCTAAAGATAAACAAAGAAAAAAAGCATAAAAAGAAACTTTTTGTCTACCAATGTGCAAAAAGGTGGTGACCGATAGTATCTATGGCAGTTTTTTAATAAAATACATCTATAGAAGGAAACAACACATTGATGGCTTCAGTACTAGGCGCCGATAGTATACCCAATGAGGACTGCTACAGAGAGCATCCCAACACCACGAACCAGGGAAAGTCCTTTTGGCAGATGTATTAAGGGAGAGGAGCCCATCAATACATCTGCAAAGAAGGGTGAAAAAAACAAGAAGAAAAAAGATATTAAAGACTTAAGAAATTTTAAAAATAAAATAGAGGGCCAAGTATTGGGGGATGTCTTGGTATTCAAAATTTAGATAAAGACTAGATTACGCTATTCCGTTGAAAACGAAATTATCACAAATATATTGTGTGTTCTTTCTTTTTAATAAATATGATGTGCCTTTACGCGTATACTTATTGTTTTTAATTACAAATTGTCCTTTTTATGATAAATTAAAATTTGCTATAGACACCCTGTATAAAATTATTTTATTTTAACAAATAAAAGCGAGGGAAAATGCACAAAAACATTTCTGTGCTTAGAGAAATAAAGCCTACACTTATGCTACTCGTTCTTAATAAAAAGTACAAAGAATTTTACAAATTTTTTAAAAAGAAGGGTTAAAAAATGATGGATGATATAAAAAATAAAAAAATGTTCGGATTCAAACTTTTAATATATATAGATGAGGAAAATGTCCTTAAAGATTTTTTATCATGTTTTAGGGTAAAAAGCAATGCTTATTTAAAAATATACATTTGTACACTATCATTCAACAAAGAAGTATAATTATATGCCATCGAAATAAAACTATATGATTTTTTTTTATATAAAACTGCAATTCAAGGAGAAAAACAGTAGATCATATGGCTACAAAATGCGAAAAGATGCTAGGACATGACTATATGAGAAGACATAATGAGGTAGTCAAGTGTATACACATGCTGCTGTGTAAGAAATATAAGATAGAAGATTCAGGAAAGAAACTAAGAAGTCATTCAGTCCAACAAATAGTGGCCAATAAATATGTAAAAATAAGAATAGATACTACCATAAAGATAGACGTGAAGATAAAATACAATAAGCCAGACATTGTCGTTATTGATAAAAAGAGTAAAGAAATATTAATTGTTGAAATTGGTGTTACTTCGATTGACAATCTACAACAGGTAGAATCTAAGAAGTTAAGAAAGTACGACGTATTGGTTAATGAACTTGGTTTGATTCATGAATGCAAAACAAGAATAATTCCATATGTATTGACATGGGATGGTATCGTTACAAAATACCATGCAAAATACAGGAAGGAGCTTGCAATCTCTGATCAAATTGAAGCTTATATTCAATCGGTCGCTCTAAAAAAACTCTTGAAAGTGTCTCGATGGAGTTCAGCCGAGGAGCAGATCTGACAATTGAGGAAGCTAGAAAGGAAGAGAATCTTAGACAGAAATTTACCCACGTTGAAATCATATTTTGATAACATAAAAACTCATAACAAATTTAACCTTTAAATAAAATATTTTATATAAAAAATTTACTTTTTGTATTTAGTAATTCTTATGGAGAAACATACGTATGTTAGATTTTTCTAAAAACACACAAATTTTTTTAGTTACATACACATCACAACTATTAATATTACTAACAAATTGTTTTATTAAAAAATAATCTAACTACAATATATATTATTGTTTCTGTTAAAAAACGGTTGTAATTTTAAGTTATAAATTTAAAAAATATGTCTAATATAACTTTAATTTTTTACTGCTTGTTAAAAATTAAAATTTTTAAAAAAAAAAATTATTTAAAACAAAAATTTTTTATAAATAATTAATTTTTAAGAATATTTTTACGGACTGTGGTAAAATATAACATTTTTAATTAATTTTTATAAATTAAGATTTTTTAAAATTTTTAAAAATATAAAAAACTAGTAAAAAGGGTGCGTAGAGTGGAAAGAAGCAATAACAATATTAAAAAGAAATTTATAACAGTAAAGATAAAAAGGAGTCATCTATAAAAAATTATCAAAGACTTTTTTGAATTAGGTTTTGTATGAAGTGTGATTTATAAGATGAAAAACATCTCTCTATTGGAATTATATGTTTGAAAAGTATCTTTTAATATTTTATAAATATTAAACCCATGTCCAGTCCCAACAGATTTTATTACCAATGACAACCTCATGAAATTTCATGAAAAAAATAAAAAAAATGTCAATTTTAACTTTTTATGTAGAAATTTTTAGTGAAGAATAAAAATTAAAAAATTTCAAGCAGGATGGATTTTTGAATATGATATTAATTATTATTTGATATATATAGTAGTTTTATTTTTTCAAAATATATAACAATGTTACTTTTTTAAAAATATAACAGTTTTAGATTCACGTACACTTTTTTATTCAAAAAATAAATTATTATTTATAACAATTTTAAATTGAAAAAAATATATACAATAAAATATAAATCAAGATTATTGTTTTAACTGTTTTAAAATGAAAAGAGTTGCGTATGCTTAATAACTACTTTTTAATTTAAATTAACTTTTCAATAAAATATAAATCAAGATTATTGTTTTAACTGTTTTAAAATGAAAAAAAAATTATATATATTTATAAACGCTTTTTAATTTAAATTAGCTTTTCAAAAAAATGTGAAATCAAGATTATTGTTTATAACTGTTTTAAAATGAAAAAATATATTAAATAACTACTTTTTAATTTAAATTAACTTTTTAATAAATATAAAATCAATATTTTTTACATAAATCATATTTGAACCATTTAATAAACAAAATGTTTCAGTTATTTAATAAATTTTAAAAATGCATAGATAACAGATGAAAATTTTATATCTTTGTGCAATAATTTACTGCTTAGAAGATTACATTGTATTATTCGAGGACAGAACAAATCTTAACAATCTGCAAAGGATATTAAACCGCGAAAATAATCTTATTAAGACTAAGAAACTTCTATCTTCTAAGTCAAAAATAAAACATGAATTTTTAAATGGATTCTATGGTGAAATGGATGAAGAAACAATAAAAAAACTAGAAAAAGAAGAAGAAATAGCTGTCATAGAGAAGGACAGCGTGGTAAAAATAGCAAATTATAAAGTAATGGATATATTTTTAGATGCAGGAAATTTACACCACGAGAGAAAAGAATCAACAATACCATTAGCCCTGCAAGAACGAGCACCTTGGGGATTAAGTAGGGTTTTAGGAAAATCATATGTCAAATCAAGGCAATACATTTATCCTGAAGATGCAGGTAAAGATGTGGAGGTGTTTGTAATTGATACGGGAATAAATGTCTTACACCCGGATTTTCAGGGAAGGGCACGATGGGGCGCAAACTTTGTCGGTGGTTCGTTAGACACTGATGATAATGGACATGGAACTCATGTGGCGGGTGTAATCGGTGGATTTAAATATGGTATAAGTAAAAAAGCGAATATAGTCGCCGTAAAAGTATTAGATGCTAATGGTGTAGGAATGATTTCAAAAATATTAAAAGGAATTGACTATGTTATCAATGAACACGAAAAGAAAAGAGAACTGCTGTATGACATTGCATCAGCCAAATATTTAGGAAAGAAACGTACGCCAAACTTGGAGAAGAATCTCGAAGAGTTTATAAATGAATCAAATTTACAACCAAAAACAGTTGTAAATATGAGTGTAGGAGGTACAAAATCCGTAGCACTGAATTTCGCTCTTGATTATGCGGCATCTTTAGGAATACACTTTGCTGTTGCAGCAGGTAACGACCAACAGAATGCATGTTCTTACTCTCCTGGATCGTCTAAACATGCAGTGACGATTGGTGCGACTGATATGCACGACAAAACAGCAGATTTCAGTAATTTCGGTAATTGTGTAGATTTATATGCACCAGGTGTAAATATTCTTAGTGCGTGGAATGATAGGAGATGGAGAGTTGTATCGGGGACATCAATGGCATGTCCTCATGTTGCTGGTGTTATGGCTTTATATTTAGGATTAGCAGGATTTACACCTGAAGCACTAAAAAACAGATTAATTAAAGATGCTAAAAATGTAATATCTGCAGACAATGCAAATGAATCGATATTTAAAGCTATGTGGCCACTTAATTGGTTTTCAGATAAAGAAAAGCTTCCATTAGTTTCTACAAATAAATTAATTAAAAAGATTATCGACAAAAACAACAAATAAATAAATTAATTATATTTTTTTAGGTAAATTAAAGTATTTAAATGTTATGTCTTTTAAATTTAACTTTGCACTTTTAATAATGAGAGCTTTCTAGAATCTTATTATTTACTCTAAACAAGACAATTTTATAAATTCGACTGTCGCATTCAAAACACCTATTATTAATTTTTAGATTTAATGCCGAAGAAAATTTCTTAGATGACAATAAATTTATTTTTACTATGTCTAGTCCAACATTATATTTATATCACAATAATAAATACATTAAAAAGTTGACGTCTTTTTTGCTAAAAAATTAATATTTTATATGCTAACTGCCTACAGCGTTTTAATAAAATTTCTAAAGCATCTTTTAGTAAATAATATATTTTCATGATAAAAGTAACTGTTGATTTTTATCGCTTTTCTTATGCATGCTAGTCCATGTCTGTACTTTCTATAGTTACTACTTTACCGGTTTATTTTCTCTAAACTTCTCTTCTAAATTAGTGACTCTTCTCCATAGTCATTTTAAAAAGTGTTTAATACAATTTATTAATAAAAAATATAAGAAAATTATTATCCCAGAATAACTTTATAACTCAATCTATACATCAATGTAATATCTAAACTTTTTATGTAAAAACTTGTTAATTTCGTATTTTTGATAAAAATGAAATTTTCACCAAATGTTTTATTTAAATTTAACACAAGATGTATTTATGATAAATATTTTAAAAAAATATTATTAACAGTTAAAACGGCACTTGATAAAATTTATTATTTTTTAAATGTGAGGCCATGTTAAGAATCCAAAATTTATCCATGCGCATAGAAGATGAAATAATTTGTTTTAACCAGCATTTCGAAGTAAAAGGTGTCTGTTCTGTTGTAGGAAGGCATAATAAATTAAGAGAATGTCTTATATCTATCTTTTCTAATTCTGTATCAAAATATATACATGGACTTGATTTTGACATGAAGGTATTTTTTAAAGGAGTGAACATAAAAAAAAATAGATTTATTTTTCTATTGTGTCCATACACACTTCTAAATGCAAAAGACAATATTGAAGATATTTTGTATTTTGTAAATAAAGATTTGGCGGAACAAGTAATCAAGGATTTCAGATTGCATAAATTTAGGTATCTAAGTATTAATGAACTAAGTCCATCTATTTTTAATATTTTAGAAATAGCTATAGGCATATGTTCATGTTCTAGTGTGTTATACTTTTCTCTAAATCCTGATCCATACAGAAACAAATATTTTTATTTAAAGTTACTACAAAAATATGCTATTTTAAATGAAGCAGTCATTTTTGTTGAGGGAGAGTTACTTAATGTTGATAATTTTGACAGTTATTTGCTAATAAAAGATAATAGTATATTTTCTTTTATTATTGGAAAAGATAAAAAGATTAATGCTGAAAATTATCTAAAATTGAATACTTTTATATATAAAACATATATTAGTAAATTTAATGTTAGAGGAGGTAATAAAATAAATTATGATATTTTTACTGATAATAATTCATTATCAGTAAGTGATACATCTTCTCTTGTAAATAATATTCAATATACAGATGTTGATAATGTTACAAAATTTATTATTTTTAAGCATAAAATTTGTAAAAAAATCATAAAATATTATACATTTCTTGTACCAGATGTTTGTAAAGTTGTAATTTTAATTAACTCTAAATTGCATCGCAAACAAAATTGGAATAAAATCAGATTTTATTATGCCAATATTGGAAATATTACTTTGTTGATTGTAATTTATAAACATTGGTATTCACTACATATGTTACTTCTTATGGTAATTTATTGGATTTTTTATTATTTTTTAACCATAAAAGGTATTTCAATTACTGCTTTTATTTTCAAGAGTAGAAAAAGATTTCATAAAATTTGTTACATTCTCGATTTTTTTATTATAATAATGATTTTTAAATATTTAATAGATACTGGAAATATTTCTGTTACAGAAATTTATATAAAAGCTAATAACGAATATTTTGTAAAATTTAATCCATTTTTATGCTATGTTACTACATCAATAGCCTATACGTTGATTTTGTATAGCTCTGTATTTCATATAAATGAAGATTATGCATTTGTAAGGGAATATCTATATAAGTCATATAATTCAAGTACTTATTATTTTTACTTAATTTTAATAAGTTTATTTTCTTCGGCTTTGCCTCTTATTATATTTTCTTTTGTAATTAATTTAAAGTATATTTGTGCTATATCTTTAAATGCTATATTTATTATACCTTTATTTAATTTATTTAGACATACAAAATCAAAAGTAATAACAATGTCTTACATTGTTACAAGAAACTTTTTTTATTCTTTAAATTACAAAGACTCAGTGTACTATAAAATATGTAATTTTATTGATCCTTTTATAATTGTAAGAAGTGCCATTTTTGATGGATTTAAATACGAAATTATTCTTAGATTGGTTTGTATTTACATTTGTATATTTTTAGTATTCTGTACACTTTTGTAAAATTTAATTAATTTTTTAGTATTAAATAGCAGTTTAATTAATTTGATGTTTTTTAAAAATTTATAAAAAGTTTTACTTTTAGACTATACATTTAATTTCAAATGAGATATGAAACTCCTACAGCGCATACAATAACAACTGCTACAATACCAACAGCAATGGCTACACGTCCCATTCCACTACTCTTTTTCTCTTCGTGTGCATCATCCGATGAAGATGAATCATCTTTGGTAATTTTTTTTGTTTTCTTTGGTTTTTTTAATGGCATCTTTTTACATTTCTTTAATACTGGAGTTTTGTCGCATTTAGAAATTCTACCAGATACACTTAAATCTAAATTAAAGAATGCTTTTATATAATCACAATCTTGATCTGGAATTCGACCTCCATAGCAGGATTTCAATTGATCGCATCCAAATTCAGGAATATCTAATTCTTGGCAGTAAGCATTACATTCGTTAATATAGCTATCATCATAATTGCATCCGTTGATAAGATTGTTACAAATTCCATTAACTAAATCTATTTTTAAGCCTACTGACAGGTCGAGAACAAAATCGACTGCTTGATTGAAATTTTCGTCGGCAAAATTAACTTTGGAAAATATATTGAAAACAGCGCAAATGGCTGCAGCTTTATAAACAACTTTAGGGGTTATAGCACAAACTGGTGGTTCGCATACTTTTTCTTTTTCCACTTTACATTTATATTCAGATTCACATGATTCGTAAGATTCGCATGATTCATAAGATTCACAAGATTCGGATTCTTTTCTACATTTTCTTTTAAGTGCACAACAAGCTCTATTAACAATAGCACAGCATAATTCATTTTTTCTGACAAGTTCACTTTTGTAAGCCCTTGCTAATCCCTTAAGTTCATGTATTGACAATCCTATTTTACGGAAGACGCAATTTAGGTATCTTACAACTTGATGAAACCAAATTTCAGTATTGCATGGTGTACACACTGGTCGTAATGGATAACCGTTAACAGTTATATCAGTATTGTTTTTTACAAAATACTCACTAGAAAGGGTATATTCATTGGAGGTTGTGCTTCCAGTCTTAATAATGTCAACTGTTGAAAGGAATCTAATGTATATTTTTCCATCTGTAGCCGATCCAGGAATGAAAATTTGAATGCTAAAATTAACAAATCCTGTAAGTGGATCAACTGTTTCAATTATAGCAACATTATTTTTAATTTCATTGGGTGCTACTAAAGACATTAAAGAAGGAAATTGGTTGTCGTTAGATTCAATTACTAATCTAGCACCAGGTCTAATGCCATTATCTGATGCTTCATAAACAATTACAATAAGATCTTCATCAGGGAAAAAATTGATGCAAAATCCCTTTGTATGCTCTCCAATAGGTGTAAGTGGTCCAAAAGGTCCATTTTCAAATTGTGTTTGAACTTTAATCTGATACAAATCTTGTATGCAATTGCCTCTTGTAATATTCGTAGTACAAGCAATAAGTGAAATTAGTGTTGAAACTAGAGCAAACTTATGTAATTTCATACCCCAAGAATTTTTTTTTTCTTTTATAGTTTTATTTGTTTGTTGTAATAATTAAGTTAAATTAATTTAGTAAAAAAAATACCTTGTAAAGATATTTATTGATAATTCTTTAGTGAAAATTGCTTTATTAGTTTTTATTAATTTGTTTGTTTAGTCTTAAACAAACAAAATAAAGTTATATTAAAAAATTAAAAAAGTTTATTTAAAATATTTAATGCATAAATAACATTTTATTTGTATAAAATATCAAAAGGTTTAATTAAATTCAACACCCTTAAACAACAATTTTCTTATTTCACTCACCATATTTCTATCGATACTTTTGTAATATACAACTTCAAAAATGTCAATTTCTTCATCTTTAAATGTTGAAAGCGCAACAATTTCTGGATCAAATATTCCATTAATATAATTAATGTAATTTACCCTATTGTCATTATGGACATTAAAAGCAAGTTCTAATTTATAAGTAGAATCTAATTCAAGATCTTTACAAATACTCTGAATGTATAAATGTATAGGAACAATATCAAAATTAAATTGGCACATTTCTACCACACGGCTTTCAATAAATATTACTTTTTCAACTGGAAAATTTATACTAAAAGATTTCTTAAAATTATCTAAGAGTACATTAAGTTTTACAATATTTTCTGTTATTTTACCAGAAATAAAAAAACTAGCCAACGATATAAGAGAGTGACTTTCCCTTTTAAAAAATGTAGGATAGGTATGTTGAAAAATTATCTGTGATATTGCAGTTTGTTTAATAGGAGACTTAAAAATTTCTGATAAATGTAGTATTATTTTATTTCCTTCTTTAATATCATTTTTAAAAATATTTTCCATGGGCAAAAATATTTTCAACTTAAACTGTTTATGCAAATTAACTATTTAAATAAATAAAATTAAAGGTGCATAAAAATTATGTTTTAAAAAGCCCATGTATATTAAGGACATAATATTGGACGGATTTAAAATTTATGAAAATAAAACAGTTATTAGAAATTTGACTAAATCTTATAATGCAATTACCGGATTAAATGGATCAGGAAAAAGTAACATTATTGATGGAATTATTTTTGCTTTAGGGTTAGAAAGTCGTAAATTATTAAGAGCAAATTCTTTAAAAGAACTAATTAATGTTCATCGAAGTGATTGTAAAGTAACTTTAATTTTATCAAATACAGATAAATCAAAAAGTCCAGTGGGATACAAAGATTTTAATGAGATTGTTATATCAAGATCAATTGATAGCTTAGGGAAAACAAAATTTTATATTAATAATCATGTATGTTCAGCAACGACAATTAATAAATTATGTGCAAGTATGAATATAAATGCTGAAAAGGGGGAATTTTTTTTTATTATTATGCAGGGACACATTACAAAAGTACTAAATATGAAAAGTAAAGAAATTGGAAATTTAATTGAAGAGACAGCAGGTACTAGATCATACGTAAAAGAAAAAGAAAAAGCATTGTTGGTTTTAGAAAAAAAAGAATCTAAATTGATCGAAGTTAGAGATATTTTACAGAAAAGAATTTCTCCATTTTATTCTCGTTTGAGAGAAGAAAGAGAAGCATATCTTGAACAAAAAAATTTGGATCAACTCAAAAAAGATGCTATAAATGAACAACAAGAAATCAAAAAAGACTTATTAGTGAACGAAGTCTCAAAAAATATTAATATTTTAAAGAATTTAATTGAGACTTTTGTCACAGAAAAGAAGCAACTTATGCATTTAGAATCAAAAATTGCAGAATTACAGGAATTTGATTCTGAAGATAATGCAATTGTAATTAAAGAACTTTTAGACGAAGAAAAGTTTAAATTAGATGAAATCAAAAAAAATAATTTTTTAAACAAAATCAATAAGTTAAAAGAACAATTAAACAAGCTGAAAATACCAAAAAAAAATTTAAATCTTCAAGAACTTAAGGCGAAAGAGGCCTTTTTACAAAAAAGTTTTAAGAACGAAGTAGGGATTGGAGGTAAAGATTTTGAAATACTTGAAGAGCTAGAAAATTTAAAAATTTTAAAAACAAAATTGGAATATAAATGTCAGAGTTACAAAAATTTGAATTTACAAGACATTGATAATAAGTTAAATAATATTGAAAAGTTAAGAGTTAATTTAGAAGAATTTAATAATAAAAAAACACGATTAAATTATCTAAAGACAAAGATTAATTATCCTATAAAAACAGGTATCTATGGAACTATTGATGAAAATTTTACAATTTTTGATGAAAAATATAAAGAAGCGATTTATACAGTTATGGGTGCCAAATCTAAGCACATTATTGTTGAAGATGAAAATATAGGCTCTGAATTGTTAAATTGTTCAGATCGTAGAATTAGTGTTATCCCGCTTAACAAGATTAGGTCAAAAATTGTAAGTAAAAATGTTATTGATTCAATTAAAGAAGCAGATGGTCTGCACATGATAGATTTACTTAAATTTGATGTAAAATTAAAAAAAGCAATGGAACATGTTTTTAATGGATTCTTTGTCTTTGAAAACAAAGATATTGCTAAAAAAATATGCTATAAATATAAAGTTATGTGCATAACGTTAGATGGAAGTGTTTATGATCCAAAAGGTACACTAACAGGAGGAAAAGTAATTTATAAAAACGAAATTATCAGCAGATTAGAAATTTTAAGCTTATTAAATGAAATTAAAAAGGAAGAGCAAAATATACAAACCTTTGACAAATTAAAGGAAGAATATGAACAATTAAAAGTTAATAAAAATAAATGTGCCGAAAAAGAGAAAATTTTAGAAGATTTGAATCATGTATCAGTTAAAATTAAGACAATTACAGATTTAAAGAACAATACAGTAGATGTAAGAAAAGATTTATCTGAAGTGCGTAAAAATATAATTGATGCGATACAAGAAGAAAATATAGAAAAAGAAATAGAAGATAAAAAAAACAAAATATTAATTGAGATTAGTAATTTAGAAAAAAAACAAAAAGAAAATGAGGATCTACACGAAGACTCTGTAAATAAAATATTGAAATTACAGGATAAACTTGGAGAATTAGAAATCAAAACTAGTAATAAAAGATTAAGTGAACGGCAAGTTGAAGGATTAGAGCCTAAACAGAAGTATTTAATTCGATCAACATCAAAAGTAAAAAATAGAATATTTAAAATTTCTTCTGAGATCGAAGATATGTTGACGACGCTAGTAGAGCAACATAACAACGCAGTAAGCAATAACTCTTCGGTTCAATTATTTACGGATGAAGAGGATTATAGGATTTTTAAATCATTAGAAATAAATGAAGATGTCTTTAAATTTCTACAGTGTGAAATATCTGACGAAGAACATAAAAAAAAGTTAGATCGACTTTCTGAACTTAATGCTATTTTAGAAAAATGTGCAGCAAAAAGGACTGTAAGAATGGATCCTTCAAATTTTGATTTATTAGAGAAAAATGAACTGTTAATTCAATCACTAAAGGATAAAATTAAACAACTTGAAAGTGATAAACATGCAATATTAAGTAGTATATCAAGCTTTGATTTATTAGGAGTTAAAGAGAATGAGAAGGCATTTAGACATTTAAATGAAAAAATCGGTATTTTTTTGCGGTACTTTTTCCAGGATTCTAACGTAAAAATTGACAAAGTAGGAGCAATTGATTACGAATTAAAAGTAAAGATAGGCAACTGGAAAGAATCTCTTGCCGAATTAAGTGGTGGACAAAGAAGTTTAGTGGCATTATGTATAATATTTTCTATATTGACTTATCGCCCCGCTCCTTTTTATATTTTTGATGAAATAGACTCTGCTCTTGATTTAAGCTATACTCAAAATATTGGAGAGATAATTAAGAAAGAGTTTTGCAGTAGTCAATTTATTATTATAAGTTTGAAAAATGGAATGTATGAAAATGCAGACAATGTGTATAAGGTATTTTTAAAAGATGGTAAATCTAATATCTGCCAAATAAAATAAACGTTTTTAGTTATTGTGTACAGTAATGTTTAAATATTAAGAAGTTAACTTAAAAATGACATATAATTTTCTTATTAAAAAATCATATTATTATTTTTTCAAGTAAAAGGATTTGATATTAATTTGCTCATAGAGAAATAATCAAACAAGAATATCTATTTAATGTAAATAACTTGTATAAAAAATTGCTTCTAGCTAATAAACTCAACTGCCAAATAAATTATACGAATATAAAATCTGTTAAATTTTACTTTTCTATAGTAAAAAAATAAATAAAATATTACAAATAATTTCTATGCATTATACAATAATTTTTAAAGAACACACCCAATCTAGGTAATATTTATTTATTAATATGACATTAAATAACATCACCATTAATAAAAGTCAAACATTAAAATTATCAATTTCTCTTTAACATTTTCCCCTATTTAAACATTTTTTTAATGTCCCTTTATGCCAAATTATGACTTTGAGGAATCTGAAGATTTAGATGAAATAGAAGAAGTAAGCTCGTATCAACAAACAATGGAAGAATCAGAAATTTCTGATGATTTTGACTACGATGCTGAAGAGAAAGATTTTAAATCTACAGTTTTAAGACTTAAACTTAAAGCCGAAGATAATCTTACACTTAAATACTACATTATATTTTTATGCACATTTCTCTTTCTAATTTTCGGCATTATTTTCTGGAAAACTGATATTGAAGTTAAAGAAAAGGAAGGCACTTTGTATAGCGTAAAACTTGGTCTGATTTTTTTAAACTTATTTGTATCCTCTGTTGCTTTTTTAGTATTAAGTTTTATACTTATGTCTACACCATTCTTTTACATATGTGAATTATCTGAACACATTTCTTTAGCATGTGTTTGTTTAGTGTATATTTTTTACTTTTTATTAAATAAATCAAACTACTGTATACAACACAATCAAGGAGTAGAAATTTACATTGGAGATATTTTAAATATTCTTTTAGTATCTATTTTTTTATTTGCGGGGCTTAAACTTTGGTCACAGAGTATTGGTGTAAATTTTAATTATAGTATTTATATTGATAGAATTAGGAGATGCATAGTAGAAGAAGTATTTTTAAATATGTTTCGTAGAAAGAATAAACCTAAAAAGATTCATTACCTTATAAAGACCTTTGTATTAGATAAAGAAATGGACATATTTAAAAGGAGACTACTTTTTAAAGAATTCCAAAAAAGTTATAAAATTTCAGAGAAAAGTCGTAAAAAAGAAAAATATAAAGAATTTGCATTTAAAAAGGCAAATAGCTTGCATTTTAGAGCCTTGACTAATTATAAAATAACTTATGTTGGAGATATTAGTAGAATGCTTAATCAGTATATAAATAGTGAGAATGCAGATAAAAATGAATTGGATAGAAATTACAATACACAAAATACAGAAGGTAAATCATTACTAGTGGATAAGTTTATAAAGATTCTAGATCTTCCATCAAAATACAGGTTAGATGGTAAAGGCTTTTATAAAATTATTAAAAGGGTAGATAAAGAGAAATATATTCTTAGTAAAAATCTGGAGCAAATGAGTGCTGCCTTGGATCGTGTATGTGTTTTTATGAAATTTCTTATAATTATTATAGCCATTCTAATGTTGTATATAAAAGTATCTAAAGAACTTGCTTCTACTGCAGGTGTAATTTCTGCCATATTTGGTACACAGATAATTTCTAATTCTTTCTCTTCTAATGCTATAAACAGCCTTATTTTTTTATTTATTATACATCCATATGATATTGGTGATAGAATATTTGTAAGTTTAGATAATTGCATTGAAAATTTAGTAGTTTCTGAATTGAATGTATTTTCTACTGTTTTTCAAAGATGGAATGGTACATGTGTTTATGTTCCTAATTCACTATTAAGTACTAAATTAATAACGAATATAAGAAGAAGTGGAATTATAGCAGATTCACATAAAATACAGATTAATGCTAGAACAGACCAGAGCAAATTACTTAGTCTTAAAAGTACTATTGAAGCCTTTTTAAAGAAACACAAAGAAGATTTCACTGATTATTGTATGGTAAATTACGAATCTATAGAGAATAGTAATAAGCTACATATGAAAGTATATATGCAATATAAAACGAACAGTCAAAATTACGAATTATATCTAAAAAGAAAAACCAACTTTCTTTCATTCCTGAATAGGTCTTTGCAAGTTCTTGAAATTGAATATTGTTTGCCACCTCAGAGAGTAGTTTTAAAAAAATAAAACAGAACGCTGTTTTATTTTAATAATTAAAAATTTGACTTCTAATTAAATTACGTTTTTTTGACCCTTTTTTATGACTGCACACGAAATTTCCCCATTTATTGTTGAAAAGATTTCTCTTATCTGTGAAGGCTACAGCCTAAGTAAAATTTTTGAGATGATTAATTATAACATATCTGGTGGTAAGAATGTCAGATTTGATATTCTATCACATGTAACCAATAACAGTAAATTGTGTGTACTAGAAGAAGATAAATTTTTAGTAGGTTTTTGTATGGAGTTATTTCATGCTTCTTTTATCTTAAGTGATGATATTGTTGATAATTCTTTAATTAGAAGAAATAAACCTTGTTTTCACTTATCAAGAAAGATGAAAGCACTCAGGGATTCGAGGTTTTTAATTAGTTTGATTCATAAACTACTAAAAACACTAAAAAATAATAGTAATAAACTACGAAAAATTATTGATAAATGCTTTTATGATACTTGTTTAGGACAGGCTATTGATACGAAACATAAGGAAAGAGATGAATATACATTTAAAATGTACAAAACCATTTGTGAATTGAAAACTTCATCTTATTCAGTTTATATGCCATTGGCTTGTGGTTATATATTAGGAGATAGAGACTGTCCCTATTATCTTGAACAACTTACCAACCTTATAGGTCTTATTTATCAAATGAATGATGATTATTTGAACTTTTTTCCTGAAAAGACGAATAAAACTTCTAACGATCTTGACGAGTATAAGTTGACGTACTTCACTGCAAAATTGAATGAAGAAAATACTAATGAAAAAGAAGTTCAATCTTTTTTTAATAAAAAGGGTGTATCTGAATACATTAAAAAATGGATTTTCTCTTATTTTGAAAAGTATCAAGTTGAAAAAAAGATGTTTGTCGAGGAATCTAGGAAAATGATACAAAAAGAAGATGAAAACGATCTACTTTTTTTGTATAATATACTTAAAAGATACGAATTAAATTAATTTTATGTATTTTGTATCTGCTTAATAATTTTCAAATGTATATCTTTCTAAAATATTTTAAAGAGAATCTTATCATTAATTATAGCTGCCAAGGTATACCATAAAATTAATTTATCTTTTTTAAATCTCCATATATTATTTTAAGAATATGATTTCTTTTTATTATATCTAGAATTGATAAGTTAATCTATTTAAAACAATATTTTATAGTATATATGTTTACATCTGTTAGGAGTACAATAACATGCCAAGTATCTCAATGTGAATATATGAATAGATATTTAACAAGGATAAATATATATTTATATTTTAAATAAACCCATGTTTTCTTATCACAATTCTTCTTTCAATAACAACAACTCACTTAAATACGTTTATATAGATTTAAGTTGATATGCAAAAAAATGAACAGCAAAAAGAGATTGATCGATCAATAATTAGGTACTACTAAAGAAGTAGTAGATATTGTAAGTAATCATACCTATACTTAAAGTCAAATTATTTCTATGTTTATATAAATTCATATTACAATTATTAACAATAATTTTTATAAATCTACTAATATAGTTTTGCCCTTGTTACATGATTTCAAAGTCAGTTTTATACATTTCTTGTGACATTTTAACTGCTTTGTATTTAAAATCGTACAAATATTTATTCATATCACTTTTAATTCCTTCTGATTCTTCTAGCCTAGAAAATTTTATTTTGTGTTTGATTGATTATGACTGCTGTTTTGAAGAATTTTTGCCTTACATTTCAATTTTTTATTATCCTGTTGTAAATTTTTGGTATGGTATTGATGTCAATTTTAATGCAGAACAAGATGCAAAATATTTCATAAAACAAAAATCTTTTTTAGCTTTTTTGTATTATCTCCTAAGTTTTAAAATTGAATGTAAAGAATATGATAAAATATATAGGACATGCCATTTGCCATCATTTGGAATAACTTGGTTTAATTTTTTGCATATTTTTTATGAAAATTCTTTCCTTGTTTTTAATATCTTAAATATTGGATACATTTATGCTATTTTGAAATTTAAATATTTTTTAAAATTAAACAAACTTAAAAAACCAACAAACTATCAAAAATCTCATATGTACAAATTTATTTTAATATTTAAACAAAGTACATTTAAGAATTATTTAATTTACATTATCAAAAGTAGATTTTTATTTGTATATTGTATCTTATATGTGATATGGAGACATGTATATTTTCTTGTACATTCAATTGGTATAGGTAATCCCAATTTTATGTTTTGGATTAATGTTATATTTCTTTGTGTATTTTTATATGGCGTGTTTGGTTGTAAATTAAAGGTAAAGAAGTAAATTAAATAATTTTATTAAAAAACAATATTACTTTAAATTGTGTTTGTAAAGAATACAACCAAGATTAACTTCTTTTTGTATTTGTAGTAGATATTTAAGTTGAATTATGTTTTAGCAAGCATATTAATATTTTATTTAAACTATATTTCAGCGTGCAAATTAATATTTAGATAAAATAAAGTCATCTCAAAATTGTTCGGTTTAAATTTATAACAAATTTAATTTGTTAAATTTGATACAAATGTAATGTTTTACAATTTAATAAATTAAAAATACCAGCCCCCATAATGATACAAAATATAATAAAAATTCAAAGAAGAACTAAACGTACACCCACAATACTTATTCAACCTAATGGACAGTGTATTAGCCCATTTACAAATGTAAAAAAAGAAAAACCACTTATCTTTAAAAATTGCACTGGTAATAACGAAGACTTAAAGCTATCATTTAAAGACAAGATTAATTTTTTTGAGTCACTTAGTAAACAGAAAGATACTGAATTGCCTGTTAATAATAAACACAAGAAGCCTTTTAAAGTTGAAACAACTGTATGCATTACAAGAACATTTGATTTTGCGTTATTGAAAAATAAATGGGAGGCATTGTCTTTAAGTAAATAATATAATAATATTTATAACATAAATACATTTTGCTATTTTATACATATATTTGTATAAATAAACGTTTAATAATTTATTTTTTGTATCTTTTTGATTTTTAAAGTTTAATTAATTAATTTTAGTAAATGATAAATGAAAATCAAAAGAAAAATTTACTTAAAAATAATGTGTATGATTTTACAGCACAAAAACGTTTATTTAATTAATTAATTTTAGTAAATGATAAATGAAAATAAAAATTTACTTTAAAAATAATGTGTATGATTTAACAGCACAAAAGAAATCCTATCTAAAGTTGTTCACACTACTATTAAAATATTACACTAAAGTTAAATCTTTAATACTGTAATGTAAAGATTCTCTTTTTGGATATACATTTAAACTTTTTTTAAAACCCTCTTAGTTATGTAAAAGACTAATCTTTTATGCACATGTCATTTCCTCTTTAAGTAACATCAATTAAACATTATAAATAATTTTTAAATTAATAAACTTTTTATTAAACAATGTTTTACTGTCACACTTAAATTACAGAAATAATAAAAAAGGAGTAAACATTAAACAAAACAACTTAAGCGGTTTTAGATGTTTTTAAAAAATTAATATAACCCTATATGTTTGCGTTTAAGTCTAATATAAAAAAGAGAAAGTGTAAGTTAAATGAAAATGAAATTATAAATAAACCTATCAACAAAATATCAGAAAATATAAATCAATTAGAAAACAAAGAAGATTTAAGTTTACATCAAACAGAGATAGTCGATTTAGATTATTTAAATAATTTTATCAACTTTTACGAAAAAGGAGATACTTTTTTTGAAAATGACAAATCGAATAAAAAAATGGACAAATTTGAAAACGAAAGTGTATGCGATACAGAAAGTATAAAAAAGTTAGATACAGAATCTTTAGAGAATAAAATATATTTATCTGAGATTAACGTCTCGTCACCACGACCACAAAATAGCCCTGTTTCAAAATTAAAAAAATTGCCTTACATTAAATATGATATTAACTCTTCAGATATACATTGCCTAATTATTAAAGATCAAATAAAAATAGATCAAAACGAAATTAACACTGAATTGTACGTGAAAAGACTTGAAATTTGGATGTTGCTGTTTTATGAACTATTTTTAGTATTGCTTTTTATAAATTAGAACTTATAACATCTAATAATTTATAAAAATGATAATATAAGCTTTTAATATGAAATATTGATTCAAGAAAAAAGATGGTTATTTTTAAATTAAAGATATATTGTCTTTAATAGAATCTATAAGTCTTTTAAAACTAAAGTCATACTATTTCTAATGAAATACTAAATAAAGAGAATTTTTAAATTAAAGTTATATTTTAAAAAAAAAATTTAATGAGGACCAACAAACTTCACCACTAACAACACTAAAGGATCCTCATAATCGCCCTTATCAGATCCATCCCTATCAACAATACACCATATACTTGGTTTATTACAATTAAATTTATCTTCCGATAAATTTCTAATTCTAGAGCGTTCTGGTGACGCTTGTCCCTCTTCAGTTCCAATACCTTTTTCATTTAAATCTAATGTCACTTTGTGCCTAAAACGATACATCTTTCTAACTATTGCTTCTTTACCTGTTGTATACGAACGTAACATCTCTGTTTCAGGATTTAAATAGTCTGTAATACAATCATTATTACCAACTGTAGTAATCTTCAATCTAGGTATCTCTACATCTATCGTTTCATGTCTATTAGCTTTAAAGTATTTGAAAGCCTTTCTTATTATTTTATCAAAATTCTGTAGCGTTTTAATTAACTGCTTTTCAAGCTCCAAAGGCTGTATTATCAAAAAGGAACACAGTTTTCTACCCATCATCATTTCCATCTCCAAAACTTCTACATCTTTATCCCGATACACTTTAAATGGTCCACTTTGCCGCATTTTTTCCATGTACACTCTCCTGTATGGCAACCTAAACTCCTTAGTTATCGAATCTTTTTCGTCAAACTCGTTAACCCAACGTGCGTTAATAACAACAGTATTAATAAAACCAATTCCTCTATCTAAAAATTGATGATCTGTATCTGTAAAAAAAGCTTCTCCCGTTAGTTCCTCAGAAACTTCATTAACTATTCGATGCGCATCTTCTTTCATATAAAAGTCAACACACTTAACCTTTGCAGCGTGCTTTTCCGTTAAGATTTCACATGACTCCGAGGTAAATCCTTTTCTTTCATTTACAAATGCCACATAATTAGTTACGAATCCCGGCTGGTATTTTTCAAATATTCTGTCAAAAAGTCTTCGTAACTTTATCACCAATGTTTCATAATCTTCTCGTTGAGATTCAAAAAAGTTTTTTAAACTGACATTAAGAGCTAAATCATCAGATACCATGGTTAAAGTACGAAGTAAAGTTAACGGCGAATACATAAATGTATGATTAGTATACTTACAATATTCAACGAGTCTTGTATCATGAGGTTTATAATCTGAATGATCCTTAGGTAACAAACAGTTTTTATAACTCTTTTCACGAATTTCATTAGCCTTCACAAAATCATCAGCTCTACTGCCATCATCCGAGCCAAGAACCTTTTGAAAGTCACAATCTGATACAAATTCTGCTTCTAATTTATCGTAATACCTTGATAGCTCTTCAACTGATTCTAAAGACCATTTAGTTATAAAACACAGTAATTTTTGCATAAGGGTGGGGATGAAAATGTATTTATACAAAAATAAATTAAATTACAACGAAGCCTCTTAAAATACATTAAAATAATAATTATAACCTGTTATTAGACACTATTTTAATTTATTTTTCATTTTATTTAAATAAGAATATAGCATAAATGTAATTTTACAGACAAGAAGGACAATCTTGATGTCAAGTAAATATTAATCATTGAATTTATAGTAAATTGACTTTTAACAAGATTAATTTAAAATGTAAATTATCTGTAATATTACATTAACATTACAAAATATATTATATTAATTATTTCTAAATAAATGGATTACTTTGTGCACACAATAAAAGGGTTTTATTTTCGGAATTTCATACCCAATAAATAAACAATATTTAATTAAATTTGTTTTTAGACATCTAATAAAATATAATATTGTTCAAAGATATATCGGCAATTTTTAATAAAAATTTTGTTTTTTTATTTGTTGGTTTTAACATAAACTACTTTTTATATCTTTAAGTTTTCGCATTTTTTAATTAAATAATGAAAGCGTTTGACAGATGTTAAAGAGATCAAATAATAAAGTAGACAATTAAAATATAAAAGATCTATTTATTTTTTAATTATTGTAAATGTATTTTTAGTTAAAATTTCAACAAACAAAAATGTAATAAAATAAATAAAAAGTTTATTGTTAAAAAATAAAAATCAGCAACAGAAGAAAAACCACCAGGCCACCAAAAACTCCATTGTAAAACAAAACATCAATATTCCGCTTAAAAGCCAACATAGCATTACGGCCTTGCTTATAGGAGAAAAGAGCGTTCTCTTAGGATACAGAATCCTCGGTCTACTTAAAGACCATTTCTCACCTTAAGTGAGTGCACAGAACAACATCGCCTGGCTCAATACACCATTTAAGAACACAACTCAGTTCAGCGGGGCGATACAGCAACAGTATCATGCCTGACCTCCCCCAGGTCAAAATTAAAA